CGTGACGGAATTTTTATATGTTTTAAAATAGATATGTAATGAAATAAAGTGATAATTTAACACTATACAGAGCTCAGTAAAAACATACTGTACTCGTCTGTTATATTCATACAAGTTCATAAACATAAATCTCATTGCATTATTAAATTTCTTGAACTAATTAAGTGGAAAACGCTTAGAATGTCTAACCATCTAGCGAAATTAACACAACATTACTTGTCTTAATTGAATACTTAAAATATCATAAACTCTACATAACGTAGTATATTGGTAGTAAAAACAGGACTAGAGAGGGTTGCCAGATGAGATTTTTATATTTAGCTAAATGTCAAAAACTTACCATATGTAAAATTTGGATAATTTCTTTCACTTTTACCCAATTACACTCTTGCCTCGATTATCACAAAGTTTCTCCATGTAACTATTACGCAAACAAAGATAGAACAAAACGCGTTACTTCTTAATTTAATCTTACAAGCGTCATTAATACATTCTACACATTTCATTTACAAGTATATACCACTACACGGTTTACAAATACCAAACGTGTCAAACAATGTTACCTAAAGTTCTTCATAACTATTATATATTTTTTTCAGGAACACAAATGTTATTGCCTAAAAATTACCCAAACTAGCAATGCTGGTTCTACTTTTAGTGAGGGCAATCAGAAAATATACATTGTTGTACCTTAACATATTGTTTTAAATAATCTTATTATTTTGGAACTCCTGTATAACTTGAGGGTGTATCGAGGTGTTATTTTTCGTACATCGTTCCAAACTGTCTCATTTCCTGTCCTGTCCTTTGTGTCCATCATCCTGCATAAAGGACGACCTTAATCAAGCGCCCGAGTGTGCAGTGGAAGTCACTAAGTTGAATTTACCTACCATGAAATAATTTACGTCGGACCGGAACGATGGTATTCATAAAACTGTAAAACTTGCCCCTAGTTTCCATATACTAAATAATAAAATATACTAAATAAAAAATAATTTATTTAAACTTTACCATACATGTCAAACCAACTACAGAACCAAATGGATTGTGTATAAAGTTTATTTTCATAGTATTATCAGAAGATTTTGGTACACACATATAGTAATTCCTTTAGTAATGACTATATGTGTGTAGTACTTTGTACTAATTTGAAAATCGAATCATAATTGCTTCATTGTCAAGGTCATTCTTAAGAATTTTATTCAAGCGAATATAGAAATTCGTAATCTTCTGTCACCTTATTTTGTTTCTTCTGACTTATTTTTAAATTATGCCAGTCAATAAGAATTACTTGAACATAATTACTGATATAATATTTTGTATAACGTGATGGATATATTCTCATTTGGGACAGAAACATGTAGGCATATCAAATCAATGGAACGGAAGTGACGAGGGCGAAGCCCGAAACCGTATAAAAACCACAACCAATTTGTATCGCGGTAAATCCTAGGAAAACCGATCTAGGATCACTTTTGTAGTTTGAAGTTTTGTTTGTAGCTATTTGCGGTTGTTTTAACGATTAAACATATTAATGAAAAAAAAAAATAAACAATTAACAAATAATCTCATCGTAATAAACTCCACTGGGATTGTCATTTAACATTTTTATAACATCTCATACTTATATTTGCATCGGATTCTATTGATTACACAAATTTTATTAGGATTATTCTTGAAAAAAAATTGATATAAAGTTCCATTTATTACTAAAATCTTAAACACTATAAATTTTGAATTAGCAAAATCATTACTGTCTACTCAGCTTTGTGTTAGGTTAGGCACTGGACATGAAATTGAATGGCAACACTGTACATTCAAACGATTAGGCACTCACATGGTATAAGGGTTCTACTCTTTAATTGCACTATTACGAATAGTATTCTGAATTCAATGTTTCAAAAGGACAGACAAATGTTATATTAAGCCTCTATCTAGATGCATCTCAATAAATTAAGAATTGAACAAACTAATTTAAAATTCTTTTCTGAGACTTCACAGCCAGGATTAATTCCAGACATACTTGGCTATGCAAAGAGGTTTTCAAATATTTTGACGTCACTCCACAGAAGGCATTGATAAACAACTGGTTATACTACCGTGAATATAGCTTCTACATTAAGAGTTAACTACATTCATTTCTAACTCTTATGCATAACAAAACAAAACATAAAATAATACCTATGTATGTACTATTTCATATAGTATTTTAATGTTTATAGTTTGATATTCTGTAAATGAAATATATACCAGACATAAGTGGCTAAAGTGCAATAAAGTAGCTTTATTACTTAAAAACATACTTTGAAATTGCGTCCCGGTAATATAAAACCCATAAAGTCGACTTTCATTTGATACACTATCTTATAACATTATATAAAAATAAGTGGGTAAAAGAAGAGATAGTTGTCAGTCCAGTGGCGCTAACATATACGCGTAAATAGATATCTATGTAAGTACGTCATTTTTTAAATAACTGCATCGATGTCAATACATTCAGAATATTTTCTTACTGTTCACCTACACTATACAAAGAATCCATCTGGACAATTTCAGAATTCTGCGGTTTCGACTGTGCATTGACCCATAGGTCAGTCAGTTCATTACTCAGCATCCTCTTTTGTATATATTAAATTTAATATTCTAAGTTGGATACTATTGCACTAGCTTCTATTATAAGCAAAATTAGAAATGCTTTTAACTGAAGTTGCATATTAGCTATATGAAAGTTATATAAAGAGATATATACTGTGGCGTTAATTAATAGCACATTTTCATTTACTGTATCACAATAATACTGCATCTACATATGTGTACAAAAGTGTACATACATAGTTCAAAGCAAATATGGCGTTAAGTAAACTCCCTTGTACTGTATGCCATAATATGGTAACTTATATAATTTTCTTTAATTAATATTCTATGATCATCCATAAAAAATACTTATAATCAGAATATTGATAACCTACAAATTGGCTATTAGCAAATACTTCGTGGTATGTTATCAATTGAATTTGTAACAGTAAATGCTTTCCGTTTGCTAACTAGCAATTAAAGTGCATCCAGTCCGAGTGGACTAGATGCACTTTCCTCTTACAAACAGTGTCAATAATGATCAAGTAACAACTGGATAGAACTAACTAATAATGGTATCTAATTTTAACCCTTAACAATACACACTTTTTTAACTTACACATCTATACTCGAGGGAGAGTTTGGTTCCGCATGCGTTTACCCTATACTTAAAGTGTAGAAAATTATATGAGCAGTTTATAGAAAATAAAATAATGATATATTAATAATTAAACAGTTTTATTAGAACCTTAAGCATAAAATAGACACTTTTTACATCAAATAATAAAAATATTTAAAAATCGATACTATTTTTTGATTGATAACTTATTAGGAAACCACATAGTAAATAAAATTGTTAATATAAAAGACAAACTTAAAATTTTTGCTTAATATTATTATAGTAATTAACTCTAGTCTATGATAAACATTATAATAAATACTAAAATAAGAAAAATCATAAGAGGAATATAGACTTTAGCTGTTTATTATAAGTATAATTAATAAAGTGTCTGTGTGGTCTCGGCATAGAATAGGTGACCCCTTCCTTTCCTGTGGATATCGAAGAGACGAATAAGGGCACTTAATGATAAAGAGATTGGCAGCAGCGTCCCTCTTAAAACATCTCTAAGAACCTAACTGCGACTACCAACCCGCCTGCCAAGCGTGGCAACTACTGACAAAACTCTCCTTGTGGTGATGATGGCTTATGTTCAGCGGTAAACAGTTAACGGCTTAAATGATGATAATAATTACCAGGGAGTAGTATAATTATTTCAGTGTATTACAATTTTTTTAACTATTACTTGTTTTATTTGATAATTTAGAACTTAAGTAAAGACGTAGTAAAGGCTTTATTTATACTCATATATCCTTGACTACTGTACATACAGCGCCCAAATCAGGATATTTTTTTTTTTATAAAACCTCGTCATGTTTGCTTGCGTCTACTCTTTATTTAACAAATTTCTTTTAGTTAGCGACCATCGTTTTTACTCATAGTGCACCATAAACCCAAAATAAAATATTGTTATTAAAAATGTTATAGAAAATACTTGCGCAATTACACTCGTAGGCGACATAGGTCCCTTTTCCCCTACATCCCGAATCTCAAACTATTATAATATTCTAGTCCACTTTCACTCTTCACGAGTACTCTGTTGTTCTTGGGAATAGATGGAAAATAGACAGTCATATGCTTAAATTATATAAATATAAATAGTTCCAAAAAAATTGGTAGTAGGGGACTCCTCACGAGGGCTGTTAATAATTAAATAAACTGCTGTGCAATAGTTCTATCCTACGACTTCGTCCGTGACAACCTGTACAAAAAGTATTTTATAAGCTAAATTAGAATATAAGCTACTCATGTACCAAGATGTATTTCCTATAAAATACATGGTAATAACTTATATAGATATTTATATATATATATATATAACATTTTTCGATTTTTTGGCTATTAAATAATTGTCATAGTTAACTAAATGATCATGTTACTTCCCGTCTTTTAGGAAACATACAGCGCGATAGAATATTTAAAAAAATTGCAATATATGTTGCATTTAAATCCTCCATCCTCATCTATCATCAGTCACTGGTGCTCAGCTAGGTACAAGCGGCGTTAATAATATATTATCATCCATTAAAAAAAATACGGTGCATCCAATTGTTAAGTTAGTACTGGCTGTTATATTAAATTAAATGCAGTTATTTTTAACAAATATGAAATTTCCCAAATAAATTAAAAGTCCCAATATATTCTATAGAATGAATAGATTCTTGTTTTTACTGACGACTAATAACTTCGATTTCAAATTGTAGATATTATGATTATTACTATACAGCTTTGTTGTTACTATTGTTGCGTAAACAACTCCCAAGAGTTTTGTAAACTCACGTGTTTAGTCCAACTACGATAACAAACGTAGGGAACCTTAACACTCACGACGCAGAACTGAATCGTTACTCACACCGAAATAATGGTTTCACTGAAAGTTTTGACGAGTTATATTTTAATTTTACAATGCACAACAATTGTAAGTGTTGCAATTTTAATAATCTTTATAAATACTATACCAAACCATTATCGGTCCACTCATGGGTATAGGTACCTTATGTAGCGCTAGTAGCTTCTGGCTCGGGATGAACAAGTCAGAGGGTGAGAAGTCAAACACTTGTGTATTTGTTTTTGGCGCTTCCTTATTGCGCGATTATTTCAATTATTAACGCCTAATATATTGTAAGATGCAATTTTCAGGAAAGAGGAGGCATAGCTGCCCTTCCCTGTCCTTTAAAAAAATGTTTTCGATAATTATTAATCAGAAATTTGTGAATTTATTATTAAACTAATTAATGTTCTATATTAAGGTAATTAGGCACGAATTAATTAAAAATAATATACCCAGCATCGTACACTGTTATTGACCAAAAATAAAAAATATGTCGCGTAAAACTTTTATGTGTGTATTTTAAAACTAACAGAAAAAAATGTTTAAATATAATATAAAAAAAAAATATTACCAATGTAATAAAAATGTAATTGGACGATGTCCATATGTGAAAAATATTTAAGAAAAATTTATGTAATAGGTTTTAGTAGGAACACTAGCAATATAATATTACTACTACTAGGTAGGAGCAATATAAGCTTAAATAGTAATTTTTAGAATTTTTTTCTGTTTCTGTATATTTATTTCTAAAGGTCTAACTTAAAACTGATGAATAGTATATTTTATCTCGATACGCTATATAGAATTGTTCAATTTAATTGGTTTTCTTTCTAAAAATCGTATACGAAGCAGCTGGCAAAAAGCTAGAAAAAAATTGGAAAAAGGCCGAATAGCCAAGTTACCAGCTTATATACATATATCAAAAAAGCAAAAAAATTAATCTGGAAAAATATTGTGATAGCAATGTCATAAACAATAAAAATTTAAACTAAAACCATATTGAAGTAGCGGTCCACTCGCGCTTACCCATAAACACAGAGTTTTCTTTCTTAAATCCTTTTTTAATCGGCTTAGCATCCAATTCGAATAGCAAACTCGTTAACTAACCACATACAAATAAAACTTATGTTGTAAAGAAAGGCTTGTTTATCCTGCTTAGATTAAATAAATGAATTATATATACTGTGGATGAAAGGACTGTATGCTGGTATAGAAACACGATGTCTTTAGAAAGGTAGTAATTATATTAATTATAAAAATATACACAAAACAAACAAAGGGAGCAAATAAACGAACCACAAAAAAAATATGCTGACAGTAACTTAAAGTCACAAACAAAAACTTCTTTGATAAAATCATGCACATACACAGTCGTGCACATACACCTAACTTGTTTTTACTTGTGACGTCGTCCACGTAGAAGGAATATATGGAATAATCGGGATTAAAGGTAACCTAACCTAATATAGCACATTTCATGACACTGCAAGGCACCAAAGTACTATCATGTAATAAATAAACTTTCTTTGATTTTATTTGGACTTCGAGTGAATTTAAAAATATTTTACATTTTTTCATAGTGTAAAGGTAACCAAAAGCATCGGTTATTTTTTTTTAATGTGCACACTTAAGCTTTAATTAAGATATTCTTGTTTTATGTAAACAATCACTGTATCCTAGAAACACTCGCTACGCCAAGGGTGGCAAACGCTCTTTGCCGACCCTTAGGAAACCTTATAACGCCCTTTTTGAAGAACCCCAAGCTGTATTCAATAAGGAAAACGTCAACAAGTAATTGAAACTGTAGAATGAAATATTAATTACAGTTTCTTACGGGATTCTGTTTACAAATTCAGCCGCCCTTTCTATCAGCCACCTATTGGTAAATCTTGTACTGTTCTACAGTAGGCACATTTGTAGAATTTTAAATATTGTCTACGATAGTGTCACTTCTAGTTCAGTTCTAATATTGTTTAGCTACATAGTCCCAATAAGACTTTTCTTTTAAACCTTTATTTTAGACATAATATTGGTTTATTAATTAGATAGAACCGTTTCTATATTCTCAATCAAGTAAATAGACAACTAATAGTAGGTAACCTGTTAATCCCAATTTCAATTGGTATATTTTAAATTTGTTTTAAGAGGTCGGTAACAATTTAAAGTATTTAATTTACTTACAAAAGGTGAATGAGAAGTCTTGACGTTGAAGAATAGGCACCAAAATACAAAGATGGTTGATTAATTTATAATTAAGCCATCAGACGCCTAATGTAGATTTAACAAATTCTCAACGCTGGCAAATTCGTTACACGAAATATAGCAAAATTGTAATGAACTGCTTTTATGTGTATACAGTCTGAAATCGATATCCATAATCGTTCTTATACCATGAACTAATAATAATAATAAAGGGAGATTGAGAGAGAATGCTATATAGTATTAAGTCCGCCTTTTCTACTAAACATTTGTTTTGTAATGTGGTCAATAAAGAATGAATAAATAAATAATAATCTGCTCATGCCATATAGTTATATTAGGGCAGAAATTTCCTGAAAAAACTGGGTAAAAACTTCGGAACCTCTCACACTAACAGCTTACTTCACATCATACTGTATAGTTATCTTAAAACAAATGCTATGAATAACTTTAAAAGGCATGTGCCTTAATATTGCATTTAATGTTTGTAATATGTGTGTGTTATAATGCAATATGCTATTGATGTTCCTATAAATAAATAAATAAACAGTTGGGCACGCGTATTAATATGAGAGCCACATTTTTTGTTTAAACCTATGTTCCTTTACAAAAATATTCATTATTACTCTTAGAACATTCCCTTAAATGGTTGCTAGTGATTTCGAGTTCGATACATTTACTTACTAACTGTAACCATCATGAATCAGTACATAAGGTATCCTGTTTGCTAAATTACTATATACTATTCGTGTAACAAATTTCATTCAAATCTATTCAGTAATTTTTGCATAAAAAGATAACTGTCTTCAATGTACCTATTAAGCAAATACATATATTATAGTGTGGTCCCAGTATATAATAAGCCACCCCTTCCTTTCCCGTGGTTGTAATAGGCAACTAAAGGAGGGCAAGAGATGGGCAACAGCGTCTCTATTAAAACATCTGTAAAGCCTAACTGCGGTTGCCAATTTACCTGCTAAGCGTGGCAACTACTGGCAAAATCACCCAAGGGGGAGGCTTATGTTCAGCAGTGGACACTTAAAGGCTAATATGATGATAGTAATGATATAATATTGATGATATAGTTAGCAATATCATATTAACAAATTTTATTTTCAGATGAGCAAGATCGTCTTGCCGCACAAACTAAGATATTTGGAAAACATGTTGAACTCCGAAGTAATAGCGAAAGCTGCTAAAATCAGACAAGGAATAGAAGCCAACCCGAATATCCAGGACGGCGATAAAGGATGGCCGATGCTTCTAGCCAAATATCAAGACGAGAAAAAAGCGGTCCCAGCCTATACATACAACAATATATATAATCGTCGGTACCCCAATTTTTAAAACCCTTAGTCCTAATAGGTATTCCAATACCCATTGGTATCATAGTTTCAGAAATCCCATAGATAACACACTATAACTATATGAGTATAATTTTACTAAAGTCATAAGATACAAATTAGATATATAGGTACTATATGTAATATATATAATTGAGTGTACAATTAATTAAGTGTAGATTAAATATTACTTTTAGATTGTAAATACTCAATATAAATAAATCTAAATATACGATAATCTACATACTATTGGCAAATTATCTTATAAAACATATTACGTACACCTACGTCTATTTTTGTAATAAATCCAGTGAGCATTTATTACGAATAATAAATATTTTCTATCATATTATGACGTTGTATAATAATTTGTCAAAATTGAGATGCTAAAATGCAAGTGCAATGTTTGTTAAATAAACGGCCAATAACCAGAATATTTACATTTCGAATTAAAATCTAAAACCACTTAACCTAGATTTGTGAAAGGATTTTATAACTCGCTCCAGATGTGCGGTGCGACATGTAATATTATTCAAAGTGAAATTGTATTACACGTCTACTTTATAAACTAAATAAATGATTTACCAACTATGTACCTACTTTTTCAAACCTGTTCTGGCAAGTAAACATACGATCTACTTTTTTTTAATGGGTGATAATGGAATGATAACCCCATCCGCGCTATCGGTATACACCGGCGGGGCACCAGTGAAGGATGATAGGTGAGGATGAAGCAGGTCAGTTAGCCCATCGTGACGAATTCAACAAAAATTTGTTCATGATGGTTTCCAGGGGGAACCACGTGGAAGTCGGCCTAATAGGGCATATTGCTAGCAATGGGGCTGTCAAACTCCATTACTAACAATCCCTTCCCCCCCCCCATACGATCTACTTGACATTAGATAATAATAATAATAATTTATTTGGATTACTTAAAACACACAAATTAATTACTTACAAAACAACAGACATACACAGTAAAGGGATAAAATAATGTATACACAAAAAAGCAATATATATAAAGTAACAATCTTTTTTTCTTTCTTAAGTGCCATAAGGGTTACAACTCAGTTTATTGTTTAATAATGTATTTATTGCAACTATTTTTTTTTTTTTTTTGATAAGTAACCGTAACCGTAACCGTATAACCGATCTTTAAAATCGCTAGTAATAGAAACTCCACGCGGTTCCTCTGGAAACTATCATAATTAATTTCTAGAGAATTCGTGACTCACTAATCATTCCTCACTTGTGCCCTGCTAGTGACCAATAGCGCGGGCAGGGTTACCATTTATTTCATTATCATCCATTAAAAAATAATAAACCAAAAGGATGACCGTTCCACTTTATTTAATTAAAAAAAGCTTAGTGAAGGGTTTGAACATGGGCGACACAGACTATACTGTATCGCCCATGATACCTGTCCTGCATTCCCATTCTTGAGGACTAAGATGTTATGCCACTGTACCCTGAAATTTCATAAAACACAGCCATGCAAACACAACTGCTTCATGGCAAAAACACAAATAGAACAGAGTTATCCACGCAAACAACTTTTATACAGTCTCCCTCTGGTATTATATTTTATTATCTGTGTTAATGGGGATTTTAGTCCCCATTGCAACGTTCCATTTTCACGCGTTCCCACGTAGAAACTATGGTGGTTAATCCGAAATGAAATTGTTGCGGGGTTTATTAACCCTATTGCAGGGGAAGGGATTGTTAGTAATGGAGACTGAGAATTCCATTGCTAGCAATATACCCAACCAGGTCAACCTCCTTGCAGTTCTCCCTTAAAACTATCATGGTTAATTCCTGATAAATTCAGCATGATGGGCTAACTGGCGTGTTTTCATTCTCATCTATCACCCTTCACTGGTGCTCCGCCAGCGTATCCTATACGCATCAGCGTTAGCGCAGGCGGAGTTACTATACCATTTTCATCCCTCACAAAAAAATAGCCCTATTGCTAGTATAATACACTTATTTCCTATCGGGTCGACCTCCACACAAAACCCTCTGAAAACCATCATGATTAGTCATTATTAATTCCTCAAAATAGGCCAAATGGCCTGCTTCAAGCTCATCTATCATCCCCCACTAGTGCCTCGCTGTTGCATACAGGTTAACCTCCTGGTGGTTCCCCCTAAAAATCGTCGTCGTTATTTCTTGATGAATTTTTTACGATGGGCCAACTGACTTGCCATCATTCTCATCCTCTCTCTAGTGCCTTCCAATATATACCGAAGCGCAGGCGGAGATATCATTCATTTTCACCCATTTAAAAAAAATGTGAAGTGATTATTAATATTACTATTGTATCCATCTACGAGTATATAGCTTGCCAAACATCACAATTTGTATATTTTTTTTAACAATAAAGTGGTTACAAAACGAAATCTATCTGATACAGAATGTCAACACTGACTTTTTTCTAGTCCTGATAAAAAGGAAAAATTCCATCGTATGATGGAATTTATATGGATGGAATGGAAAATGTATATTTTCAATGAAAACTCCCAGTCGACATGATTTCTTCTGACATCTTGAATAATTATCGTCACATTCCAACAAATTAACATAATATTAAACTATTTGTATAAACCTTCCTCTTGAATCACTATATATATTGATGAAAGCCTAATTAAAATCCCATGCATAGTTTAAAAGATCTAAGCGTACAGACGACGGGAAACAACTTCGTTTTATGTTATATAGCGATACTCTTTTAGAACAGACGTATACAAGTATACCGTTCTACATTCGTCCATAAACAGGCATGATGACGTTTGGCGATTAAAATTCAAATGTCATGCTTAGGTCATTTTAGGGTCATTACACGTGACCCTAAAATTACTAAAGAATAACGTCACTTTAGTCTCAGAGTTCATCGAAATACCTGGGCGGGCAAACCGCTTTAAGTTCAAGTGCCGCTATAACAGCTAGACACAGGTGTCCCCAAATATGACGCAGATGTTTCTTACAAAAACAGTAGGTAAGTAATGGCACTTGAATTCTTGAAGAGAAAGTATTTAATGAGCTACCTACCTTATCTCATCTGTTTTATTATTAATTTATAAACGAACATACTGCAGTGATACTTAGGTTTCACTGCCAAATAGCACAAACTAAACCCTACTATTTTATCAAGTTGGTCTATCTGTTATTTCACATCACAGTGTACTTTATCCGTATATAGCAGCATTACTATAACTTCAATACACATTTATTTAAAATGTAAATAAACAAATAAATGACCGAACCAGAAAACAATCTACTAATCTCCAATAGTACAAATAAAAATGGATTAACTGATTGAAGTTTTGATTCATTACAAATTTTATTTAGAAAGTTTTTCTGTCATAAGTTTGGTAATTCAACTGATTCAACGAAAAAATTTTTTTGGCATTTGGAGCACGGGATTTATTTATCTGCAATATTTTATTTAAATATTTTTCGATGTACTACACTCTCACATTACCACAATACACACGCACACATGCACACACGCATGTATGGTACGCACGCACGCACGAGACCAAACATGGCCTGCACTACATTTTTAAAAATCGGTACAAATGTTCTCAAATCACTGGTTTATTTAAGGTGAGTCTAGAGATATTTTTTTTGTTTTTTTTTTTATTTTCTATACATATACAATAAATGATAAAAATAGGCATCAACAATGCACCTTTCTGGAGCCCTGAACCAACCAGAAAAAGTGAAATCCCTGTATTTAATAGAATTACTGGAGAATTAAATTAACATAATTTCTAATTTCACCTACAATTTCATCTTACTAATGTAATAAAATTTGTACTATGTACATGGAAGATGAATAAAAAATATATGAGAGGTCTTATAACGACTAATAGGTGCCAGAACAAACATTTTCAGAAATTTTGTATTTGTTCCGGCATCACTAAAAATCTACTGCTCGAAAATGGATGCGGTTTTTAGTTGTATTCCTGAAGGAAAGTCTAAAGTAAAAACTATTGCATGTTTCATCTTGATATGCCGTGGTCTATTTTATTAGCCTTCCTACTCCTGAAATCCAGGCGTATGAAGTAGACTGAAAGCTAAAAGCTACTTAAGAAGTAAAATCTATATTAGTATTCTATCTGACCTATATGTATTCAGTGTTTTATGTTTTAGTTTCTATCGCCCATTTACCTAACATTTGTTATCTCTGAAGAGAAGATTATTAGTAATGGGGAATGGGGGAAAGGGATTGTTAGTAATGGAGACTGAGAATCCTATTGCTAGCAATATAAGCAACCAGGTCGACCTTCTCGCGGTTCTCCCTGGAAACTATCATGGTTAATTCCTGATGAATTCACCATGATGGGCTAACTGGCCTGTTTTCATTCTCATCTATCACCCTTCACTGGTGCTCCGCCAGCGTATCCCGTTAGCGCAGGCGGGGTTACCATACCATTTTCACCCATCAAAAAAAAAGTAATGGGGAATAACAGCCCCATTGTCCGTAACATGTCTTTCCAATTAAAAGTAATGATGATAGAGATAGATGATAGAGCTACAGGTATCTCAAGGTTCACTCGACAGATTCTGATAAAATATAAATAGGTATATCTGCACCGGTTTAAGCCGAGCTATCTCCTCTAAGGAATAAAACTTAACAGTTGAGTTGACCTACCTACTCGATTATAAGATTTCGATAAAATCCGTTCAGCCATTTCGTCGTAATGATGTAATAAAGATAAATTCTAAAAATTACCGACTAGGATTCCATTGGAAATTTCTAGTAAGATGCGAAGCTTGTATCCTGAGAATTTCAGTATAGATAATAGGAATAGAATATAAATAAGCAGTACTTTTTATCATGTAGGAAAGAACTTTTTAAATTATAAATCGGAATCATTGAAAATTATTGTTTTTGAAAATTGACATAGTATTGCGCGTTGCAACACATTGGTAAGCTATATTGGTAAGTTGTGACCTATCAAAAGGAGATCTTGAATTTGTCGATTTTCTACCTTATTACCAGCTAATTAGGTCGCTAATTCTGAACTGATTTTCATGTTTTTTTCGCACTCAATTGAGTACAAAACACACGGGGTGTCGCTCCTATATTAATTTTGTGAAAATTAAAAAGTACACAGAATAGGATTTCAAGTAAATACCAAAGTCGGTCGCAGTGTGTAATATTTTTGGCCAGGTAACAAATATTATTTATTTGATATGTAGGAAAGTATAAACAACTCGAACCTAAATAAATAAACTCTAAAGGTACAGTTTACTTTTTACTTAGCACCGGCCAACATAAAATATTATGCCTGGTTTACATTAGGAAACTAGTTTTGCGACATTAAATCCCTCTAGCCACTTCTTAGCATAAGAGTTACTAAATAAATATGTTATATATAGTCATTTTGAACAGAATTTAAAGAAAAGTTAAGTAACATTTGTTGAAATTATCATAGAAACACTAAAACGAAATGTGAAATGGATAACAAATCTAAACATTCAATGAATTAATCCATTTTTTTATTTGTGCTACTATTAGTAGACTGTCAGGCGGCTCGACACAGTCGTTTATTCTTTTTCTCCTCTTGCACCTATGTTGTGTATTGTTTTAATCCATTTGAAGCAACGTCCTGAGGAATAAAAGGTGCGGTGTGAAATCATATTTTTACTAATTCCATCATCACACTAATAACATTAAATAGCTAAAAGTAGCATTTTCACACGAAAACTACCACATCGTAACTTTTTACACTGCATGAATATTACCTTACACTTTTTTGTTAAAAAAAATTTTTTTTTTTTTATGCAACTTAGAATGACAAACAAGCTGACGGCCCACCTGATGGAAAGTGTTTAATGGATGTAATTGAATGCTACCTATAATGCCGCCTACGGCTATTATTTAAAAGGATATATAACACCAACAATCACTTTTCCCTGTAGTAACCAAGATGAACTCCTCCCTAGAAGGGTTAGGGCGACAGACAATAGGGTCGATGGTGTGGTAACATTATCCAATCTAATTCTCTAAAATTAAAAATGCAATTTGATATCACAGCAAAATATTTGTTATAAGGACAAATATAAAATAAATTTCTAATAGACTATCCAAACAAATAATATTATTCCCAAAATTATCAACTTTAAATTTTATAGATAGGCTTAAGGAATAACGCCACAAAATCGACTCCAATGTTAGTCATTAGAAACAATCGACCAAAGTCGACATTTGTTTTAAGCTAAACACTTTATAAATGATTAGTAGATATTTTGTAACAAAATTTGTCCATACTATTGTAACATCATTGACTGAGTAAAGAATGAGCAAGCTTCCCTTTTTACTAGCTTCCTTTTTGCAAGCAGTAGTGTAAGTATACCATCTGACACCTGTAGTAAACTAATCGGATGGGACCCTCCCTCTAAAAAAAGCTAGACGTTGTAGTTTATTTTTTATGTAATTTTATCTTTCATTTTTTAGTTTTACTCAAAAATCGTTTGTTCATAAAAATTGTGTAACCTTAATATTTACATAATTCGTGTATATTCTTGAGTTAATACTTTAATTGTTAAATGATTCAATACGATTTTTTTACAAAATTATGTAAATAATCATGGATTCTTCCTGTGCTCACGACTACTGGAACCAAGAGCTCTCAGGCCGGGAGCTGTAGCATTTTGCTCGCTCTGCCACCCTATTATTACGCCACTGGCTGGAACCAAAAATCCTAAGAAAAGATAATTATTTATTCTTAAAAAAAAACTAATAATGTAACTAAAATCTAAATGTTTTTCTACGTATATTTTTTCAAATAAAAATATTCAATTATTAATAATTCATCTGTATATATTTTTGTGTTGATTATGCGATGGGATTAGAAATAAGAAACTACTGGATGTCATAATGCAATTTCTTCATTTTCCTCAGGTACATATCGGTCGCGTAAATTGACTACAAAGTCCCAATATCACGAAGCGATACAACGCAATCTTATTAATAGCTTCATCGTGACGGTAGCACATACAATATATAATAATATATACTTTAGATAAACTGATTACCATGCATTATATTATATATATTTTATTTAATAGTCATATATAATTTCTAATAAAAAAATAGCAGGGTTAGAATAATAGCGTATGCACCATAGCTCTGGGCCTACAGACAAAATATTCTACTATAGGGAAGTGCAAAATGTAAGTTATTTACAGTTATTATGTAAATAGTATTAATGGTTATAAATTCAAAGTTCCATACGTTTTGCGCTTCTCTATTAACGAACAACATCGTTAACGAGTCCTTTCATAAATGACCGTAGCCACAATACGGCACGCTTATATGCAAATGCATCTACGAACAAAAATATAATTCGTAGTACATATATAATACTTTTTTATAATAATGTGATAAAAAAAGTCCTGAGCTGTAACACGCCACGGTAAATTATCAAAGCACGCGATAGAGTGTTACTCTGTCTATACCTCTCTCTCTGTCTGACCTCCCCTTCCCCAGACCAAGTACAAACCAATCTATTCACAGAAAAGTTATCGCTAGCGAGTCCATTAGATAGAATGAGATGGCGACGTGCGCTGCCTTTTCCTTCTCATGTGAGCGCTAACTGAAACGATTCTATAGATAGATTCGTCTGTACCTTATCTAGGGGGACTACTAACTCAAATAGACACAATTATTAATTATAGACATATAAGTGGTATATTACACCATCAAATATTAGGAAAGCAATAGTATATTTTAAAATTCTAAATACTGACTCAACAAAAACATGATCTCAACAGATTCTAAAAGATATCACAAACTTAGTAAGAAAAAAATAGATACGATTCTACATATATGATAGTGTAACATACCGCTTTAGGATGTAATATGGATGTTGAATGATAATATATATAAATATATAGTTATACAAAAATGTATTTGATCTCGCCAGTATCTAATTATACCTGTGATAATAGCCCTAAAGCAATAGGCTTCTGGATTATCTTGAGCTAAACGAATTAATCACTTTATTATTTAATAAAGACTTTACTTCAGTACGTTTTAATTGATCAATAAGAAGAACATAATAAATTATATCAAAATTTTTTTTATCTTATAAACTCAATGCAAATTAGATTTGTCTGAGCTATAGTTTAGTATTTTTTAAATATTGCTGTAAAAATTTAATATATCTGGAGTAAGTAATTAATATTACGATGTTACTTATTTTTTTTAGAATATTTCAAATTGTAGGTTCAATATCATAAAATGAATATGCATTACAATATGTAATTATTTTATTTTCATCGTCCAATTGATAAAATCGTACCGAACATCAGACTTATTTCAAGTCCATTACTGAAATATTGCATCATATTGTTAACATCGTATATGGCTTTACATTTACAGAAACTATCTACGTACTTGCACAAATCGTCACAGTTATTTATTTGAAGCTTCCAAATAAAATCACCAGTATTAATTTATATTTCATTGTTAGCTTTTTGATAATTAACCACCAATACCCACTAACTAGCATCTGTCATAAGCGAGTATCTGTAATTTTCTTTTTAAACTTAACTGTTTTCTGTTATATAGAGAAAGAAATTTTACATCCATATATTAAAATTGGATACTAAAACATTTTTGGAATAAATTCATATTTTTTTCTGTAAAATTTAATGCGTGTTAGAGGACATTCGCGCTTAATAGTCGTTTTATATTTCCAATTTATTATGCAATACTTGAACAAAGTGTATTAGGCACACAGTAACCGAGTGAAATGCACTTGTCGAATTGTATACACAGTTGCTATGACACCATTATGTTATTATGTAGCTTCTACAATATATTAATTTTAAAATATACTTCATCGCTTGACCATTGAACATCTCACAAGTTCCATCCGAGTCATTTACATATCAAAATGATAAATAGAGGTAACAATTCGTACCGCATACAGTCGCATACAGTCTCAATCGTAAAAATCATGAAGAGAGGAATCTGATATATAGATTAACATATTATTATTTATTCACGCGGACAAACGCACAACTACAATTATGTTCTTTTTTCGATATCTTCACACATAAAAATATCATAATATTCGTTCACGCTAATCCCCAAATGCGTAAACAATTGTAATGTAAATTTGTAAATATGTATTATTTGTTTCGACTTGAAATAGGATAGCTAGTGATAGATAGATAGATAGATGAATAGATAGGTGGTCATAGAGGGTAAAATAATGTCTGCCGGATCAATGGTTTCATATAAATTGCTCAACTGATCGTCATTCTATTTAGGTGAGAAATGTGTTTTATGAATCTAGATCATATGTATTTAGATAGAGCATGAAGTGGCATTAAACCTCCCAAAAACAATCCGCTTACTGTTGGTTGGCGTGTGATATTTCCATATTGAGACTGAATGTTTAAACATTCAATACCTTATTTATACGCACCTAAGTGTGAAAATATAATACTGCTAATAAATAAAAAGGAAATGCTGTTTATAAGATGTAACAATTGCATTTTTCATAGGGAAATCCGGCGAGTCTTTAAAAGTTTAGGATTGATATACCTTTACAACTACTCCTGTATAACTTTTTTCTTATACTATGGTATACTTGGAAACCAAACTTGATATATTACTTATCGAAACAACAGTACATAAAGAAATATTATTATATATTAAAAAATAAATAAGTTGAGCTAGTAATGAGCATACATCCAACCAGATGATAAACAATTACCATAGTCTATGAACGCTTGCAATATCAAGGATATTACGTGCACATTGCCGACCCTGAAGATATTGCTACTTTAAGGATCCCCGTGTATCGATTATGTATTGTCAAGTACGTATATATCTTTTTTGTCTATTAAATGTTTAATGTACGTATATATCTTCTTTTTTTTTGTCTATTAAGTGATTCATTTAAACCAGATACGCCATATTACTTAATAAATACGCCAAGTATGAAAAATTACTTATTTTAAATAATACTTAGTAGTATGTAAATTTTAAAATAAATGAACTCGGGGAAACTTTGGTGAGATCATACTTAGGCCCCTCACAGCACCATGTGGAAAATGTAGTTTATATCATACATATATATTATTATTATTATTAACATAAAACATTTGGATATTGAGTAAAATGTAAACAAAATAATTTGATTTATTATAAATAGCTAATTGTACTTTTAAAGACATGAATACGGGGTTAAAAAATAGTTGAGCTATCTTTGAAATATCTTAACGTCTAAATAGTATATTCAATTTTTACTTTTCGTATTATATAGGCAATTACCGAAGCCCAAATAGGTAATGCGAGTACCTACTCTGACGTTTTCCTTACTTGTCAATTTTAATAAACAATCATGCTATCTCAGTATACATAAAATGAACAAGTTACTAGAATAAACAGATTTTCACATTATCATTTTAATGTCTAAAAAGACACGCCAAAGTTAAACATTTAAAATTAGACATTTGGCAATTCACTTCACTTCTTGCCCGTCTTGAATTTTTTCCGATCGCCCAACAATTATTAAGATATAATTTTCATATTTTTATAACATTTCTATATTTGTCAAAATGATTTACTTATTAAAAATGACAAATAAGAAAAATAATATTTAATTTCATATGTCGAATTTGTAAAAATTAAAAAAAAAAACATAAACAAACATATATTATTATAGGAAGAACTAGAAATAATTGAATCATTATGTCTATTTGTATTACATAAATGATTCATTTCACTTTAGGCTAATCCTAAGAACTAAAATTTTATAATTTTTAATATATCTCGTTTTTATACCTCAGTGTGAGGCAAATAAAATATAGGACCCAAAACACTAGTCATACCATTCAATTTATAATTGAACAGCTGAATGGATACCAATATATTTTAGTTTTAACACATAAAAATTTCATTTCAGAACCATTATTGCATATTTTTTAAGATATTTTGGTGAACCCTATTATATTAATTTAAATCTTAACTCATAGTCCAATAAAAAAAAAATATTTCCTATAATTTTTTTAGTGATGTTAGATCATCTTTATATTATGACAACGCAGTCGTGAAAGTAAATATAATTCCTAAATCTACTTAAAAGACGAAAACAAAATTACGTATATTCATCAAATAAATACTCTTCAAAATACATTTAACACATTGGAAAACAAACAGAATTTTTATGCCACGTTACCGATAGATAATGCTCTAGGCATTATCGTAAGCTGAGTGTGACATGTTACTCGACTATAGAAAAATATTACTAAAACGTAATACACGACCTCAACATTACGTAATGAGAAAATATCAAAGTATAATTTATGATTATTTATGGCCGTAGCAAGGGGGAGACACATTAGGGGGAAATCCCCTACCTTATAAGGCCTAATGCCCTACCATAAAATGAAACGCCTCAAGATTAGACAGATTCTCTTTTTCCAAATCACTTAATTATGGCTTTTGTTCTACCAAAAAGTTCTTTTGCCCTACTTTAAACAAGGGTCTAACTACGGCCCTGTGATTATTATATTGTCTTTAGACTCCAATAACTCATTAGGTACAGTTCTTTTATAGTGAAACTTGTCAACTGACACCTGCACTGCTCTATACCGCACTAAGAATACGTAGTAATTATACGCGCGTGTTTACTAGACTAGCTTCATTGTCTATGATTTTGCTCAAATTGTTTGCCGCCAACTTCATATATTACGAAATTCATGAGTATGAATAATAAAAAAATAAATAAACGTCTAAAATAAATAATTCGTTACTAAAAACTTTTTGGTCTTGTTCACATAACGAATAGAAATTTAATTTCAAAATAAAACAAATAAATAGAGAACGACTCATTTTAGCTCCAAGGATTGGCCTGGTGATTTATACTGATTCATTTCATATACAACAATGTCTTACCACTTATTTTATCCTACAACACATATACAAATATCGTCGATGATTAAATTTTAGTGACAATATACATTCATTGATATGTAACACTATATACAAAACTTTAATTATATAATAACAGCGTAACTTATTATAACCGCTACATTGAATAAATAACCACACTCTAACTAAATTATAAAGCGTTATATAAAATATATGTAAAATGCGCGAACTATACAAATAGATTTTTTTACAATAAGTAGAGAGAACGTGAGAACGCGTGTTGTCATTAATTGAATGTAGTCCAACCCTTAGGTAGGGCACTACCCGTGTCGGACCGGGCACTAGTACTCGAACTGGCTGGAAACTCGAAGGCGAATTGACTAAAGTCTAGTCCATACTCATGCAATAGCGCACTGTCCGTAGACGACTTGATTTGTTCAACATTCTTATCGCGACACTTGAGAGGATCGAAATCTTCTAGACACGTTGGCGAATCATCCAATTTTATGAGATCAGTTACAGAGCCACACGGCTGAAAAAGAAATTCCAGTGTTAAACACAAAGCGACACAGACGCCCGGTCATACTGTTACCTGAACACATTAGGGTTTAGTGCAAATGTTGACATTAATTACAAAGGCATAGCCAATATATAGTATACCTAAATTGTTTATGGTTCGCTCTGTAACTATGGGCTTATACATATAGCTGATATATGGAATATGTGAAAATTTTTACCACTGTTACACAAACATTTCCGCTATTAGTATAAACTATAATAACAGATTCCAGATTATACAGCTTTATAAACCACGTTAGTAATTAATTTAGCAATCCCCGTCCAACGAAAAAGTATAGAATAATAATAATAACACTATAAACTGAAACCATTATTTTGATAGTGTGTGTGTTGTGTATAGTTAGGTAATATGGACATATTTTGAGAATCTATGTGAAAAACAGATATAGAATGTTAATAATTTAATAATTATGATTGTTGGCACTTGTGCAACTTTGAATACATTTTGATATTAAAAACTCTCGACTCTTCCACAAATTGTTATAATAAATGACAATAATGAGAAAAATCTTTTAAAATGCTTTAAGGCATTTTTAAAAGTTTATTCACATTTGTTTTCTTCATAGAATTTACATAAATAGCAAACGAGTTTATAATAGGAAGTTGTTGTGTTCTCACTTTAAAAACCATGCAATTAGGATCTGCAGCGTATGCTGTACCGATACCTTACCGTACCTTAGTTACTTTCATAGTATTCTGTCCTATGGAATATTATTATGGTGTAAAACAGGCGATATCCATTCTATGGAAAGTCATGAAATCACTAAGAGATAAATTTAAAAAAGCAAATATTCTCACTGTAGCTTAACAATGCATATACGTAAACATTTTGTATACTACGTATAGCAGGAATCTAAAACTGTTTTTTTTTAAAACAGCGATCTCATTAATCTTAACACAAATTAAAACTTTCCAGTCCAAAGTATCATTTAAAAAAAAATATTAGATCTTTTATGAGAATGGCCGAAGGGCATTTTGGGTCCAGCTATTAATAAATTTAAAACTGCTATTAAAACACGAAACGATTAAATGAATGACAAATGTGCATGGTATTAGTCGTTCATGCTCAGACTTTTTAATGATCAGTCATTTTAGACATCATCATATCAGCCGTTATTTGTTAACTGCTGAACATAGGCCTCCCCCAGAGACTGTCGGCCCCATTCCTTATGGCAGTTTACAATTAGAGAGGATTTGCCAGTAGTTGCCATGCTTGGCAAAAAAGACGATTTAAAAGTGCTTGTAAACTAATGTATTTAAATAAAGACGGTTTAAATTTGATGGAATAAAAACATATAATTACAATGTCCTTAAAACTTATTTCTGATAACACTACTAAAATATATGGCTTTCATGCAAATATGTGCTTGAGCATGTGTGTATGTGGTTGAACACGGTTTTTTGGTTTTACTGTTACTATACATAACCCTCTATACTTTTTTGTTGGCCTGACTTATCCACATTATCGATAAATCTTACTTTTGATAATTCTTTATTAAATAAATAAGTTTGCTTTAATATTTGAGCTTATATAGCTCTATACAGAATGTAAACAGACAGAAAATCAAAATATAAATTGATCAAGAGCCGCAAACACTTCGACAGAAATAAAAAAAAATGGAACCATCCAATAGGTACTTACTATATACAAAGCAAAATAATTTTTACTTACACAACGTTCGACTCAAAGCAACATTTATCGACCAAGCACCACGCGCCATATAAAGCGAAAATAATATAATTTATCACTAAATAATAATAAAATATAATGTTATAAATATCATGCATAGATACAAATATGAGGAAGTAGATGAAATATCACAAATACACGTGTGCATACGTCATTCAACTAAGGATAAACTATATATAGCATGTCTCATTAGAAAAAGTTGTGAATTGTAAGTACGTAATATAAATAGATATAATTATAAAATAATAACATAATTGCAAAGTGAAAATGCATTCATATAGGCTAAATATTTATCTATTAGGGTTATTCATGAATCTGAAAAGTCGGGGTAAACACAAACTTTCATCCAGTAAGAAGCAGTAGTAAGCAGTGTAGTGATATAATATTATTCGTATATAATTATAATTATGTTTTTCCCCACGAGTTCGTAATATGGAAAATATTATAATGTAGGTTAATATATTTTAGTTAGCAAACAGCTAGTGTCCTTCCACGTCTCAGACAGATTGCCTGCTTAACTATTCATCGTCAAATTGCATATTTACCTTTATTTAATAGAAAATTATAATCGTAATCTTCCTTGCGATGTTTGCAGTTTCTAATGAGCGCATCCCTCTCTTTGTACATTATTTTACTGTGTTCTCTATAAAAGTGCATCTTGCAAACATGAACTTTCAGTGATTGCGTTTAAAGTTTATGACTCGTCGTATAGCAGTGCGTGTAACTATAAATGATAGAATAGCACCTATGTTTCTTAATAAAAGAACTCTTCGAGACAAACTCGTGCTCAAAGGGGTACTGAGAAATGACGTTGTAAGGAATAAAGGGACAACGTTGCATGGGTTAGAGATATATTAAACAGTAATTATTAACAATAATTAATTTCATATAGATACATATTACTCGATTAATGTAATTTCGTGTTAGTGCAAAAACAAACTCCACTCTTGTACTTCTTATGGTATGTATGCAATTAACCTCCGTTGTACAATAAGATACAAAATCGATATGATTACAAATGCACATATCAGAATTACCTCTTGAGCTTTCCATTTCGGAGTGGCGTTGACTGCCGGTTGGGTTAGAGCCCCCGCTAACCTATTGTCCTGACTCTGCCTACTGTCTACAGAGGGCGCCGTAGCATTGCGCGCGTTGCCGTTGCACGGCAGCGGGTTCGGTTGCGACACCTTTCTCTGATTCGATGACATGGTCAGTTTTAGCTTAGCCTTATCTTTGCCTTCCGTGAACCGTATAGCGCTTGTGTGAAAGTCCGTTTCCGGTTTCACTGTATTTTTTGTAATGTTTCTCACAAAATTGGAGCTGTGATTCGGTGGCGGGATGGCCCGCGGCGGCGGTACCGGCGCATCAGACAAATCGATAAGTTTCCTCGTGGAAATTATTGGGTAACGGAGTGGGGGGTGGGGACGTTCCGGTAACCGGGGTGGGAGGCATGGTGACAGTGTTTTCTGCAAAATAAAATGGAATAATGTGCCACGGTGCTCCTAGGAGCGTACATGCTTGTAACGCATTCATATAAAACCAAACACGAATATAGATTAAACTAAGCACGATACAGTGTTTGGCAAGCTGAGCTCGTAACGATAAGCACATATCAAATGATAGACATTACTATAGTTGAAGCACCTGTCTGAAAATAGTCTATTGATATCTATTGCTAATAAACTAGTACGCAAAGATTGTTTAAAAACTTCAGTTAAATTATAATATTTAATTCCTTTTACTCTAACATTTAATACACTGAACAACTATATCAAAAAGGTACTTCGAAGTAACACATAAATGAATTTTTATCATAACTTATGGTGACAATAACAATTTTCGAACACAGTATAGTATATAAAAGTAAATAAATCTAATAATTTGATATCATCAAAAGTTATGATACAACATAGAGCACGATGATTGTAAAAAGACAAAAGCGACTAACGATGTTGCCATTACAAAATAAGACTATATTCATGTTCACAAGGTTTTATTTCGAACTCACCGCCTTATCGGGCAGGCTTATTTCTGAATTGTGCGAGCTGTTTGGGAAACTATCCCGTCGTTGTGCGTTCTTGTTGTCGAAGAGGAACTCCATTTCAGTGAGAAGATCGAGTGGAAGGGGCGGCGGCGGCTCCCGCGGCGGAGGATCATGTGACGGCGATGAGTCAGATGAGTCAGAGGACACTGGCGTTGCTGAACCACATGAAAACCTATGATGAAAAAATTTCATTTTTAAAAATATTCCATTTTACTGATAGTAAGTGTCCTTGAGGCAGACTTTTTAGCGATTAGGCAGAGAATTATTAAAAATCAATCACAAATAGCATAAATACAGTATTATTAATATATATAGTAATAGTGTATTTCATTTATATATACACAAAAAAATCATTTCTTATTACAGTTAAATGTATTTACTATTTTATAAATGGTGCAATAAAGTGTAAATAAATATATAGTAGAACTGAAGAAATTTCTCGCTTTTAATTTCATTCAAAATTAATAACAGATTTCTTGCATCTATAAAATGGGCATTATATTGATGTAAATATGCACTGCGATATATTAATATAAATAGAGTAATCCGCCATTGGTTGGATTTGAGCTTTTGGGGTCTATAGGTAAATCATCTCTTAAATTCCAATAATATCTAATAAAAAAATACTTTGATTAGATTTCTTGCATAGACGTTAACAGAAGAGTCATAGATTAATCTATTATGGTTAGACAGGCAACGTTATATCTGAGGGAGGAGAGTATCTGGTGTGCACACATGAAATGCGTTATGAAAGTGTATGAGCCAATATTTCTATATAGAAAGATTTTGAGTGCTCGGTTATATCTGCCTATCCCGCAAAGGACTTGGCGTGAAGATAAATATAATTAACATAATATCAAAATTAATAGTAACCTGCTATCGTCTGTTGTATTTATTGAGGACGGCCGCGATCCAGTTTTGGGTATTTTACTTTTTAAACCTTTCACAGCCGATTTCATATTTTTACCACCTTGCCGGACCTAAATTAAAATATTACCATAATTAACATTTTAATAGTTATATATACTAACAAATAACGCAAACATTATGGTTTCCGTTAATTCATTAATGTACATAATATTTCACTATATTATATTAAAATCTATCCACAATCTATTTACCCAGAATTAGTAACAAAACACTACCGATTTCATAATGATAGAATTTTTACAAAACATCTCTATACTTGTGCAGACGAAAGACTGTCCTTAACGTATTTTTGTTCGCCCAAAATTAAGCATAAAATTGCATAACATAATGTATATGACAAACAAAAATGTTTCGTCCTATCCACAGTATAAAAGAGATAAGGATGGAAAATAAGGATGGTCTTTTTCTGCGTGTGTCCTTATTCCAAATACTCATGCATGTTTGAAAATATATATATTTATATATAAACAAGTAGAGACTATCAGATGAATATAATTATTGAACTGGTAACCATTATGTTTGCTTAATTCACGCATAACTGCCTTTTCACACAAATCGTATTTAATATTATATTAACAATTGAATGAATTAGAATTGCAGTCGAATTTGAAATGCCATTTATGTCACTCGACAGACTAATTACATAAATATAATTCTAGTTTGAAAAGGCAGTGAATGCATAATGAATATATTACAGTATGCAGTTGCATGCAATAAATACAGATTACAGCTCCTGTAAAAACCCAGTGTGTGCAAAAATAAAATTTATTCACGACATCTGATATTATAAACTTCGTGGAGTATACACTAAGAAAAATATAAATACATTCGGTGTATATAGTGTGAAGAAAAAGAACAGTGTGAAAGATAGAGACAGAAATATGTGTTGAAACTAAATATTTTTCCCCGAAGAACAACTTAAAATAATTTTTCAACTGAATTCGATCTAAAGAAAAGATTTTTATATTTTAATTATTTGTTTCCTAATTCGACAAGTGTTCCTTGGAAAATGTCACTTTAATATATACTTTATTTAATTTTTTACATAGATAATGAAAAAATATTATCTATCTTACTAATAATTAGAAAGAGCATACATTAAAAATAAATAAATACCTTAAATATTAATCTAGCCCGATCTAAGTACAGTTTTAAACTATGGGCACTAAACAACAATTACACATATAATAATATCTATTTTTTTATTGTAAATACATGCATTTAATGTGTAGGAAAATGCCCATAATAATATAAACAGATAATAATATAAATTAACGCAAGTGTAATGTAACTGTAGGGGTCGCAAAATTTTTGGGAGACGATGTAGAGTCTTAAACCCTTACACCACCAATTTTACTAAATATACTGTTATAGACAGAAACATGTAGGAAATAGGAGTAATACAATTTCCACAGATTCTAATCAGACATTGCACCGCACACGAATATAATAACCCGGAGACAAATCCGAAGTCTTTCAAATTTTCTTCATACTAGGGAATGGGTTATTTACTTCTATTATTACATTAACAAGTAAATATAATTTATAAACACTAAATTATATGTTATTGTGAAACTTTTATATCGTAACTAATTTCAGAAAATTAGTACGTACTTAAAGGAAAACCTAATTCGTCAAAATACATATCTGTAATGGTCCAATGTCAGTCACAAAAAAAATTATTTTAAAAGTACACTCCACCAAGTGAATACCAGAAAGATAACAGATACACCGACATTCTGATAGACAACAGTGTTCTCTAAACTCACCGTTTTCACAGCCGATTGTACTGCTGGGTTCGCCTGCAAATATTCACATTTTAAAGCCAAAGAAAATCAAGTACTTACAGCATGCATGCATTAGGTAATTCAGGTGAGGGATGCCATTTTAGTTGTTTAAAAATATATATATTATATATCACGTATAAAAAAAAACGCAACTTATTAAAAAAATATACAATTAAAATTCTCATTTTATTTCGTAACGATAATATCTCTTTGTTTATTACATTGTAGTAAATAAAATATCTCTCAGACCAACAAAAGAGAAGTCACTGTACCGTTAACATACGTAGTTTTAAGATAAATAAAAGGCAATATATAATTGAATATGTTATATTAGTTTTCTATATTTCTTATAAGAAATAACTATAGTTATACAACTCAAGCAATAACGATTTCAAATTAATTGAAAACAGATATATTAATCATTAACATGTTTTTTCCATTCACTCTCTAGACTAAATATGTTTTTCTTTTATATCTAGCATATTTTTCTTAATCAGTCCATAGTTTGTATCAAAATAATTTTACTTCTTATTTGTTAATTGGTAATTAAATCTAGACAATTTGTAAATATTTTGTAATCAAGTTTAAGTTCTATTTTAATATTCCTACTTTAGAGTCGAAATAATTCAGCTATAATGAACTGAAATATTTTGACTCTAAAGTAGGAATATTAGAACAAAAACTAGGTTATTATCATCATAACCGAAATACAATATACATTTGTAAACTTCCAATATTTAGACATATCAGAAACGGAATGAAATTCTCTTAGTTTCGTCAGACTTGTATATCAACCCAAGAATATAATTTTAGACTTCTTTTTCCAGTCATTTCTAAATCTTTAGAGATTTTTGCAAGAGCTTGATTAGTAGACAACGGTGTTGTTAGAAATATGTGTTTTTAGACATATACTGGTGTCGTTGTAGTTGATTGTGAAGAACTCTCGTCTTTGCTGGTCCCGTGTGCTGTACTTGATTGTAGCCAAAGTACAGCGGATTGGTGTAGAGCAAAGTACAACACCCCACCATTACATTTTTATCCATACAAAAAAAAAACAGGTTAAGTACAGCAAAAATCAAAATAGCACGTCAAAAATTCTAATAACGTAACTCCCTAAAACAGAAAATTATTAAGTGTATCGTGTTTAAAACATTAACTTATTAAGAAATTACTATATTCATATTAAATAATAAAAATTTAAAAAAAAACTTACTCTTTAACACTTAAACATGTAGAGCTTTATCACCTCCAAATACCGAGAAATTTCCGCTTGCAACTTACTTCATGTTGATCACTTTTATTTGAACGTCAACTAGCCATAGATAATCATCAGTAAAAATAACAAAGACATTTAAAAAAACTTTACATGATCAAGGTACAATAGAATCAAGGTACAGCAGTTTCCCCTGAATAATTTATAAACGCAAAATAATATTCACGCAAATATTTTCATCAAAACGATGCCCATGGCTTGTCAATCGAAATTATTATGCAATATTATATTATATTATGCAATAAAATAATATTATTAATTAATTCAAAACATTGTAATTTTATTTTTTAATGTCATCATCTAAATATGAATTCATTGATTCATTCTATAATAATTAATATTATATTAAGATAATTAAATCATCATAAGGCTATTCAACGACCATTTCTGATTGTACTTATAAAATAAAGAAAAAAATAGCAACACTTTTTTTACTCAATTATTACAAAAGTCGATTGCTTGGGTACCTCTGTCCCATTCGTATTTCAACCGTGAAGCAGTTGTGTTTGCATGGCTGTGTTTCGGTTTGAAGGGTGGGATATGGCGTGAATTTACTGGATACAGAGGAATAACACCTAAGTCCTCAGGAGTGACAACGCATGGGGGGTATCATGGGCGAAACAGTATACTCTGTTATGTCCATGGTACTGCTAATGTCTATAGGCAACGGTTACCATTTAACATCAGGTGGGCCGTCAGCTTGTTTGCCATTCTAAATTGTATAAAAAAAAACAAATTATAAATACATACAAAAAACAACGGTTACAGTTCGCAATTGGATATGTAATATTTAATATTTTTATTGGTCTGAGAATGGAATATTCTTAAATTATAAGAATATGGCTATTTTTCATAACAAGATTTTATATTTTCAACTTCAGACTTTAAAAAGAGATATTTACAGTGATTATCCTTTTGTGAACTTCCAACATCATAATTTAAAATCCCATTTCAATATACGAGTAAATATTGGTATATCATTTAAAATTGTCAATAAATGTCGTTAAATTTGGTTTATTTCATTGGCGTTAATTTAAAATTTAAATTATGAAGTTTAGAAGCTAAAAGAAAATGAGAATTGTTATTAAGATTTAAAAAAAAAAAAAACAGTAGAACGATTTAATTATTCGTCTTACGTCATCGATGAATAATTAAAATTTATGTGGATAATTAAAATTACTTAAAAATTATTAAGTAAACTTAATGGCAGCCCTTCGAAATGAAATATGTTAGCTATTGTTAAAAATAACTTAGGAAATACTAGCACAACATAAAAGCCATAGGTTTTCCAAATGTGGACAGTACCCATTGTTCGTACAAGGCAAAAGCTTTTAAGATTATGACATCAACCCCGTTATTCTTAAAAACGTTCTAACAAAGCAGTATTAATTATTGAAGCAATTTGTCTATTTCTTTTGCTCTAAATTCTTAATTTAAAAGAAAATGACAAACACTTTAATAGTTAAATTTTATGGATAAGACGGTAATAACATAATATGCCTCATATATGTTACCCATGTTTATTTAAATGTTAGAAATACAAATTTTACTCTTACTTTAACTGGCTAAATAAAATTTACACCAAATAAAAATAAATGAAATTCCATTTTTTTCTGTTCTAATTATAAGAACATTTATATCAATAATTAAAATCATTCTTCAGATAAAGACAATTTATAAAAAAAAATCAATTATAGAGAAACAAATTTTGTGTTCATGTGCAAGTTCAAAATAGCATAATATTATTAATATTTTTTATTGCAACACTCACCAAACTAGGATTTACTTATTAGGACCAAAATAGGTAATGCGTTAATAACGTTATACAACCAAAATTAATATGTTACCTTATCTTTGACAGTTTTGAAAAAAGCACCACCTTCTTTCTTGACCGTCTTAGCCCAGTCCCGGTATTGTTGTTTTAGCCTCTGCCCACTGCCCGTATTCAACTTGTCAGCATAATGATTACATTCAATCTCAAACTCATCACTGAAACCTCGTCCTGAATTAAGTAGACCCAGTCTTTCATCAATAAACTAAAACATAATTATTGAAAGTATATTATGTAATGAATAAAACAGTCCTAGCTAAAACATATTATCAATGTGCATATGAGTTTATTTTTTAAATATACATACACTATTCAACATGGTCACACTATATTAAATAATCAGTCAACGAAAAGGCAACAATATTCCTCTTAAAACATCACCAAAGCTTAAATGTGGTTGGCAAATCGACTGTCAAGCATGGCAAGTACTGGCAACCCCCCCTTTTCCCCCATAGGGAAGGTCTGTGTTCAACAACAGCAGTGGAAAGTTAACGACTGATATAATGATGATGATTTGACATATTACTTTTTATTCTAATCAATCGATATATCCAGGGCAAAAATTAGTAAAATATATTTTCTCAAACGCAAAACAAATATTAAAATCTTATTAAACAATATAATCAACTACATAATAAGTAGTATATTTAATCACATTTTCATTTAATAATAAATATAATTATTAGGTTACAGTTTTAACATAAATAGGCACTACCTGCTGAAATATTTGAGATTGGAGTATTTTTCTAAGAAAGTGTTGCATGTTTTTTCTAGTTCTCACAAAAGCCTCTGCATTGAAGGTAATCAACTGGCCATTTTCAATTCTGAAACAAAATTACATGTTACTTAATATTATATTTTACAAAAAATCTATAAAACTTATTGAAACATTTATTGAAACTCAAGTAACAGGTGTGAAACAACTGGACTGCAATGGCTAAGATAATAAAAGGAAAATAGCATAGTAAGTAAGCATAGCATCTTAGTCCTCCGGAACGCAACGCATTAGAAGTAGCATGGGCGTCACAGTATATTCTGTGTTGCCCCTGATACTATTTATATTTATATTATACCCCCCATGCGTTGCCATTCCTGAGGAGTAAGGTGCTCTGCCGATGTACCCTGGGAATTCACTCCCATATCTCACCCTTCAAGCCGAAAAACAGTCAACAAACACAAATGCTTTACGGTAGAAACACGAATAGGACAAAGGTATCCAAGCAAATGACTTTTGTACAAAATCTCCCTTTAGTATATATTCTATAATATTTTAAAGGTTAACGTTTACGATATGAATGAATACAAAATCTTACTTGATAGCATCACGATAGCCACCTATAAGACATACAAGCGCACGTAAGAATGCCCTCGAGACCGCATCGCCCAGCGCATTTTTGTCACTTAAAGCTTTTTTTAAGCTCGTTACCTGAAAGAACAAAGAAGTTTCATTTAACACATTTTTAAAATAAGCTTTTACAATATAATCCATCCATGACTCATCTTGTGACTGCGGCCATTTTGAAAATATTTCAAAATCGAATACTGCATACTGTACAGTATATCGTTGCCAAAACTAAAGACTATGCTGACTTTCAGCAAAATCGATTAGAAAGGACAGGTTCTAATTTGACTTACAACATTCGACTTAAACAAATTTACTAAATAATTGTGTAAGTAAAAAAAAAATCTTGTAAAATACTTTTAAAATTAGAATATTTTCATTTAATTCAATCTGAAATAATTTCACCAGTACCTAATAAATATATAAAAAAAAAATTATAAAACTTGAACAGTCTCAGATAAACGGTGAGAATTCTTATCCATTGTTTAATATTGAATCTTAAAATGAGAAAAAAAAGGAAACATCATCGAGGAAGAATAAAAGAAAAGGATCATTATAATAATAATAAACTCTAAAGATAATAAACAGAAAATATGTGATAATAACGTGCTTGACAAAAGGTTACATTAATATATGAGTTTCTAAAACACCAAACTTGATTTTTTAGGTACATTGTTTATAAAGATGTTCTTAATAGCTGTACATGCAAAGAATATTCGCTGAAACAGGAATATTACAATAATTATATTTATATATAAGAATTTTTATTATATATATAAGAATTATAATTATATATAAGAATTTTAAGAATATTACAATAATTATACTGTACTTACCAATTCTGGAGGAAGACTTTCTACATCATGGAAGGGCGTTCTAAGCTCATTTGTATCTACATCTACTATGACAACATCTCCTATTTCAGACATTCTCACAGACTGCAATTAGAAAGTACAAATTTGACATATCAATTGCATTCCTTTTGAAACAAATTAAGTACTGTATTATTTATTAGACATTTTGTTATTTATTTTTTAATATGTAATTATTTATATACAATCTTATTTACCGATAATGCGACCTACTAAATCGTGAGACAAGTATTATAAAATCAGAAAACGCTACTATTTTTGCAAAGAAGTTTATGTAAATATTATATGTGTACAGTATATCTGTCCCTGACAGAACCCAATCTAGGTAATTTTCCAGCTCCTTATAAGTACTCTACTACATTGACAACTGGAAAAATAAATAAAAGAGCTCTGTTTATAGGATCCTAAATTGCCAGAACATTACCTTTTATATTAAGCTTAACTATTATATTATATATTACCTTTTATATTATGCTTAACTAAAACAGGGTGCCAAAAAATTGTTATATACTAGTTTTTTGTCCGCTACTTCGTATGCAGGAATTATCAAGTCCTACTTGATAATTCCTGCATACGAAGGAACCATTTATATAAATAAAACATCATAATCATCATTTCAGCCATTATCCGTCCAATAAAACATATATCAGGTATTAAATACATAACTATGGCACACAATTTGGTGTAATAGTTTTTGTGTGATAATACCAGAACAAATATAAATACAAAAGTACATACAAAATTTTCGCTAATATATTTTTTCTTAAATATTCCCATGCGCAGGCATCGTTTAGTTACAATTTTATCATACAATTACAATTGTTTAAAACACATCTTCCTTCAAAATATATAGAATACAAACTATAAATATTTTTTCTTACCTCCATAACGGATTTAGGAACTCCAATAAGAAAAGGCATAGGCGCCAATAAGTAATCAACAAGATGTTTTGGTAGTATTGGTATGAATATGTGTTGCCAAGACATGGGAAACAATGTAGCGTTGGCCGCTTGGACGCAAGCCGACAACCGGGACGGTTTTGATGCCACGATAGCCACACGACGTTCATTGAGCAAAGCTGCCCACAACCCAATCATACTTTTTGGGTCCAGGGCGCTAAAATATTCTGTTAAATTATTCTGAAAATTAAATTGTTAATATTTAAAAAAATAAGTTATTCTCTCGTTCATACTAATGCTATTCATATAAAGGGATGTTTATTTCATTATATCTTGGTCCCTAAACAGCTCTACCAATAGTCATAATACTTATTTATTGTAAAACCCCGTTACACTTGCATTTACAGAGCGAATGGAAGCCATAGGTAAAACTAAGCATCTACCTATGCTATAGAATAATGCTTCTTAACCGATGGTCCACGGACCACCAGTAAACGCCGGAAGCACCCGAAGAGGTCCGCGAAACCATTCGAAAAAAATTGAACAGACAAAAATTCGACACATCAACGCACAACACTGACTGTGCTACAATTGAAAAATAAATCTATGCAATGGTGTTACATTTTTAGGAATTTTTATTTTTTGGTTATTAATTATTTAATTGAACAAATAAATATACTGCCATATTCAAAAACTAAACTACCGAACCAATTTTAATAAAATTTCTATAAGACTAATCTGCATATGTAAGTATAAGTATCCTTTCAGATAAAAAAAATCTAAATTAGTTTGACAACACATGGAGTTAGAAGGTAACAAATATTAAAAAAATACAACCAAATTGAGAACTTCCTTCTTTTTTATGTTGGTTGAAAATAAAATGCTGATCGTATCTGCACCATTTATCAAGTGGGTTAATTTGGCTTAATCTTATTTTTTAATTATCTTTGTAAAGAATTTTTAAGATAAGCAAACAATTGACAGTTTTAAGACAGCTAATTTACTATAGAAAAATCTATATTACATACATTTTCTGGAATGCTGGGTAGTTTGGCGTCTGGGCTTTGGCACGTGAATACACTGTGGCCAGCATTATATGTAACTTTGAGCGTATGACCAGGCATGGGGGGCCGGGAGCGACATGACTCTAAAAAGTATGTCAATTCCCCTCGTTCAGGACTATTCAGTAAATTGGCTATACAATTCAGTAACCTGAAATGTACAACAGTTAGCTTGGAATCAAAATTATTAGATTATTCGCACACTCGCCGAGCAATTAGCATAAAGCACGTACATTCATAGAGCAAATTATAAGCGTATTATCATCTTCGCAGATGCACATTAGAAGAAAATCATGATACTCCTTTTCATTATACTGCAAAATTGTCTCTTCAATTAATACAATTATTATATGTTTATTTCACAGACATAAATAATCCACTTTCATGCCATTCTTCATAGCTGAGTTGACAAATTGGAGAGTGGACAAATGAGAAGACAAAGGAGAGAGTTAATTTGATTCTTTGATTGTAAAATTAATTAATATATAGCAAGTAAATAAATAACAAAAGTGTTAACAGAAAATAAACACAAATAAAATCGTTCGTAAAAAAGCAATATTAAAAATAAGAAATTTAGAATCAAGCTTCACGCAATAAAGGACATTATCAAAATCTATAATTATAAAAAAATACACTTGAACGTAATATAAAACTATGACGATAAGGAAATAATAAATCTACTGAAAAGATAAAACTAAACATCTATACAGTAGTAAATATTTTTTCTGCGTCAAAACGTACATTGTTTCTATCAGCAATAATTACAAATAATAATTATGTATTTGTTATATAAAATTATTCATAATTTTTTACCAATTGCATATATAATCAATCGCTTAGCGGTAAGTCAACTATACTTACTTATAAAATATATCATGCCATGGTAAATGGGATAACAGGACCAACGCTGCTTTCGCCTTCGGATCATATCGACAAAAACAAAATGTATATTTGGAATCCATTGATGTTAATACAAACGAATAAAGTTGTACAAATGGTCTGGAAAAAAAACAAATAATAATAATTGAGTAAACAAATATAAATAGACAGAAATTTCCAAAACAATATGGCCTATGTTACTCGCTGATAAAGTAGCTTTCTATAGGTGAAAGATTATTTTCAACTTGATTGAGTAGTTTTTAAGTATATTCATTGCAAACAATCAATCAAATCTTTCCTCTTTATAATACCAGTACAGACTAGCAATGCACCCCCGCTTCGTACAGTTGCTATTAATGGTTGATTTAGAAGAATAAACCAGAGTAACAGACAAATGTGAACAATAACTTTGTTTTGTATTAATTTGATTTTGATTCAAGTAAAATCAGTGCTTTATTTAAATATTTTATATTAATAATAAAACTAATGAAAATAATTTAGCATGCTTTAGAACTATGAATAGAATAGAGCAATGTTTAATTTCAACTTGGTGTCAAATTTGATACTAAACATAAAGTCAGTAATATAAATAATATGGTAAAAAAATAAACAATCTGCTCTATATCAAATTAAACTGGTCAGCAAAATATTGTGTATATGGACTTATGAGCATGTTGAATATAAACATGTAACAAGAACTTATACAGCATGTCTAGTATAGATGCTATAAGCATTTTTAACCGACTTCAAAAAGAAGGGAATTTTCAGTTCTTTGTATTTATTTTTTCGTGTTTGTTAGGGATTAATAAAAAATTTGATAGACGCAATGGAATTGCATTTAAACAACTGAAGAATAAATTGCTACATATAATTTATTGGTCTTCAAATAAAAGAAACTTTAAAAGATCAGTGTTTAAATCTGAATTGGTTGGTAGAGAAAAAAGAGCATGGGCAGCTTTTAAAAATATATGTTACAATTTTCTTGTAAATATAAGAAATTAATATTACAAGAACTAATATAAGATCTCTTTCAAAAACAATGCCAGCTGATTTCTGCTGGAAAATTAATTTTGAAACAGTAGTTAAAATTTATAAAAGAAAGTAATCTACCAAATATTTATTAATTTTTAATGTTATATTAGTATTTTACTTAAGATTTTAATTTGTATCATTGGATTTTATATTTTTCATAATTAGTCCATATTAAATATGTCAATATTAATATTTTATTCAAATGAAAATATATCAACAATTAGAAGTGATCACTAAACAAACTTCTTGTTTTTTTCCTGACTAACGCAATGGATGTGCAATACATAATGTAACATAAAAAACTTATAATAATTTAACAGTCAGGATATTTCATAAATATGTATAAAAACAATTAATTAGTATTAAATAATTAGCTCAATTTTAATGTAAATATATATCTATTTGCATGTATGTATTATATATATGTATATATTTCAATACTCACTCTTCAATTTGACATGGGAATGTAAATTTTGGTAGATTCTTTAACTCTTCTTCATTTTTGTATGACTCAGGATATTTTCTAATAATATATGGCTCCCTCACTTGATCACCAGGTGACACTTCACAATACAGTTCAAAAAGGAAGCGAACCGTGTCTCTGAAATAATTTGTGATGTTTACATAAACAATTATTATTAACACCATCCAAGAAAATTATTTTATTTTTTGTTTCTTATTATTCATTAAAAAAAAGATGGATGTCACCATCTTATTTGTTAATAGTTAAAAATAGGTAATGGATTTATATTTTCATTAATAAAAGCCTGCACAAATTATAAATAATCTGTCTATGATATTCCTTGTCTGCTGGGGCCTAGAGAAAATGTTTGTTACTACTAAATTTTATTACAAATAATTCATTTACTGATAAAACTATTTGTTATAAACAAACATACATAATTTTATTTATCTGATAAGTAGCCTCGCCTTAAGTCCATGAGAATTTTCAAATACAATATGAAGAATTATATTCAAACACATATTGTGTGTAAATAGGAGTGAAATATAAAGCAGAAACCTTCAAAGTACCTTTAAAGTAGTTAAATGTTTTATACAGGTACTGATAGTGGTGTAGCGAGGTAACTAAAGGCCCTGGAGCAAAATGGATATGGAATCATAATTAAGTAGATTTTTAAACCTATAATACAATTTCTTGACTGACTATATGTTTTATGATGAATCTGGAGTATGACAAATCTGTGTTACAACAAATCTAGCATATGTCAAGTTCAAAACACAACAAATATGGAACAAATCTTTAAAATTTTATCAATACAAATATAAGTATGTAGTTACATTTAAATAAGTTTGATTTATTTATATTTCATATTTGGAAGAAATTTGCACTAGTTCAATTTATATTTTGAAGTCAAAGTCTGACTATGCCCCCTGAAATTGAGGGCCCTGGGGCATTGCTCCATCTAGCCCTGCAAACTTCTAACAACTATTATTTTAGTATCTAAATAAATAATCTAAATAATATGAGGGGTCTTAACAAAACCCCTCATATTATTCTTTATTCTACAGACTTTATTTATTTTCTACTATTATATATTGTATGTGTGTAAGTATAAATGAATACATAAACACATCCAAATGATAATGACATCCAAATGAAAATGGTTCAAATTATAAGTCAATTTATATCACAAGATTAAGTACAAACTCAAAGTAACAAAGAGCTTTCCTAACTTTAGCTTAATGTAGTCTGGTAATGTTGCAATTATCTATAAATTTTCAAAAACAACTGAATATTTTTCAATGTTTAAAAATCCTCTGCATGCAAACTAAAATGCTAAACATAAAATATGTTGCATACAAATCAACAACTAAAATCAACATCTACTTTATATTTTGCTTTGAAATCTTTCAATACATTTTTGCCATCAAGATTAAAATTTTTAAAAACAGTCTAATAAAAACATTTTTAATCATATAATACATGATTAACATTTGAGGTCTCTAGCAAAGAACTTTTTAAATAATCAATCAGAAATTTTGATATATATTAAATTGTTTTTGAAATTTGACAAATAATGGCTGTTTCAAAATTTTGAAAATATTTAAATATTTATTTTACTTTAATTAATAAGAACTGAAACAAGTTATATGTGAACATCTCCACACTAGACTAAGACTACATTTTGATGAAAATTACACTAACAAACTTGCATTTAGATATACTTCTCTCAATAAGATTTAAGATAAATTGGAAATATTGTTTAAAATATTAACTCTCATTCAGTTATTATCTATTATGATTAAGTTCTAATAATAAAATCGCAATGTAACTGTAATTTATCTCCAATTAGTCATGTGTTTTATCTCTGAGCAATACCATAGTTAAAAATAAATCAATTATTGCATTTGCTACAGAAAAACTCTGTTCAACATCGTATTATATAAGATTTAAGAGAGATGTTTGACAATAATTACAATTTTATAAAAAGGAAGATCACAAATAAATATAAATAAAGTGCTGGATATACAAGATGGAACATTTCTTAAATAGGCTATATTATATCACGATTTGGTAACAAAAGCAACACTCTTATATCTATTAGGGATAATATTAGTTAATCAAACAGATAAAATATATGATTATTTAAGAATTAATGTACATTATAGTTCATAATTACCTTAATCTGGAACCCATGTCTCGACGTGGAATTTGTGAAAATTTGGTTACATCTTATACAGCGACCAATATTTGTAGAATAATTGTTAAAATAAACAGATCACGATACATCACAAGCCATAGAAATCTACTTAGTAAGCCCAATAAACATATTCTAATTATTTTAAAATAATATTCAATGAAAATATTACGAAAGGTAAAGTGTATACTAGATTGTATTATTTTTAATAACTATAGAGAACAGGAGTAACATAGTAAAGTCAGCACTAATCAGAATCAGTGCCAGTCACCATTCATTTAGCACTGTCAGCTCAGCAGACAGAAATGACATAATTGACAATCTTTTAACCAATCACAACTAAATAGATTTTTTCAATGTGTTTGATTATTCGTGAGGGAAACCTACTACGGATCAAGTTATCACTGCGTTATTTTTAAGAGTCAGCACTACTATTATACCTAAAGAATTGAAAAACAATTCTATGTAACCAACTATAAGTAACAACACGATAAAATCAAGAAAAATAAAAATGAATGGTTAAAATATTATTGTACCACTATTTGTAATATACATGTTTTCAATATAAATATCTATCAAAGGTATGACCTGATATGTCATCAGTCCTATAAACATACTATATTACTGACATTATCTTTATAAACGACTATAATATTGACTTGTTCAATGTTATGTCATTAATTTAATAAATAAATACATTGTTTGCGGATTCGGCCTTCGGAAATGTGTTAGATTAGCACGTGTTCGCGTTTTTTGACTGTTTTAAACTTTTAATTGTGCTGAGACTTTGTACTTTTGTCCCAATTTGTGTTGTGTTCGTTCATTGGTGGCGGGGTAAGTATTTGTGTATATATTTGTGACCCATCTCCATTGTAAACATGATGGAGATGGGTGCGGACGAGGACCCCCCCGATGATGGAGACCCTACTGATATTCCTATTAATCCAGTAAATAATACAAACTCTTCTCAGGTTACACGAAGAAGACAAGCGACAGATGACTTAAAATTGAATAGTGACGAAACCAAAAAAATTTACTCTACATCGAACTCTATTCAGTCTATATATACTTTGCCAGGATTCGAGAATAATACGCATTTTAAATATAAAAATACGGATTCTGCTCCCTAAACTGTAGACGTGATTAGAATAGAACCTGATATTGCTGCGGGTTACTCTATTCGCCTCTTCAAATTCGTCCAGTTTCTCCATAAAAACTTTATTCCAGGCATTAAAGAAGGTGGTATTAAAGCACTTGGCAGAAATAAATTTGCAATAGAATTTAATACACACAGATGCGATTAATTTTGTAGATAACTTCATTTTATCAAATAATAAATACTTTGCTATAATACCTAAATTTCAAATATCTCGTATGGGAGTTGTAGGCAATATTCCTACTGACTGGTCACTGGAAAAGCTGGTACTTAAAACCCCCCAATAGTTGTGGACAAGTAAGTAAGGCCAGAAGGCTCAATATTAAATCGAGAAGACCTGATAGTACTGTCTTCTGCAGTGCTATTCTCTAAGCAAACAGCCTAGACATCACGTCACCTGCCTTGACGCAACGGTGAAATATTGAAATGGTATTCACTAATTCCTAAGACGCGACACTAGCGCCCAAAGACGAACGGCATAAACGGAAACTACCCAAGCCTGTGCGATTTGACATTTTGTCATAGTATTTGGTCAACCTCGCCTTTGCCGATCTTCACCTCTATTTCTTATGTCAAAGTCAAAAGCTGTTTTCTACGCTGTTTACATAGTATTTAACTAATATATTTATTTGTTTCTCGAATTCTGTGATATTTAATTGCATTGAAATTATCAATTTGTGTATAAAAACGATGGCTGCTTGTCTATGTACCATTTGTTGGAAGAAATTAAAAAAGATGATTACAAAAAATGACGAGGCAGTTGCGAAATGCACGCACAGTTTTACGTGATGTGGAATATATTCGTCATTACACTGTCTGAAGACCTAATTAATATGTTAGAAAGTGAATTGGCACCTTATATGCCTGTATGCCGCCGTTCTGGAAGTTTATCACTCAGGTTAAAGGTTTGTAAACTGAAGTTTACTGTTTGATATTATTATCTAAATAAAATAATGATCATTAATTTTTTTGTAGATATTATGTACTTTAGTTATTTTTGGCTAATGGAAGTTACCAAAGACTTCTTGGAAATAATTAAGATACTTTAATCTCTCAACCATCAGCATCCAGAGTAATTCATCAAGTTGTAGATGCATTAAACAATATAAAAATTGTCCAGAAATATATAAGATTTTCACAAAATATGATGTATAAAAATAATTAAGTGTTAAAATATTATAAACTACTCAATTTGAATCAATTACCCATGCAATAAGATACTTATTCATGTCCATTTATTGGTGTTAAATTAAATAACTAATATAGTTCAGGCGCATAAAAAGAATAATCTCTTTCATAATCATGATTGTAAAACTTAAGACCCTTATGATATGGTTATTAGATAAAAATGTAATGAAAAAGAAAATCATTTCTTGTTCTTTTTTTTCAGGTGACTCTAGAATCCTTCTAATAGTGAAAACCTTTGGACACTCAATAATATCAAAACCCACTGATTGCTGTGTTATTTGTGATATGCATATTAATCTATACCTACCATCTCGAAGATCTAAGAAGCAGGAAAGAAAATTCAGTAGTCTCAAGACAATTGTGTTTTTTGTACTTTATATTATATACTTCCCATTTTTATTGTTACTTTTTTGCCTAATCATACATTAAATATTAATAATATGTAGTAAAATGTACATCTATTTTATAGTACAGCAAATGAAATTTAAACAAGCTTTTGCTTTTATAATTTTTGTATGCACTATGGAATATATATAAATATCATTTATATAAACTTATTTATTTTTCAGTTTTATATTTATAATTGTTTCATTGAAATTGTGTACTTTTTAATTGTTAATATTACACGATATATTTAGGTTATTATGACTAATGACTAGATAATAGGTTTAATTATGTTTAATTACATAAATTAATTTATTTTTAAATGACTTTAGTGCTGCGTCTGTATTTATACAAATTTTAATTGTAAAATTTCCTTTTGTTTAAAAAAGCAACAATTGAGTTTCTTGCCTGTCCTTCTCTGCTGAAATTGCATTCCGAATGGGTGGTGGAATCATAAATAGGAACTATTCAAAAACATTTGTAATTAAGTTTACTTAAAACAATATTCTAATTCTAAATGAATAAATAAGTTGAAATAAAAATGCTTTACCAAAGATTTATTTTTTTATTTTTTGAACTAAATCTGATAAAGATTGACTTTGTTTTAGCCATGCATCATTCATTTGTTGTAAGGCTTGAACTAAGGCTCGCTGGTTCTCTGCCAAGATCCTTTCTGTCTCTACTCAGTGCTCTTTTATGGTGACAAATCTCTCTGTGAGACTTCTCAGTTGAGACTGCCGCTGTGAAGAAGGTGAGCATCGGAGTAAGTGTCGTCATAGTGCAGTTAAATGACGGCGTGGAACTAATAACAATTCCAAAGTGTATAAATTAGTTATGTATTTACAATACTCTACACATGCTTACTTATATACTATAAAAGGAGGTAAAAACAAACCTTAGACCATTGCTGCCATGTTTTTAACCAGTCATCACTGTTTAGTTTAACAGCAATGTCTTCTTTAGCAAATTTAGTACGGTCCCTGTCATTGGCTGCTCGTGCATGTCCTGTCGCAAGCCATCGCTGCTCTCCCAACTGCTCTTGAGAAGGAACCGCACTTCTTGACATGCTACGAAATAGTTAATTATTTTAGTTATTAGAAATATAATAGAACTCTATTTAAAAGATCACACAAATAATTAGAAAGTACTTACTACTTTACTTACCTATCTGACAGATACATCCAAAGTTAAGAATTGTTTAACTTTATTAATTAATTTTAAAATAGAATTATCATAGAGTAGAAAACAAACAAAACACATACAAAACACGCGACTGGAATAGTTTGACGTGACGTGACACTTAGTCTTTTTTACGGCCATGGAAACTAGCTTAAACAAATTAAAGTTAAATTGAAAAGACTAAATGTTTAATTAATAAATTTGTTTATTTTGCAAAATGTTCAGCCAAATATATATAAATCGCAACCTACAGTTCGTCTATGAGGTTTGACGCGTTAGTGAATACCAATTACCGCAGCGCTGCAGCCACGGTCGTTTGCAAGGCTGATCAGCCTAGAGCTCATCAGCGGCGCAGTGTTGCGGTAGATTTTTAGTGAATAGCATTGCTGGTCCAATACTATTGAAGAAAAACGTAAGAAAAAGTAAATATGATCCTTTAGTAGAAGAAGTCGAATTGCTAGAATCCAACCCTAATTTTGCTGATGGACGAGAGGATACTGTATCTAATAGACATCTGGCCTCAATTAACAGATTAGTTGGAGATATAGCTAACATTGACGAAATTGAGAACTCCGATCGATCTCGAACTAATACAGATATTAGAGTTACAACACAACGACTAAAACCAATGATTTGAATACTGATGGCTCTGGCCCTTCAATGGTGATCAATTCGTCTCAGCAGCTTATTCGTCAAAGAAAACTACCAGTTTATTTAGGGGATTATGAATTATAATAACTTAGGTTTTAAAAAAAAGGATGGGTTTATGTAGTATACGAAACTCTTTACAAATGTTGGTTTGTTTTTCTATTATTGACTTAAAATTGTGACATTCCCTAACTACTATTGTCTATAATAATATCAATGTATCGTTATTTTTAGTTGAATTAAACCAATATTTCCCTGTGGTCTATTACGTTTTGTATCACTAGACTCATCAGCTTGTATGCCATTCTAAGTAGCAAAAAATCGAAATATCTAATAGCAACTCCGTAAAGGGTAGTGTGTGTATTAATGTAATGCATTTTGTAGAGTTGGTAAAATCTATTAATTATATATTTTTGAAAGTTGCTTTAACACATATTTATCTATCTACTTAACAACAAGACTTACTTAAGAGAGATAGTCACTTGTTACTTATTAGAAATTGATGTATATTTAAAATGATGTTTGTAATAGACAGTATTGTGAAAACTCTTTAATTTTTCTGCCAATGATAAATAATTTGAATATTTTCTTGATGTTCTTTCTTATGGAATAGAATTGACTTATTAGAAATTTTCTGAACTTATCACCTACTATTTTCTTTTACCTACTTTCATCGAAACCTAATTTTATTTTATTTATATTTATCGGATTACTCACAGATAGGTACTTTATCTATGGTACGTGTCACGGACGGGCCGGACACTACAGAAATCGTAAATAATTCCTGTCATTATTTTCTTGTAGTTTTATAATAAAAGAGAGTCATTATAACGGCCGCTAACCGGCCACTATTAAACATAGGCCTTCCTCATAAGAGAGTCTTTGCTAGTAGTTGCCACGCTTGGCAGGCAGGTTTTTTTTTATGGGTGAAAATGGTATGGTAACCCCGCCTGCGCTAACGGGATACGCTGGCGGAGCATCAGTGAAGGATGATAGATGAGAATGAAAACAGGTCAGTTAGCCCATCATGATGAATTCAACAGGAAATAACCATGATAATTTCCAGGGAAAACCGCAAGGAGGTCGACCTGGTTGGGTATATTGCTAGCAATAGGATTCTCAATCTTCATTACTAACAATCCCTTTCCTCCTGGCAGGCAGGTTTTAGTGGGTGATAATGGAATAGTAACCACACCTGCACTACTGGCGGGGCACCAGTGAAGGATGATAGGTGAGGATGAAGCAGGTCAGTTAACCCATCGTGATGAATTCAATAAGAAATGTTTACGAGGGTTTCCAGGGGGAACCACCTGGATGTCGACCTAATAGGGCCTATTACTAGCAATGGGGCTGTCTAACTATATTGTGAACAATCCCTTTCCCTCCTAGCAGGCAGGTTTTTTTAATGGATGATCATGGAATGGTTATCCCGCCTGTGCTATCGGTATACACTAGCGAGGTACCAGTGATGGATGATAAATAAGGATGAAACAGGTCAGTTAGCCCATCGTGACGAATTCAACAAGAATTGTTCACGATGGTTTCCACGGGGAATCACGTGGAGCTCAACCTAATAGGGCATATTGCTAGCAATGGGGCTGTCAAATTCCATTGCTAACAATCCCTTTCCCCCCCTAGCAGGCAGGTTGGTAACCGCAATTAAACTTTGGTGACGTTTTACACAGAACACTGCTGCCCTTCTCTAAGTCGCCTCTTACGACACCCATGGGAAGGGAAGGGGTGGCTTATTCTATGCCGGGACCATATGTTTATTACTAATGTAGGTACTAGTTTTCATCCTTCTCTGTTAGTGGTATACAATCGCGAGGCACCAGTGGAGGATGAAATGATAAGAAAGAAGTCAGGTTGGCCCTTCGTGACGAATTCAGTAGTAATTAACGATGATGGTTTCCCGGGGGAACTACGAGAATGTCATCCTGACGGAGTATTTTGCTAGGGCTGGAGACTAGTGTCTCCATTACTAACTTACCTCCTTCCAAAGCGATGATTAATGGATATAAACTTAAAACTTTTAGATATTAGGTACTTACATCCACGTAAGTACTCATAAATTGTACTATTGTCTTTTTGTTGACTTAAACTTAGTAGACGGAGTTTTAAAAGCTGAATTTTCGATGTATTCTTGTACGAGTAAAAATCAATTTCTTGTACACTGTATTCTATTTATTTATGAATTGAGTTAGTGATTTTACAGAACAAACAAATTTTATTTTAGTGTTAAACATTGTCTTTAGAATAAAAAAATTTTAAAGTAACAAATTAACATAAGTAGCTCTAATAAATTTCATTTACAGGTTACCACATTTCTATATATATGTACTTAATACTGATACGTAAATCATGAAGTGATTATAATTAATTCTTTTAAAATCTTTCTTTTATAGTAATAGGAGTAAGTACATTTTATGTTGCTAAGGACATAATATTCACTTAATTGAACAATCTTATTTTGAATAAGTAGGGTTTTTATAAACTTTAAGTATACATAATTATAACCACAATAGGCGGATCAGCCGTTTTATCCATTTTTTACATGAAATAAGGAATGGCATAAATAGGTGTGTATAGAAAGAACACCACGCTATTTTCTTATAAGAGCAGCAATTTGAATTTAGAAAGGGTATAACAGCTAACTTCACATGAATTACATCAATATTAATAACATTTATCAAGACTAGTTAAAAAAAACTTGCATAGGGCATTATTAAGAGCATTCATAGCGATATGTTGCATTAGATGTCAATTGTCAAAAATATTTTTGTTTTAATAGATTATATTTCATAATTATTAATATTATATAATTAATCAAAAATATTACTACTATAAATTTATATTACTATTTTAATTGAATAATTATTTAAAAATATATTTCTGAAAAAATGAGCGCTCGTAAGGCACTATACTACAGTGCTTTAAAGTGTAAGTTACATTGGCCTTATGCTACTTTTGTTCTTTTAGTATACAGTTTATATAAAAAGTAGAAAGTTTAAAAAATATTAGAAACAATTATTTTGAGGATTATTTTAGACATTGTATTAATAGTTTAATATTATATATTAAGCATTGTAGTATTCCTTGCGAGTGGTAAATATTTTATTATTTTAATCTAATATTATAACGTTATTATAAACTTTGAATTATAATTTCAATATCAATAATATTTTTTCAATAACTATATTGTCGTATTTTGTTTCTTATAGCAATTAAGAATAAAGCATTTGCAGTATATTTTTAAATTCCACAATTATTATAGATCACTGAGTAGGTATAACTATCTTTATAATTTTAATATATTTAAAATTTTATATGCAATACTTATATAATTAATATTTCGAATAAATTCTAATACTTAATAAAAAAAACCTTAAGAAAATATATTTAAATGCCAATCTATAAATAAGATAGGTAAGAAATAGGAACTGACAATTCCAATAGGATTTGAGTTTTTTTTTTTTTATCACAATCATCTTAGTATCCAGCCATTGTTAATCTTATACTAACGTACAATTTTCTTAAAACTAAATATATGTCTATCATATTAAAATAAAGCGACCTATTCTGAGGCACAATTTTTCTAAACCTACCTTTTAACCTATTACTTTGATAATTTTGCGAAATTACTTTTGTATGGATCATCATAGGCTAAATTTATAATAATGTTGATTTAAATCTATAAGAAATTTAGTTCACATTGGTCCCAGCAATAAAGACTTTGCTATTGTATCAAATTAAAATTTCAATTTTAGAATAGGTTTACAGAAAGGCGCCCCAAAATAGGCCCTATTGTCATAGCGTAAAAACATAATAAATCAAAACTTACCGTAGACCTATTACCTGCATAACGACCTTTAGGACCACGGTTCTCACAAAACTGTAAATAGAGTAAAGCTTTATAACATCTTTTAGTTGTCTGTATGTCTGTTTGTCCAAATTACTTTCTTAAGAACTAAAATTACCAATTGAAAAATTGTCAGAATGAAACTAGAGAACTAGCAGTCAGTGGATGGAGATTCACATTTTGACTGTATTTTTGCTTTGTATTTTGTTACGCGTCATTTTCGTTCAATAGGAACCAATTCTTATTTATTTAGACTAGTTATATAAAATAACATTAACATGGGTTACCATTAGCATGATCCCACACAAAAATAAACTATTGTACTTTTTAAAACAAAAAACAAAAAAATTTATACATGATAACCTAAAATTTGACTCTTATAAATTAAATTTAGTAATTTTATTTTCAACTTAATAATAAAACCAATTATTTTCTAAGGTACAGGAACACATTTTTTAATTTATAATTAACTATTAATTTATTCATATATCGAAAAGCCAGGAGGGCCGAATATTTGAGACTTCACCGCTTGATATATGCCTACTCTAATTGTACTCCTTTCTTACAATCGTAGAAATAATATATTTATATATTTTATTTACCTATACTATATATATATATATATAGCCACTTCCAAGTGACTTCACTGAAAAAAATTCCAAAACTGTTTTTATTTGATTTTTGAAAAATTCATTAAAAATATAATTATATAAAAAATCACTTGTATAACTGAATTGTGGAATAAATAAAATAAAAAAAGTGTTTTTTTTTCTTATAAAAAAGAAAAAAAAAACTATTACACAAAAATAAAGCATTATAGTCACTAATATCCTTCGTAGTTAGATCTATCTATGTCATGTTCACAATGTTTATTTTTCAAGCAATTTTTGTCAAAATCAATTCAACAGTTGCCTTTCTCTGTGAAACTGAGAAATTATGAAACAACAATTAATTAGACAGACAGACCACTAACTTCTGCATTTATATTACCTATTAATTAATGATTAATCATGAAACTAAATACTAAAAATGAAAGCATGAAATATGAAAGCATTAAAACATTAACTACTGTTTAACATTAACACTAAGAACGTATACATAATTCATGATTCAAATAAGAGGTAGTTATTACACAGAAAAAGTTCAGGTTATGCGAATATCTCATATTACAAGGACAGCATAACTAGCTCCATTTCTGGAGTGTTCAATAGAAGTAATATTTTAAAATTACTCTCTATCTTCTTCCCGGTTTTGTTCCAACATAGAGACCGTATCGTTTGGCTTTTGAAAATGCATCGTGGATGTGTAACCTGAAATTAAAAAGGAAAATTAAACTATTAATTTTTCATATAAAATTAGTAGTGATAAAAAAAGGTTATTATAAATCTTTAAATTCTCTAAAATCTTTAAATTATTTTCTCACTAAGCTTACTTTATTGAACATAATTTAGATTTTTACGTCTTGGCTAGTCATCAAGGCCAAGTAATCAATTAAAAGCAACATCGAAACCTTCTTTTATTAACTTACTGTTCTGATATGAAGATCCTTATTTATTATTTCTACAACAATAAAAACTGTATCATTCAAAAATATATATACTAGTTTTTGTACATGTTCATTTTGCAACTCATTTAATTTTCGAATGATATTCAAATTTTTATAAGGCATTTGTAATTGCAAGATTCACTTTTAAGAGCATTTATTATTTCTACATTGTTTATTAACAATAAGTTGTTATAATAAATTTTATACACAAATCAAATAAATCTAGATAAAGATTTAGTTAAGAATAAATTGAATTAATAATACTGGGTGTATCAAAAGAAAGGTGACATTTGTTTTGATTATTGCGTGAACGCAACTATTCTGAGGGGCGCGGGGAGTATGTCATTCGGTAGCCTAGCTTCTGGGGATTTAGTCGCGGTCCAGAACCGTGTATACGTACGCTAGTTTTACAAAAACTGTAATTTAATTCAGCGACTGTAGCGCGTAGAAAATTTTGTAATATTCGACATTTAAATGACGCGCCAAACCCTAAACTTATTGATAAATGGGTCAAAAAGTTTGAAGAGACCGGTTCAATGCTGGAAAAATTAAAATCCGGACGTCAAGGTCTTCGAGAAAGGTCGAAAACATAGACAATGTTTTTCAATCTGTTCGTGACAACCCAGACTTTTCGATTCGGAAGCGTGCTGATGCTTTAAACGTGTACAGATCGTCGTTGTTCCGCATTTTACACAAAGATTTAAAGCTGCACTCCTATAAAATTCAATTAGTGCAAGAATTAAAACCTCAGGATGCTGGGCAGAGGCTTGACTTCGTCAATTTTTCCTGGAAAATTGATATCCAGGAGAGATGACATACATTGGTCTCCACGAGGTAACGATTTAACCCCTATGGACTTTTTCTTGTACGTCAAGTCTAAAGTTTATGCCAATAAACCGACTTCCTTGGCACAATTAAAAGGAAATATCCGTCACGAAATGGCAGCCATCACGGACATTACATGCCGAGCCGTCATAGAAAATTTTAGAGTAATAAAAATTTTTTTAATAAACTTCTTATTTAATTTTTTATCGATTTTTTAAATGTGAACTTTATTTTGAGTCCCCTTGTATAAAATTATTTTCAAATATTAAAATATTGTTGCAAAGTAACGTTTCTCCATCAAAGAAAATAGGTGCTCACACAATTATTGTAATATATTAATAAAACAGAGGTATATAATACATAAGATATACCATCATAAGGAAAATTAAACATCATAAACAAATCGTCAATATTTTATTTTGTCATAAATTTAAACCAGATATGGATTTCCACACTATGGTGGCGTTTTATTAATACTGAATAAAAAAACTATAGATAAGATACTTGCTATTATAACATAGACTATTATAACAAAATACTGTTTACGTAAATGAAATAAATAGATAAATAAAATCATCGTTGATACCACAAATTTATACACAAAATAGTTTTGATACAACCATGCTGTTAAAGACACCGACGTTCTTTTAAGAAAGTGTTCTACTGGTTAAATTGAACATTTTCCCGAAAGAAATATGGATCGATATATAAAAAAAAAAAATTACCTAACCGTGCGAACATAGTGCGTCCAACTAACAATTTAGTACGAGAAGCTCGATATTTTGTATCTTTTTTGCCACATTTGTTTTTTTGAAAAAATTTTTAGTGGGAACGTGAACATTTTAGTAGAACAATCTCTTAAAAAGATACTATTGTTATAGACTTCGAATCGTATAAAAAATATCGCGTTACCATTGAGGCAATAATAAACTATATATAAATCTATCAGTAAATATCAAGATATAAATAAATTACAACTTATATCTAAATAAATTTATGTCTAAAAATAGGAATGATTTACAGTTCACTAGAAAAGTTCACTACGGCAATTATCTTAAAATATTAAAGTATAATTCGATTTTTTTTTCTATACTAATACCTGTATAAGCATAATTTACGTAAACAATTGTAAACCAATATCCCTGCCTATTAGAAAATTAGAGTTCCCATTCGTTAATTACTAACATATATAAACAATATATGTTTTTATTAGATACATGAAAAAGATCATGTTTTAATTAGATAGATGAAAAGATTTACCTGTTCTATCTACAACAGTTATAGAGCTACAAATATATAAGGAGGATGTTAAGGGGGACTGTAGTCTCCATTACTAAAAATATACCATTCGGTTGTCTTACACGCGGAAAACAACATGATTAAATTCCTGTAAATTGGTTACGATAGACTATGTAAATTGATCCTCACCTATCATCCCCACTAACGTACACCGATAGCGAAGGCAAGGTTACCATATCATTTTCATCTTTTTTTTACACCACTGTGGTTGCAAACAAGCATACGGACCACCTGATGGCTTACCTCTTAAGGTTACCGTAGCCTATGAACACCTGTAATAACAGGATCTTAATTATTTAGAAATAATCTAAATAATTAACATTATGTTCTAATGAAAATATTTAATTTAATTTCATTATGTTACAAAATTTTAAAAAAGCTAACTATTTATATGTTGTTAATATCGATGAAAAATATTTTATATATTTTATATCCCATACTATATTCACACATTTTATATATTGCACAATTCGAGGTTTTAACATTATCTCCGTTCTATTAAAACTGATCGTGACGAGGAGTGATTTAAAGTCACGTGCGAATATAAAATATCCTTTTTTATTGCCTTTGATATTACGTATTAGATAAAGAATTCTTAATTATTATAATAATAATATTAATTAGTATATACATATGATACTGTCAGAACATGCAGCTGTCAAAACCCTTACAAAAAACACACTATTCATTAATTAATAATTATTTTATATTAAATATTAATGTCATAAAAAAGAAAGATATACATTATTAAGCGACAGAAACAATATATTTGATATTTGTAAAGGGGTTTATCGTTAGTGAGATAAAATTATTATATTCTCTATAAAAATTCAAATAGAGAAGGAGAAAATTCTATATAAAGATTCTATATTAAAATTTTCATAAATAAAAACCATTATTAATATAGATATTAGTAAGATCAACAACTCAGACCAACAAAAACGATAGATTTACAAATTGAAGTCATTATTTTGAAAGTGTAATGCAACATACAGTTGACACCATTACTAACTAGGCGATATATCACATCCTGAGTGTTTCAGTCCCAAACTGTAACCTCTAAGCTAGATGGAAGGGTCACCTTCCATACTAGCTTGGAGGTTACAGCGTCACTCACATCATATCTCAGCATCCATAGTTGTCGAACTATGGATGCTGAGGGGGAAGGGATTGTTAGTAATGGAGAGGTTAGTCCCCATTGCTATCAATATACCCTGTCAGGGCGACCTCCACGTGGTTCCCCCTGGAAACTATCGTGACTAATTTATCGTTGAATTAGTTACGATGGGCTAACTGACATGTCTTTTCATCCTCACCTATCACCTCTCACTGGTACCCCGCCAGCGTATACCGATAGCGCAGGCAGGGTTACCATGCCATTTTCGCCCATTAAAAAAAAAAACTATGGATGCTGAGTGACAGACCGACCCATATAACAACGCATAGCCAAAACCACTAAATTTAAAATCTTGAAATTTTGTAGAGAGGTTCTTTATATAGCGTTGGTGAACAATAAGAAATGAATTTTGAAAAATCAACACCTAAGGCGGTAAAGCGGGGATTGTAAGTTAGTATCAAAGTAAAGTTAGTAAAAAAGTAAGAATACCACACGCGACAGAAGGCGCGGATAAAATCTAGTTTAAGATATGTATATATATATATATATATATATATATATATATATATATATATATATATATATATATATAATATATATATTGAGAATCGATGAGGATGGCTTTGCAATTTCAGTACTGTTATGTTCAAAGATCCTTTTTATTGGTCTTAATTCAGCAGTTTTAATATTTTTTTAATTATCGACGGCTAACTAATAATATCTCCTAAGTAAAATTTATAAAATTGTATAAAGTAGTTTAAATTTTTCTTTTAACTTACGTATCTCCTTTCTATGTTACATAGAAATATAATTTTCACATCAGTATATTGAAAATTAATATTACAACCAAAGAATTTTTTGTCATAGCTGTACAAATTTGTCAGTTAGGAGTTATTGGTGTTAACCGTCATTATGTTAATATATTATTACATTTAATATAAATTCGATGCTATTTTTTAGAAGTTTTATTACCTGATGTTATGAAGTTATGTTGTATTTTATCTTTGAGTAGGTATTGAACAAATATGTGTAGGAAACAGAAGACCAAGGCACCGATTCCGAACCAGCGGAACGTAGTCGATCCACCGTGATACTTGTAAAGTTGACCGCCGACTAAACTGCCTAGTGATGTTCCCACACCTTCGAATACAGCCCCTACTAATCCCTGTAATATAACATATTAACAGAATTTAAAGAAAAACAAATGAATAATTAATCCAACTATAAGACAAACGACTTATATCAAGTAGTAGCACAATTAAAAAATTTTACAATTTATTGAATGTTTCGATTTGTTTCCCTTTGTTTGTTTGTTTCACTCGCTTTTCTCGAAGCGTTTGTATGGAGACACTCTATCTATATAACCTATATTTGCCTTATTGAAGCATAAACTTTAATACGTCTAGAGTCAGATTGTGGAATTTACTAAATGGAATATACCTGAACAGTAGTTTCCGCGCCAGCCGGTGCCACTGCATTCGCATAACAGGTCATAATTGGATAGATCATGCCATATGTGATCCCTTGCAATATCTCTATGGGAAGCGCCCACCATGGGTTCGTCAGGATCGAGTACAATAAGAAGCGGATTCCGAAGGCGAACAGCACTAAACTCATCATTTTAACGTGTCCCACTTTTCTTAAAATGTATCCTAAACAAACATTTTTAACATTTAGTTTGTATCCAAGCAAATTCATAATTTATACAATTCAAATATTTGAAAAAAAAAAACAACAGCCGAGTTTCTTGCCCGCCCGTTTTTCTTGGCTAAAATTGTATTCTGAATGGGCGATAGAGTCACAAAAAATTACTATTCAATAACTTGAATAAAAATATTTCTTTCTTTATTTATTTTGTATGTTTTAATAAAGATCGGTTACAAATTTCACAACAGTTTATATATCTATATTTATTATAATTATTACTGTTAATAAAAAACAAAGTTATAGTTTAATCCTATCGTTATTTAGTACAAAGAATAATTTACTAATATTACAAGTCTGAAAATTTGTAAACAAGTTGTTGAATATTTATTATTTATTTAAAGTGTAAAACACTTTATAGCACCAAGTAAAAAAATAATATATATAACAGTATGTTTGTTACACAATCACGCTTAAACTGGCGGACTGATTTGAATAAAATTTAATAAACATGTTTGGGGTTTACACGGGTATTGAGGGTCGCTGCGACTCAAACATCTTTTTCCTTAAATATTTTAGCTTCTAGCTGACCGATTTTGACTTCTTTTTTTTTTAATTAAAGTTTATACTTTGACAAATATGAGCTGTAAAATTAATTAATTTTAGATAATCTAAATAGGTATAATTCGGCTTTAAAGCTTCGCAAACGCGTATTTCACGAGATTTTATTAAAAATTCAATAACTCTATAAATATAGAGTATTAATAAATATTAATGTTAGAAATAAAAATTTATATATCATTGTAAAGCTGAAAGTGTGTAATTTAAGAACGTATCGGTCATTTTATTGTGATCTTCAAAAACTTTAATTATTTTTAAAAATGAAAGTAGGAAATTATGATAAATGATGGATAAACAAAAAAGGGTTTAAGAATGTTTAAAAAATATATAAGAAATTTATTTTTCTCGAAAACTTTTATTTTCTAATATAAAAAAAATCATTGTATTATAAAAAGTAACTCGCCATTGAAGGTTATTTGTCTACAAACTTATGAACAACATACGATGCATCGTATACTTCGATGTCGGTTACCCATGGGTTTTTTGCATTTACTGCATGCTATTTTTGTTTTTATTCCTAATGAATAATGAAAATATGAGCATCTTTTTTTTTTAAATCAATAACTTTTTCATACGGTACTTCGTCCGCAACTATACCTAACAGTCTTTGAATACTTTTTATATCGGCAAGTGTAGTTGAGGACATTCGTAACGTCTTTGGAGATGAGGATCGTCAGATCGTCAGGCTCGTCCAATAAATTATTATTATAAATTTTATTCGTAACTATCACTTATTTCATGTTCAAAAGACACAAAACTCGAAAATTTCATTTCTAACTGACTAATTTAGCAAGAATTGGTTTTTTAATATAATAAACAATTACATTTGGCAAAGGAGGAAATTAATTCAAGTTTTACTTACCAATAATGTTAATTATAACACACAAGAAAAAAAAAACAAATTCACATTTACAAAATAACAAAATATACCGCACTAGGTATTGAGGGTCTCAGCGACCCCGGAGTAAAATTTTCCGATGAGTATAGTTTGAAAACTAAGATGAATATAAAGATGAAACTAATTCCATTCGTCTTTTGAAGGTCTAAACTAAAATATTGTGGTAGGAGAAACAGCTGTGCATAGTTCCTTCATAGTGTACCTGAGACCCGCTCAACTACTGGCCGGGTCGTTGCGACCCATTATACCCGTCAGGGGTTAATAAAAGAGCCTATATGCTCTTTTTATTCTAAAACGATCTATGTCAACGAAGCTTACATTATAAAAAATTACTTACCAGATACGAATAAGAAAGGTATTTCCCCGCCAAAAGTTTGAATAGCATTAACAAGGCCTTGTAAAGTTTTAATACGTTCGGATCCATCACAGGTCAATGCTGCTATGTCCTCCAGATACCAGAAAAGGAACTGCCATATCAATCCAGTGCAAAAGCCCACTGCTATGACCCATAAAATAAATATGAACGTTGGTAAAGAGGACAACAATGTTCCCACATCCGCCAATATATTTATAGACATTTTTCTTGTATCCGTCTGAAAATGTATATATTTATATAAGTACTATGCATGCAATGCAACCTTCAAAATCGTTAAAGTAATTTGCAGTGTTATGAAGGTAGTGAAACATATTTCAAAACAAATTGTCAACGCTCCTACTCACAGCAGTCACAACTCTCAGATATTTAAATGTCAAAGTCAAACATTACATTGAATTGTCAGTGTCATACATTAACTTATATGTCAAAATATTGTGCCTGCATGCTACCCTTAATCTATGGTTATACGTGTTGATGGATTAGGAATGTTCTTGAAGGAATATTTTCTATCTGTGAGTTTCCTTTACTTTAGATAGTCTTTACTATCTGTATTTTTTAATAGTAATATTATTTGATTATGGTTTATGTTGTTTTGTATAATATCGGTACCTAATGATGAGTGCAAAGGTGCATTTAATTGTTGAAACTTACATCTTCCCTTAGAATTAAATATAATTATTATTAATATATTGTTTATTTATCTTATAATTATAATGTCATTAAATTTTGATGACAATTTTTTTTCTTGCTCTTCAAATGCCAATTCTAGCGAGTTATGCTAGTGCTTTCACTAAAGATGAGTCTACATTACTGTTGCGCCGTTTGAATCAAATAATGTCACCATACAGTAAAAAAAAATTATAAATATAGTCCATATCAATGCTCAAAGCGGGACGCTTACCATTTTACTATAACACTGACTGATTTCTACTACTCTTTATATATAAATGTAAACTTTTTTTCTATATTTTATTTATTTATTTATTTTTATGTTGTTATTACTTATAATCTAAGTATATTTAAGTGTTATGGTTTATCGAAATAAATTTTCATTCATTCATTCCCTGCTCACTATGATGATCTTCTGTCTAGTTTCGATCCATCCGAATCGGGCTGTGCCCCTAGATGTTCATTGCCTGATTCCTCATAACACATGGTATTCTAGCTTTAAGACCAGGTGAGTAATGTGATTGTGTGCTTATTATTATTATTACACAGATAAACAGTTCTTACCTTTACAAAACAAGACACAACCACATCTCCAGACATGAAGACAAACATGAGTATAAATGCGATAGCATAATTTTTTGTTGCGCCTTCGCTGAACAAATCTATCAGAGCACCGGTAGTCAGGGAGAATATACCCCAGCCGACGGAACCCCACAATCTTTGCTTGCCATAATGAGCTATTTTGTCGCCTTTAAAAAAATAATAACAAAATATATTAGAAAAATCACTTGTATACGAAGAGTATACGAGGTCTGTCCGGAAAGTTCGTATAAAAGTGTTCTGGAATGCGAGAAAGAGGAGTGGGGAGGCCAGGTAAGCGCAGGACCCCTTCCTTATGTCCCTAACAATGCTTCAGTTCTGGTCTGACCGCCGTGCGGTGCGAACTGGCTTGTCACGCCATCTGTGAAGTTACCTCTTAACGAAACCCCGTCGGCATGGAGCCCGCTTCCGTTGAAGAGCAGCGCGTCGTAATCAAGTTTCTCTCGAAACTCGGCAAGAATGGCCGTGAAATTTTTGCCGATCTCAGAACAGTTTATGGGGATGATGCTGTGAAGGAACCAACCGTCCACAAGTGGCTAAAAAGATTCAGAGAGGGCCGAGAAAGCGTTCAAGATGACCCACGTTCAGGACGTCCTTCCACTTCACATTCCGACGAAAACGTGGAAAGAATTCGAACTTGTGTTCTACGAAATTCTACGTCGATGTGCTCAGACGCCTCAAAGCTCGTGTGGCACGAGTTCGTCCAGAATTGGCGCGAGAGGGGCGTTGGATTCTTCACCACGACAATGCCCCTGCCCACACCTCTCTTGTTGTCCGTGAGTTTTTGAGTAAAAATTCCATTACGGTGACCGAACACCCCCCCTATTCGCCGGATTTGGCCCCGTGTGACTTCTTCTTGTTCCCAAAAACCAAATTGGTACTTCGGGGGCGGCATTTGGGGGACATAAATGAGATAAAAAAAGCTACGACGGGGCAGCTGAGAAACCTACAACCAGAGGACTTTCAAGGAGCCTTCTCACAGTGGAAACGGCGTTGGCACAAGTGCATTATGTCACAGGGGGAGTACTTTGAAGGGGATAAAATTGATTTACCTGAATAATTGTAAAATAAAATTTTTAAAAAACTTTTATACGTACTTTCCGGACAAACCTCGTATTTCAATATCTCATCACCTTGTGTTTAACAGACATTTGTGGCGGAAAAAAAAAACTTGAGAGCTGGATTCTGCATTAGTATGAATGTTGTTTTTCGATCCATATTTGTATGGGAAAATATTCAATTTTACTGCTAATAATGCATACAAATATTTTTATTGTGCGTTATCTAAGACTGAAACCATAGGAGTCGGCGTTGTTAAAAAGTCAACTTATAAAGGTCGTCGTAAAATAAAATATAAATAATTGCTTACATTTATGTATTTATGTATTATGCACGAATTTTAGAATTTAGGTTACTCGCTGATACCTTATAGGTTCTCTGATAGGTTACTTTCTCAAGGTAAAATATTTTTTAAAATCGGTTGAGTAGTGTTTGAGCTTATTTATTACAAGCAATCATATCTTTCTTCTTTATAATATTAGTATAGATTAAAAACCTGAATATTATATTATTATTATTGAAAAACAGGCTTTTTCAGGGAGAAAAATCTGTGACACTGCGACCTTTTCATCTTTTGTGCTGGCCCTTTTTTAAAGTTTGCTGCTAATTCCTATCCAAGGTCGGGAATTTTAAGATACTTTTCTAGCGACGTTTTTTTATCTTCTCAGGATATAGAGTGTTTTCCAAACGAGATATATCATTTATGCATGAGTGGGCTATAGCAACACATTAAGTGCTGCGGCTTTTTTCCTCACTGGGACAAAATCTGCAAACACTTTTTGGGCATAAGCTTAGTTCGGCCATATGCTTGTTTAGTTTGCAGTGTCCCGTGAGAGCCAAATACAATATTTTCACTCAAAAGATTTAATTTTTTAGAGTAATTTTCTGAAAACCCCTTAATCAGGGATTTTATGTGATTTAATCCTGGCAACAGGAGCCAGCTATTATTTGCTGCTTCTAAACTTTAAAGTTTAAATATTATAAACAAAAGAAAGCCCTTCGCAATAGAAGGATAGAAGGGATAGTGTAGTCTTATAATGATAATGTATATAAAGAATGCAAATAATCCTTACCAAGAAGATGGAAACAAATAGCATCAGCAAATGTCACTACAACCGCTTGTCCCACCCAGTTGATGATCATGAATAAAAAGAACAACCAAAACTCTGTTGTATATTGCGTTTGCATGTTCTGATTTACACTCTCTGACACCGACTCCAACATTTCATTTAACTGTAAGAAATAACATTACAATTTTTATTGATATTATTTAAAGAATTGTTTATTTGCTTGTTGTCAGAAGTTGCAATCGATCCTTTTGAAATGTATTTTTTTTAATGGATGATAATGGAATGGTAACCCCACCCATATATAACCGCGCTATCGGTATACACCGGCGGGGCACCAGTGAAGGATGATAGGTGAGGAGATGAAGTAGGTCAGTTAACCCATCGTGACGAATTCAACAAGAATTGTTCACGATGGTTTCTCGGGGGAACCACGTGGAGGTCGACCTGATATTGCTAGGGCATATTGCTAGCAATGGGGCTGTCAAACTCCATTACTAACAATCCCTTTCCCCCCTTTGAAATGTATTATACACGTATATATTTATATCGTCATCATCATCCCAGCTACTGCTGAACATAGGTCTCTCTCATAGACTGCCATAAAGAACGGTCCTGAGCCATTTGCCTCCACTGACTCCCTGCAATGCATTTGAGGGTTGTTGGTAATGCGGACTACCAGTTCCGTTATTAATAATATACCCTATCTGGTCGGCCTCCCCGTGGTCCCTCCTGGTCGTCTTGAGGTCGTCACTCCATCTAGTGGAGGGTCCTCCTACACTGCGTATATATTTGGCATGAAAAAGTAAATTGACAAATTTTTATCCCGGTCAAACAATGTATCCTGGTTACGAAGAATGTAATCGTGAATAAAAGGCAGTTAGTACCTACGTAATATTTTTTCCTATTACATTGCTGATTATGGATTACATTTCTAAGTAAGGCTATTTTGGCTTTGTCTCTACATTTTTTCGACGAACATGTTATCTATCGCAGGATGTATATTGTTGAATATTTTTACACAGAATGGCAAGTAAGCTGAATAGTATATTGTTATATTAAAATAACCACAGAAATTTAATCAAAATGGCATATTATCATTCGTTCGGACACTTTATAGTGGAACTTATAACGAAATCTTTATTGTTTATTTTTTATGATACTTAGAATTACAAACGAGCTGAAGGCGTGACTTGATAGAAAATGAAAACTGCATCTATACATATACTGCATCGTGGATATCATCAGGATTATACTGTAATGACCATGGTATCCTTCACATATTACCATATAATAAAGCAGCATGTGCTAGCTATAGATCTTATTTCGATATGAATGTTCAACGTACGCACAATTACAGGTATGAAACTTTGAATTTAGATTTTATGGTAGTCCCACAGAACTTTCTATTCATAAATTGACCTTAGCTTGTCAAGGGTCAAATTGTCTATTACTGAAGAAGACTGTAAAAATATTGTTTCTATGGGTATCTCTGCCGTGAAGCAGCTATATAAGCTGTGTTTAGAGGGTGGGATATAGCAGTATATCATAGCGTACGGAAGCATAACATCATAGTCCTCAAGAATGGCATCGAATTCATTTCAAAATCATCTTCATTTAATTAGATTATTTTTACAAGCAAACTTTGGGTTCGAAATACTGTTATACGCTTTAAAAAAACCTAGCAAGAAACTTAACAGTTACTCTTTTAAATTTTAACTGATAATCCTCCTATTCGTTTAAATGTATTATGTCTAAAATAACATGATCAACTAACACCATGTACCTCATCGCATGAGGGGTTCAATTGACGGATGCATTACAATGCATGCTGTAGTGTTTATAGTTCTGTTCTTCCCTTTAGGTGACAGTTACCAATTACGTCAGGTGGACTGTCAGTTTATTATTCTAAGTATCATAAAAAAATAGACAGTTTATTCAAGAGAATAACAAACTTATCTGTTGATTGCTTAACGATCATCATTAGATTTGCCCGTTTATCTGCGTCCTTAATACTTGTAATTGATACGTAAATTATAGAATCATAAAACATACATACATACATATCTGTCACGCCTGTCTCCCATTAGGGTAGGCAGAAACAATGAAACGCCAAATGCTTCGATTCAAACAAACCTCTTTCGCTCTTCTTCCAGATTCATCAATCTTTCCATACACACTTCCCGGTTACTGGTACTTTTAATTTGGCCCTTCTTCAGCACGTCGCCTATTTGGTCGACATACGTCCGTCTAGGGCGGCCCCTACCGACGTCTCTATTCATTCTTGCTCGATAAATCTCTTTCGTAATTCTTCTTTTATCCATCCTTTCCAAATGGCCAAATCAACGCAACATTTCTTTTTCGATTTTTGTCACTACATCGTCTTTCAGTCCACACTTCTCATAAAACAATACATACCAAACTATTGTTACAATTAATTTGGCAAGACGCATGGAACAGTTCGGTCTCCAATTGGTACACAGCCGGCGATGCACATGTTGGATGGTGAATTGAACCTGGAATGACACAATAAATTGTATTACAATTTGCACATGGTCTCATCGATTTTAAAGCTAGTACATTCATAAAAGATGCTAAAGATATTTAAATGTGTATAAGACAAGCAAATACATGTAAAGCTTAGATAACAAGGGTTTATGAAAAATCCAAGACATTTGTATTTAAAAAGTCATTTTCAAAAGGGTTCTGCTTTCCACACTAAATAAACTTAATAATAAAAATAATATAGCCTTTATAGAGGTCAACTTAACACTGCCTTTAAAAACAAACATTAAATTTATAAAACTTAATAAAACAAAATAACTTATTCTACTAATTGCTTCTTGATTATTTTCTAAAGATCTGAACCCTTCACCAACCGTTTTCACTCTCGTCTTTCCAGAGTCACTCTGTTTCATGTTATTCCAGCCACTCATCATCATACCAGCTTTTAACAGTCTACTGCTGAACATAAGCCTCCTCCAGGCGGGTTTTGCCAGTAGTTGCCACGCTTGGCAGGCACGCTTGGCAACCGCTGTTAGGCTTTGGAGATGTTTGGAGAAGGACACGGCTGCCTATCCCTCACCTCCCCTAGTCGCCTCTTACGACACCCAGGGGCAAGGAAGGGGTGGCCTATTCTATACCGGGATCACACGGCGATAGATTAGAAATGGTATTATGTATTAATGGGGTAAAGATGTATTATGTAATGCATAGCTCATAAAAAAAAAATTAATTATTGTTTGTTTTGACTTTTAAATCGATTATCCAAATTTTCCGGAAAGAAATGCTCGTTTGTTTTGTGTTTGCTCGTCGTGGTTTTATTTCATTCGGATAATCGAGATTCTACTGTAATAGTAATCGCATTTCCACATTCTGATTATTATAAACAGAGTTATCTTTATTATAAAATACACCATTGACTGAATAATTTAAAATTTGAAGAATAATAACAGATAACTATTATAGATTAATTCATGTTCATAGACACTAACCATCGGGTAATGTAATATGATTAAGTTGCACATAAAGGCAGTCGTCCTTGGAGATCACAGTATATGGGAATACGGTGCCCGTGAATGATAAATTGGTTGGGAAACCCTCCCCAAACCTCAATTTAGGCTGGCAGGCACTAGCAACATTCGCTTGCAGACTGTCACATATTTCCTTGATTTGCCATGGCTCCACAAGCTCGCACGCTGCCTGGTTATTTGAACAATACTTATGTATACAACCAAAACAAAAAAATACATTACAAATATATATTCGATCGTTAAATAAATGTCGACACTTATAGCAAATACCCTAAACAATGTGTTAATTAATTATTACTTAATCAGGAAGTAAGTGTGAAGGTCAGCAACATCATTATTATGCAATCACACGAATGAATAAAAAATAAAAACAAGAAAATATTGTTCATTTTGATAGGTAATATTTAGTTTTGAGCTCAAAATATTTGCAGGTAAGGTTTAATTCGCTTGGCAGCTGAAGTATGCATAAAAACATACACAATAATATTGCACGTAAACATATATAACAGAAGACAAAGATAGAATACTATTTGTAACCACTTTTCAAGAATGGTTACGTGTGAGTATCAGCATGATTGACACAAAGTATTACAGTATGTCCAGGATGCTATTTATAGCTATATGCGACAATTATCTCTTTTCATCAAGAGAGACGTCAGCTTCTTTGCCATACTGTTTTATAAATCAAATTCTTCAATTTTAATGAAGTCTACAATACAAAGAAAGCATGCACCTGAATAGTACTTTATATAGTACTCACAAATATTTTTGTATTATGTTAAACAGCAAACAGAATAAAAAAAATACCTACCATACATTACTACATATTTAGGTACTATACATGTTCATTAACGGGCATAAAAGATCCTCCATAAATTTTCAGCACTTAAATTTATAATACAAGATATAAATATATCTTAATATTTATTTCTTGTATATAAGCTCTGACAGCGAAATTTAAAATTTTTACCAAATTATTATACTAATTCAATAGCTATTTTACCAAAATAGCTATTGAATTGAATATTAGTAGACTAAAAATGTTTTGTACTTTTGAATTTTCAATTAAAAAGTAGAGTAATGTATGAAAAAAAAAAATAAAAAAATTTGTATTTACTGTGCATTCATTCTCCACCACATCTTCCGATACTGACATATGCGCATTTTCACCGATACAAAAACGATAAAAGAGCTCGTTATCCAAACATATCATGTCTGTTTTAAAAAATGTCATAATGTTGGTTAGAGTTTGGTCCGTACAGTTGAGGCTACATGGTTGGTTGATGTTCACGAAACCGCTTCCACTGCGACAGTGGGGAGTATACTTATGACCTGCGAACAAATTAGTTATAACATGTAATAATCGCTATCTGCAAGTTCACACACACGAATTTAATATTTTCCATTCCCGTAGCACGTTTCCGAATATTTATATACAATATATGGCAATTCGGACGAAAAACCGTAACCGTCACCTGTAAATATGATCAGTATCATAAATAATGAAGATTGTGTTCCATAAAAAGAAAAAAAATTAAAATCCTAAATTAAATCTTTTTAATGTGCCCAATATAAATTATGCACAATAAAGAATTAATACAATACTACTTTAATCGTGGCAAAATCAGTTATTTTTATTTAGAAACTATACTAATGAAACGATTTTGATAAAATTTACATGAGATCAATCTGTAAGTACATCCTTTCAGATATAAAAAAATATTTTTCAAATGTTATTGCAATCGACGGAGTTATGAGGTAACAAACATAAAAAAGTTAAAAACTAATTGAGAACCTTCTTTTTGAAGTCGATTGAGAAAAAATAGAACGAACAGGGACTATAGCACGGCATTTTCTGAAGACTAAGATGCCCATGCCTCCGTAACCAGAGATTTTAATGCCACACCCATCCTTCAAACCGAAACAGCTGCATGACAGTAAAAATACTAATGAGATAGTTGAACTTAATCCATATAAAAATAATAAGTGCCATATAACCACACCAACCGCCTAATTCACAAACCAGGACACCTTGTGTTATGAGGAACCAGGCAACTTACATCTGGGGGGCGCAACCCGGAAGACTGAGTCTAGAACTATTTCAGAAAAGTTCGTTTCTTAAAGGACCTCATTTAGACAAAGCAACGTGCTTATAACTGCGTCACGGAAACCCTGCATAAGACTTTTCTTACATTAAGAAATTATTTAAGATTACAATATAAGAAATTTTAAAAATTTCATATTTTAAACAATCAATTCAAGTTAAAGTTTTAACAATTATGGACATCTATCAGGTCGACCGGTAAGTTTATCCTAAAAACTGTCGTGTATAACTAACCTGGGTAAACTAATAAATGCCATGTAGGTCCTGGCATAGAATAGGCCAACCCTTCCTTTCCCATGGGTGTCGTAAAAGGCGACTAAGCGAGCTTGTAGTGGAAGGATGAGCAGCAGCATCTCTCTTAAATCATCATTAAAAGCCAAACTGTGGTTGCTAAATCCGCCTGCCAAGCATGGCAACTACTGGCATAACCCCTCAGGGGGAGGCAATGTTCAGCAGTTAATAGTTTACGGCTGATACAACAAACTAATAAATACACTTTGTTACGGTTGCAATAACATCTTCGAGTATAACAATAGTGCAGGCGGGATTACTATTCCATTTCCGAGACATTAACCTGCTGAACATAAGTCTTCCTTATACTCGTATTTACTTCACTTTTTCGAATTTTATTTTCGTAATGCAACAAATCGCTAATAGTAGCTCACAGCTTCAGTTAGGTATTTGTTAACAATGTTGTTGTTAATTCCTGGTATCGGGTTACCCATCTGAGTTTCTACCCGAACACATTGTAAGATTGCCTTCTCATGCAGTTTATTATTAGAACGATAACAATAAACGATCAGGAGCAAATGAGGGCAAGCTTACAAAACAAAGTTATGGTTCGAGCTGACTTTTGATTAAGGTTAAAATAAAAAAATAAATAAAAATATCGTACCCTGTTCTACAAAGGACTTTAAGAGAAGTAAAATCATTATGAAGTTACGGCCTCTACATATTTTACCTATGCGATGTATAAAATACTCAGAGATTGTACAGAGTAGTTGCTAGACTATCGGCAATGTGTAAATATAATTTAAGCATTACTCTACGCAACAATAGTTTATTATTCTTATATTAGGTTATATTATTTATTATTCAAAGTATTTACAAGAAATATTCAGTTATGTTTATTATGTGCCAAGGGTTGTCTCCTTTAGTGATCTTCCGGTTTTATAGTAAGAGCACACAGGTATGCGACCTCGGATTCCCGAGTCACTACAGTTTTGGACCAACCCCTCCGCAACTGCAATGCTTTATATTTCCCATTTCTCCATAAAGCCTTAACTTCTTTTTTACCAACTTCCTCTGCTTTTTCCTCAATTCTTTTCTCTATATCGTAGATGGCGGATACTAGCAACAAATGCATTTTCAAAGAGGAATAATGTCAGGCAGACGAGCAGCCGTAAAACTAATAGCCAAAAACTTGTGTAATGTAATAAAATCATACTACGCCATCCTCAAATAAATTGGGATAAGGGCAGGAAGATGATGATCAGAGTATCAATTACGAACATTATTATATAGGAGCACATATATAGTGTTATATTGTTGGCATCAAAGTAAGGCAACAATGTATGGTAGACATAGCAAACGGAACAACGAAAGGTTTCAAATTAAATAATTGCACAACAACAGAACAATGTGGTATTACATTAATTCTATGAATTGTGGTCAACGGATACAATATATATAGAATATTTTGCTTATTTGCAGAATAAATTACACAGACAGATTAGGTTTTCATTTCATATGGACTCTATTATATCCGATCCTTGACATAAAGTGTTTCTGTATTATAGTTATATCATTTCCTTCCTAAGCCACACATATTATTCGTATCATTTAGCACTCTATCACTGTTATAACATACACTCTATTAGAAAAAATGTGTAATAAAAACATACCATCATGATAGTATTCTAAGTACTTTTGAGATTTTACAACATATATATATATATATATATATATATATATATATATATATATATATATTGTAGAGTAGCCGTATATCATTTCCAATGAAACTCTTTATGAATCCGGTCTTATATTGTATTATATACTTAAATAATATTCACGTACCTAATACCTTCATACAAAGGGGAAGAGATTGTTAGTAATGCGGGCTACTATTCTCATTAGCTAGCAATATACCCTGTCAGGTCGACCTCCACGCGGTCCCCCCTGGAAACCATCGTGCTAAATTCAAGATGAGCTAACTGACCTGCTTTTTCATTATCCATCTATCATCCCTCACTGGTGCCCCGCCGGCGTATACCGTTAGCGCAGGCGGGGTTACCATTCCATTACCATTCATTAAAGAAAAATACCTTCATACAGATTCAGTAAATTCAAGTGATCGGCTTTTTATAGTATTTTATATGTGATTCTTTGATTGACATTGATATAACTTTTTTATTTATGAACCGATTGAAATAAGAAAAACACTATATGTTAAGTGGAGTAAACCGCAACGTACTAGTAAAAACCGCATTCAAATCGGTTAAGCTATTTCTGAGATTAACGCGCACAAACGTAATTCTAAAAATCACTGTTTTGGGTTCTATTGCGTTTATAAAGTCCCCCTATAATAGTTTTACTTATATATTGATTGATTGATAAGTTTGACCTACCGTCCAAAATTATATCGTTGGTTTCAATGAAGGCACAGCTATCTCGCACCGTAATGTTCCCAATGTGTGACAAATACTTCAAACTGTCTACGCTGTTGTAACAGTATTGTGGTATGCGCCAGTGCTCACAAACTGTTTGCCACATTTTTGGGGAAGATATGTCACAGTTCATCTGAAAAAAAAAAGATTAGTATGGATATCGAATTTAAATACAACACTGACTACTCAAAGTATTATATTATATCGAATGTAAATACAAAACTGACTTTCAATCCGGTCAATCAACATAATTATCCCGGTCACGCAGATAAAGTCGCAGGGAGAATTTAGTAATATGATAATATTGTCTAAGCTATTTAAAAAAACAACAAATCTGCATAAGAGAAAAGGTCCTGTTAATAATGGGGGGTTGATTTCCAAGCAACAAATTTTTGTGGAATTCATTACAATGGGCTAAATTTTCTGCTTTCATGCTCACCCACTTTCTTTTACTGGTGGCTCGCCAGCGTATACCGATAGCCCAGATGGAGTTACCATTCTATAACCATACATCAAAAAAAGACAGACCGGAGTAATTAAAAGCATTGATACACTCACCTCACACAATGCCACTTCATTTTGGTTGGCTGTACTTTGTAATGTACTAAGTTTGCATTCGTCTACTGTAACGTTTTCCTTACAACTCTTGAGTACAGTTTTGCCATTAACACAGTCTAGCTGTATAATAGTTCCAACTTGATTTTGTGGTATAAAGTATATAGATCCGAAACTCACTATTGTTATTATTTGAAATATAATGAAAATAGATTTTTGTATCTTAAATCTAAAAGAAAAAACCAAAAATAATTTAAAAGTCTTATCCACGACATACACACAGCTACTTCTATCTTATGAAAGTGAAAAAAAAAAAAGAAACAAAATCAAAACTAAATTGACGAAAGATATCACGTAACCGCATTTAAAAATATATATAATAGTACCTATTAAGAACCTCCCCCTTTTCAAGAAATCAAAAGAAAAATAAGAATAAATCTAAAAGGAAGAACAAAAAAGATTATCTGGATTAAAGAAATATTACAGGAAAAAGGACGTGAAGTAAGAGATAGATATAATTATCTAAGAAGGCTATCTATCACGCTTGGAGCGCTCGATTTTCTTTGTTTATCATTCTTCTTTTTTACCATTTTTATTTCATTTATAGTCTTCTTATAGTATAGGTAGGAAAAAAGTTGTGGTGATAGTGGATCGCCTTGTCTGAATCCACGTATAATGGTGAACTCCGGTTTAATAGTTTTTAGTTGAATTCTTGCTAATCCTCTCTTAACTGATGCATATGTATTTGAGAAATAAGGGTTTTCCATATTTATTTTTGCAACAATTTGTTTGATTACGAGTATATGATCTATGGTCGAGTAATTGAGTAATTTAATCGAGGAATAATTTTTAAATTGAGCTTTACCTAAATAAATTTCCTTTTGTATACGCTATGTACTGAAATGTATGATACCATGTGGTCCCGGCATAGAGAGGACCACTCCTCCCTTTTGCGTGGCCGAGTGCCAGCTAAACTTGGCAACTACTAGCAAAGCCCCGTTTTGGAGAAGGCTTATGTTTCGTAGTGGATGGTTAACGGCTGATACGATATGATGATTTATTAAGATGTACACAATGTACACCTGTAATTCGTAGCATAAAATACCATAGGGTTTTTTTACAACACAGGGAACAAACGAGCATGCGGCTCACCTGATGGTAAGTGACTACCGCCGCCCATGATCACCCACAACACCAGCGGCATTGCAGGAGTGCTGCCGGCCTTTTAAAAAAGGAATATACTCTTTTCTTGAAGGTTATGTTGTCGTATCGGTTCAGAAATACTAATATTTTTATTAGGGATTGTTTCCGTCTGTGCTTAGTAAGATAAGGCAAACAAAAATAAATATTCACGGACAAAATATTATATTCATAAAAACGTCAAACGTCTCATAAACCTGTTTTAGCTATTGAACTGTTTTCTTTTTCTTTTGTGCTAATTTCTCAGTTTGAAAGAACAACTGATAAAACATTAATAGTAAATAGGTGTGTAGGTTTTAGATTGTATAAATAAAGAGATAAGATTACAAATAGATCTCATCACTGCAAACATTTAACGAATACAAAAAAAATAATTTTAAACAGTATACTATTTTGTTGTATATTTAAAAAAAAATCAATGTGGGAAAATAATTTACTCGTACTGAACCGAGATCGAATAGGATAATTATAGTATATATAGTTATCTATATTTTGCGCTTTGTAATAGAATATAAGTGATATTTTAATAGACTTTACTTTGTAATAAGTTTATTTTAATTATTTATTTATATTTATTCACATGCCACGTGGTACAGATTAGTTATTACAATAAGTAAGCACGTGACACTCTGTAAGGACACCGCAATTTACAGAGAGAACCATCCCCTTTTGATGACAGTTAAAATCACAAGGTAATATTTATTTTTATTTATTATATTATATTATGAATAAAATGTAAAAATACATATTAGCTTCTTGTTAAAGAAAATTATTTAATGTATAATATGTTTTATTTATTAGGTACTTATTAACTCAATTGCAAATTTTTTATGACTCTTAAGTGTTTTATCTCATTAGGTATTTTATTATATATTTGGATTGTCATTAATTGGGCACCAGATTTAACTAACTGTAGTGTTGTTTTGTATGGATACTTAATTTTATTTTTATATCTATCGTTTATTTATTTTTATAGGTTAAAAAAGGTGTATATTTTTTCTTACAAATTTGTTTTCTAGTTTATATGTAATGGTAAGAATTCTATATTTTCTAAAATATGGTTTATATGAGGTTGTTTGATTTATATTGATTATTTCTTTTCAAAAGTAAATAAGTCCACTATACTTATAATATTTCCCCACAGAATAATACCGTATGTGAGCCAGCAATAGGCATGCGCATAGTATTTTTATAGTTCAAGCGAACGTAATAAACATATTTCATATATTATTAAATAAATATATATATATATATATATATATATATATATATATATATATATATATATATATATATATATATATATATATATATATATATATATATGGGATTTAGAAGAATATATGTTTCTTTTTATCCGGTTACATAAACATATCCAGGTCACGCGGACGAAGTCACCAGTATATATACTATATTTATCGTATATAAAACAGACACTATTTTTTCGTATTTATATGGACCTGTCACACGGGCCGTGTCACAACACGCAGAGTATATCAATACCTGGAGAGATGATTGTGCTGTCATGAAACTGATTGTGTTGTCATGGCCAGACTTTATGTACGCACACTAATATTAATATTATCTTATAAGATTACATCACGAGATTAAGTAGTACGTACATTTTTATATGGTTCTCTAATCATACACAATTATTACAATGATAAACAGGGCGCTGTGTAATATGATATGATCCAATTACACCATATCTCTGTATTTGAGTTAAAACACTCGATTAATTATAGTAAAGAATAGACATATATTGAAGAATTATACAGATTAAGATAAGAATCAATTTATAAATCGATTTATCACATATTGCATATTATAATGAGATTACCTATTTTTATTATTATCATATAATAACTACATAACACTGTACCTAGTTAGTAAATAAAAATCAAGGTCTTAAATTGATTAAAATTTATTTTATTTTGTTACTTAAAAAAAGGGTTAGAAATAAACAGACTTCAGATTTAAAGAAAAAAATAATACAAATAACAGAGTTTGTTTTAAAGCATCTTCTAAAAGGAGCAGGCGCTCAATGTACATGTATTTATATCTTTGATTTTGCGAGATAAACCGATTAGGTGCTTTTAAAAATAACCTTGGTAAAAGTGATAAGTAACAATCACCAAAATTCTAAGTGCGTTGACAACCCGCCTGGCAACTACTGGCAAAATCTCACCAATGATGATAAGTGATAAATCACCAGACTTACATATTTAAATACACATAATGTTTAGTAGTGAGTGACAAGAGCTCTACCGACAAGAGCGCAGCTCTTAAGTAGGATAGATAGATAGATAGAATGTTTAGTGTATAATCTATGGTTTCTATATGTGTCTACGTAAAAAAATATTTTTAAATGGTTTAAAGTTTTTTTAACATACCTGTCAGCGATAACACCAAAAAGTGGTTTTGCTATGAGCCCAAATATAGGCAGTATCGTGTATATGAGACCTACAGTCGCTGATGAAAATCCTAATTGACGTGCATAAGTCGATAGATAAGGCACTAAGGGTGCCGTACCTACAACAAAGATAAAACACATTTTTTAATATAACACAAACATTATTAGACATGAGACTAACAATACAGTGGTTCAGGAGAACAGATTACTACATTGTAATTACGAATGTGAAACTGTTCTCCTTATCTGAATCAACTTTAAAATAAGTTCACTTTATCTCACCTGCTTGAAATAGGAAGTAATGTAATTTAATTGGCAGTAAATTAAAATTAATTTTCATTTTAAAGGATAAGCATTTATCTGTAACAAAAGAAAAAAAAAAACAATGAATTAGATTGAAATGGATTGCAACTGAGTAGGATTAATGTGCTGGTTTACGACCAATTAATGTGCTTACGATTTTTAAACATTCATATTTAGTAGAAAGAATTTATTGTTTTACTTAAAAATCATAGTGTACTATAAAAGTATAAAATCTTAATAATTTACTTGTCATGGGTTTTATATTTTTATAATATGATATTATTTTTAATATTTCTTTTTTCTTGAAATATTGCTGTTTTATAGTTCTTAGATATAGAATTTATAAACAGAAAAATAAATAAACATTCAAAACATTTAAAATACTCAAAATAGACAAATATAACCTATGTTACTCATATCATTGACTTGGGCCACTGAATGCACTGTTCTTTAAAGATTTCTTTTCTATACATTTTATTACTAGTCAACCACTCATCAGTTTTCAACTACCATTTTATTGCCAAAAACAAGCTTTGATATATGATTTTAGGCAAGAAAATACTAGTCATATTCTGACATTGCTGTATCCTGTCTACTGATTAAAGAGTATTTCTGGCCATATCTAGAAAGATGAGAGACTGTTCACCATAGTCTCGACATAGAATAGGCCACCCCATTCTTTCCTGTGGGTGTCATAAGAGGCGACTAAGGGAACTTAATAGTTGGGAGATGGGCAGCAGCATCTCTCTTTAAACATCATCAAACCCTAACTGTGGTTGCCAATCTGCCTGCCAAGTGTAGCAACCACTTTCCAAACCCCCCAATATGGAGTGGCCTATGTTCAGCAGTGGATAGATAATGGCTGATATGATGATAATGATGATGAGAGACTGTACATTAAATATATATCTCACATATATAAGTCACAATCAGCTTCAAAATGTAACAGAAAACTTGTTTTTATCTATTTGTTGTGTAACCATTGAATGCCCAAACTATTGAATGAATGACTTAAATATTGGTTGGTAATGAAATTAAATCATATCTTAATGCTTTATGTACAACATTTTATTAAAACTTATTAAATCATCTTTTATTCATGATGAATATGCCTTCTCACTAGTTTTTATGAATATTTATTCATTACAAACAAGAGTTGTTTGGCGTTTAAATCATAATGAACACTGATATTGGCCATTAAATTATATACAGGATTGTGGAACATATTCATCTTGCTATTTTTTTTTGATGGGTGAAAATGGTATTGTAACCCCGCCTGTGCTAACGGAATACGCTGGCGGAGCATCAGTGAAGGGTGATAGATGAGAATAAAAACAGGCCAGTTAGCCCATCGTGATGAATTCATCAGGAATTAACCATGATAGTTTCCAGGGAGAACCATGAAGAGGTCGACCTGGTTGGGTATATTGCTAGCAATGGGATTCTCAGTCTCCATTACTAACAATCCCTTTCCTCCTCTCATCTTGCTATTAAAAATAACAAGAACCTTTGTCTCTATTTGGAAATACCATTATTATAGTTTTAAGTGAAAATGTCAGAGTACCAGCAGCGGTCAGCGAACCAGCACATTAACCCTATTTATTTTTTAACATAAATATTATTTCTAAATCAAAATTATTCTCTTAATAGTAAACAGTTATAATTTCTTTTAAACTTTAGTGTTCAGTTCATTATCAATATAGTTTGCAAATCTTAATACAATTTTTTTTTATGCAACTATATAATTTCTCTTGATATCAGTTATTTTACACTAACTATGGTCACAAGTAAGATGATCACTGTAATTTGTTTATTATTAAATTATTTGTATTAAGAACTTTTAAATCATATTAGTAATAAACAGTTATAATTTTGGTATTATACATATGGACAGTGTCTCCTCATAAGTGGTATATTATATTACCCTACTATTCCAACGGTGGCCAGCGAGATATTTGTAGTTTTATCACAAGATTTTCTTCCATTAATCAACCAAAAAAAAAAAAAAAGAAATAACAATGATATTGTACTTCTTCATGTATTTGAAATTAAATTATTAATTAAATTAAATATTAAATTAATAATTTAATTTAAATATTACATTAATAATTTAATTTAAATATTACATTAATAATTTAATTTAAATATTACATTAATAATTTAATTTAAATATTACATTAATAATTTAATTTAAATATTACATTAATAATTTAATTTAAATATTACATTAATAATTTAATTTAAAAATTACATTAATAATTTAATTTAAAAATTACATTAATAATTTAATTTAAATATTAAATTAATAATTTAATTTACAGATGAAACGGAAACCTATAAAATCTATAGAAATATTTGTAAAATCTTTCCAACTCATTTATATTGTGAAAAGTTAATTTATTTGTTTTTTTTTTTAAATTTATTTATAAAATTTGCCGTATTTATCCGGTAACTACTAACTAGATAGTCTTTAATAGATCGTCACAATAATGGCCAGAAAAAAACATGCAAAAAATTAAGTACTTGACTTACCTAATTGAAATTATAATATTAAAAATATTTCTTTATAAGCGGCAATTTTAGGTTACTTACCGATCAACAATATTTAAATATTTATTAAATGAAAGTATTCACTATTCAGAAAGCTAAAAACAAATACTACTATTACCACTGTGTAGTAAAAATTATATTAAGAACAAAAACTTTGAAATAATTAAAAAAATGCTAATTTCTCTAGCGCGATGTTTACACATGTTCAGAAGATCAAATTCTCATACATTATAATCGCAAACAAAATAATTCGAGTCGCTGTCATGCAGCTGTCACAATCCACTAATCAGTAGTAGAGATGGTAGTTATACCAATAACCATCTGAATAGGCGCTGTTAAATTATCAGTCGTCGACGTAGCCAGCTATTGGTTATAGAACTGCTCCAGCACCCAGCACATTACTGCGCCACGATCATTAATCGCCAAGTGGCACTTACGTTTACACGCCAGCTAAGTCATCTTCGACTACTGCGGCTATTTGCTATCGACAGTAACATCAGCTGTCTTAGCTGGCAGTGAACGTCCAAACCGGTAACGTTCACCATCCAGTAATTTATTAATTGAACTAGCTTCGCTCGCGATAATATAGATTCTGTTCAACAATTCTGGTTAGAAACTCACCCTCGTTAAAAAGTAATTTGAAAAAAGTAATACGCAATTTAATTATGAATTATCTGAACTAATATTGTAAATTCCAAGAAAGATTGTTTGTTTGTTACGCTTTTGCACCAAAAATCGTTATGATGACTTTTAGTTTAACAATAGATGACACCCTAAAGGCAGTGATGAATTATTTTTTTATAAAAAAATTATAGGTTTATTACGCCGTCTGATTTGCTTCAAAGTTTGCAGAATTATTGCTTATAATTCATAATTACATGATAATCATAATATATAGAATTTTTTTTCAAATTAATTCTTGAAGGAATCCTTTTTTACATATCATTAGTTCGCATTATATTGCAATAAAACGATAGTTCTAACTAACACTGTTCTTAAGAACGTATGACGTCCAGCTTTTAACCACAAATGTATTCTAAAATAAGAAATTCTAATTGCATTGTCAATAATAATAATAACTAGATATCTATATCTTATATGAAAATTACAATAAAGGTGGTTTTATGCCATATATAATTATATACGGAACCCTCAGAGTAAAAGTGAAAGTTCAACTCGCACTTGATTGGTTATTTATTCTTTAATAAATATTGATTTAAAATATTGATAATGTTGTACTACTATTTATATGTCTCCATTCTCAATATCGTTGTTGACTGTTATCATAAAAGACTTATCTATTCCGTAAAATTCAAATCTTACAAAACATCAGAACAACAGAACAAGTATTTACGTTTAATAACTTTATTTTGCTGTACTTCAATTTTACATCTATTTTTTTTTAACTAGTGAGTAATGTAAATTCTTTTTTGCGCATTAAACAATAATTGGAAAAGTTATGTGCAGTTAAACGGCAGTTGAAAAGAAAAGAAGTATTTGTTAAAAGAATTTGTACGTACATACACGTATATACGTATATATGTAAAAGAAATATTTTTATTTGCATAATATTATTATAGTTAGGTAATAACATTATGTAAATAAGTTATAATATAAGTAAAGTGTTTTTTTTTTAAACGCGCACAACAAATATAATTAATTCATTATTTATACATAATTTTAAGTACTATTTACATTCGAAATATATCATCACTGATAGTTTAATTTCAAATCATATCAATAAATAGTAATAAACATTTTAAATGAAGTTTTGTTTTTGAAATTGCACTGTCATTCTGACGCTAAGATGGAACACAGTTTATCGATACCAGTGAATATTTAAATATTATCGGAAATGGTATCATACAAAATGTCTTTATTGCCACTGCCACAGGGCTGAGCCACAATTAAAACGTCAGTGTGACATCTCATATGTCGCGTGCTAAGATTGATGATATTTAAAATGACAGTTATGTATATACTATTTAGCACATGAAGTTCCAATGAAACTTATATATTTAGCAACATACCTGTAATAAATAGTTAGGCTGTATGGCTCAGTACCTTTGCCTTTCCCTGAGTGGGATAAATTAAACTACTACTACTACATACCTGTAATAGGACTTATAGATAGAAATCTACCAACAGGTACCATTCACAATTATGTCCTTCAGATTATGAAGTACCTCATACTATGTTTATATTATGTCCAATAGTGGTTATTTTTATTTTGATTATATAACTAAGTTCTTTTTTTTTATTTAGCTATTAAACGCATAGATATATAATAATGAAACTAAAGTTCATAACATAACAGTCAAAGCCGCATTCATTTTGGTGCAGACAGATAATATTTCTAATAAATATTGTTTTGGATTTTATTGTTTAAATCTGGGTAAAACGTCTTACATAAATATTTTTTAAATATTTTCCATGTACAGATATCAGTCAGTTACTATTTTATTATACACAAACAGCGCATAAAGCGGTACTAAGTAGTGACCATTAAATAATATACTTAAAACTACATATAAAAATGATATACTGGAGCAAGGCAGTTATTATTTTCCATGATTAGTAATATATATTACCATAGGTACGCCCAAGGATATCTGCAAAGAACCATAGTAATCGACATATCCTGAAAGGTAAGCAAGCTGAAGTGGTAGTGGGTTGGTCACATAGCTTTAAGAACCAACAATCGATGAGGAAGAAAGGTTCTTGAGTGGCGACCCGTACGGGCAAATGTAGTGTGGGACGAACCCCACTAGATGGAGTGACGACCTCAAATGCATCACAGGTAGTCAGTGGATGCAGGCGATACAGAACCGTTCGTTATGGCAATCTATGGGGCTCCCCCAGGGCCTATGTCCAGCAGTGGACGGATAATATATAAAATCATGATGATGATGATAGATAAGTTTTACTCACTAGTGGTATCCTATTTGTTAACTTCACCAAAAGTGGTAACTCTGCCTGTGATATCGTCTACGCTTGCTAGATACTCTGGTACCTACCATGTAATGTTTTTCAAAATTTCAGGGCCGAATGAAAACCAAATATGATGTTAAAATTACAAAATATATATAATTTAAAAATGTTAAGCTTCATTTTTACTGGACCGATTTCGGTATAATCGAAAATACAAAATTAAGTCCGAAAAATTAGGATTTTATTTCTTGGTAGACCCCCAGTAATAAAAGATAGGTGACGATGAAGTCGGTAACCCATCAAGACGTATTCGTTAGGAATTAACTATGATATTTTCCAGAGTAGATCTCCTAATAATGTATGTGGCTAACAGTGGGGCTGCACTAATTAGACTTCATTACTAAAAATTATCTTTTTTTTTATACAACTTAGAATGGCAAACAAGCTGACAGCCCACCTGATGGAAAGTGGTAAACGTCGCCTATAGACATGAGCAGTACCATGGACATAACAGAGTATACTGTTTCGCCCATGATACCCCCCATGCGTTGTCATTCCTGAGGACTCAGGTGTTATTCCTCTGTACCCAGTAAATTCACGTCACATCCCATCCTTCAAACCCAAAGACAGCCATGCAAACACAACTGCTTTACGGTTGAAACACGAACGGGACAAAGATACCCAATCAATCGACTTTTGTACAAAATCTCCCTCTGGTATCTCCCCCTTTCTTGGATAAGAACTGGTTTAGACATAATCTAATAAACACTCTTATGCTGTACACCATGAAGTGTTGTGAATGGAACTAAAAAAATGGATTAGAAATTAAAATTACTTTTTATGAACTTTACTAAAAAATTTATTATTTACACTAGTAAAAAAATAATTTTGCTAAAAACAAAAATCCTGATTATGTCATATAATATATATAAATGAATTCGTAGTTCCCTTGGTCACACCATACATTGGGAACGACTAAGCGATTAATTATTTTAATTTTTTTTTTTAATATTTTATAAATATCCATTAGTAGTCAACAACTATTTTAACTTCGGGCGTTTGATTGTTCGCGCAATTGACAGGACAACATCTATAGGGTCAGTTAGTATATGTTCTGACTGTCAGAATATATTGTTTAATGACGATCAGGTAACTACAATCATTTCCTTGTGTTAATACGTTGTATTTTGTTTTTGAGTGCATATTGACTAAATACGTGTAAAGCACAGAAGATTAGGGAACTGATCCCGAACCAGCGGAATGTGGTCGAACCACCATACGATTTGTAAAGTTGACCGCCGATCATACTTCCGATAGATGTCCCCACTCCTTCATACATCGCACCTACTAAGCCCTGTAATATAAGATAATCTTTTATTGCAACTGTTCTGTGTTTGTAACATTATATATATTTTATATGGTACAGTAAAAAAAAAAAAATATTGTTATACAGAGGGTTGCGATATTTTAATGACCAAATTTCAGCTTTACAGGGGGGTAAGAGATTGTCAGTAATGCGGAGTATCAGTCTCATTGCTAGCAATATACTCTATTAGGTCGATCTTCCAGTGGTCTCCCCTGAAAACCATCGTACTATATTCCAGGTGTATTCATCACGATGAGCTAACTGACTTGCCTTTTTATTCTAATCTATCATCCCTCATTGATGCCCTGCCGGCGTGTACCGTCAGCGCGGGCGGGGTTACCATTCCATTATCATCCATTTAAAATAGAACTTCAGCTTTATTAGGTTTATCTTTGAGATATTGGGATAATAACAGTTTTCAAACTCTCGTCTTCGGCGTGGGTGTGAAGCAAATATTAACTCAAATAAACTAAAACGAAATAAAAAAAGTTTCCAACAGGACTAAAATTTGCATCCATAGGGTACGGTAACCCCCTTTACGATCCAGACGGGCTGTATGTTTGTTTGCCACTATAGTAGTATAGAAAAAAAACATCAGTTTTTTACTTTTAGAAAAGATCCAAACCCATAACTGTAGGATAAGATTCACTGATATTATATGAAAATGTTTGATGCATTCATGTACCTGAACTGTAGTTTCTGTTCCATCTGGCGAGACCATTTTTGCATAAGAGGTCAAAGTAGGGTAGAACATGCCATATGTGATCCCTTGCAGCATCTCTATGGGCAGAACCCACCATGCGTTCGTAAGGATCGAATATAGTAAGAATCGTACTCCGAAGGCGAACAGCACTAAACTCATCATATTAATGTGTCCCACTTTTCTTAAAACATATCCTAGAAGGTTGAAAATTGCAAACATTTTTGAGAACCTATACTAATTTTACAAATGGACAAGTATCTAGTGTTTGTATGGGATGCTTAAATTTTTTTATCAACGTAAGGAAAACCAAGTTTCGTTCACAAACTGTACTAGATATGACATATACAGAATATCAGAATTGTATCATTTTGGCGGAATTGCTTTTTATCATCAAGTTCGGCTCAGAAATTTCTGAGACAGACAAAGTAAAAAGGTTTACAGCGTAATATAAAAAGTATCACTTACCAGACACAAATAGAAAAGGTATTTCCCCACCAAATGATTGAATAGCACTAACAAGACCCTCTAGTGTTTTTATATAATCAGATCCGTCGCAACTCAAAGCTGCTATGTCTTCGAGATGCCAGAAAAGGAATTGCCATACGAAACCAGTGTAAATGCCCACTGATATAGCCCACAACAAAAATATAATTGTTGGTAAAGAAGATACTAGCGTTCCAACTTCTGCCAAGATATTCATAGACATTTTTATGGTATTTGTCTGAAAGTTAAAATTTAAATATATTTAGATTTTTGACATGCAGCTTATTTGTATGATTTATTATTAGTCGAAGCAGATATATAGCATGCAAGCTACTGATTATTGTAATTCAAGATTTATGGAAGGAAAGGGATTATTAGTAACCGGGATCTAATAGCCCTATTGTTAGCAATATCAGTTCCACCTCCACGTGGTTTCCCTTGGAAACCACCTTGGATAATTTTTATGAATTCGTTACTATGGGCCAACCTTGACCTGCTTCAGTCATCATCCCTCACTGGTGCCCCGCAAGCGTATGTTGACAGTGCAGGCGGGGTTACCATTCGATTATCACTCATTAAAAAAAATCACATCATAAAAGCATTTGTAATGTGCGAGTGAAATGGTGTTAATATTAAGTTTTCAAGCACGTATTTGTCTCGGTATAACTGAAGCAATGATATAGGAAGCATAAAGATTATAAAAAATAGCTAGAATTGTACAAGTGACTGCAAAGGGCTTCTTCTTTTTACTGTCAATATTACGGGGGTCTTTTTTTGTTGTGGTAACAGTATACGCTAGTGAGGCATCAGTGAGGGATGATAGGTGAGAAGAAAAAAACAGATCAGTTAGTTGAACTTGATGAATACACCTGGAATTAAGCACGATGGTTTCCAGGGGGGACCATGTGGAGGTCGACCTACTAGGTTATATTGTTAGCAATGGAACTGGTAGTCTGCATTACTAACAATCCCGTTCCTCCGTGTTACGGGGGTCAGGTATTATAAGATCATAATCATTTTAAGAGCAGTGCCCATTGTTGTGTACAAATTGAAAATTAAGCACTGTTTGAGGTGTGACCCCGAAATTATATATTGCGTCATTGTTTAGTTTTCATTTGGTCAAATTGTGCCTATAGTGGCCTATTTGGCAATGAAGATGGTTTGAGAATTTCTAAATAGGCCAATTAGTTAGACCAATAGTTAAATTGCAGGAATGTCTTTTGATGGATTTGTTCAGCTGGGGTTGAATATATTAATAAAATACACGCAGAATATGTTCAAAAAATCTTTTTTATACAATTACTTACTTTTACAAATATAGAAACTGTAACGTCTCCACACATATAGACGAACATAAGTATAAATGCCACGATATAATTTTTGTACGCTCCATCACTGAATAGATCTATGAGAGCTCCGGTGATCAGTGAGAACATTCCATAACCGAGAGATCCCCATAATCTCTGTTTGCCATAATCAGATATTTTATCACCTGTAAGGAAGTTAAATAAGTCGTTTACATATTAAACAATATTTTTTTTTACAAATAATGATTAAAATATATACATGACAGGAAATTTATACATTATAGCATATATAAATCGGTTGACAAGATCGGATTTTAACTGTTCATCCAATTTTAATTTTTAATTTATCAGAGGGAGCCTTTGTACAAAAGTCGTTTGCTTGGACACCTCTGTCCCATTCTTGTTTCTACCGTGAAACAGTTGTGTTTGCATGGCTGTGTTTCGGTTTGAAGGGTGGGATATAGTAGTGAATTTACAGGGTGCTATGGTTTTTTTTTTAATGGGTGATAATGGAAAGGTAACTCCGCCTGCGCTATCGGTATACGCAGGCGGGACACCAGTGAGTGATGGTAGGTGAGGATGAAAGTAGGTCAGTTAGTCCATCGTGACGAATTCCACTAGAATTAACCACGATGGTTTCCAGGGGGAACCGCGTGGAACTCGACCTAATAGGGTGTATTGCTAACAATGGGTTCATTAGACCCCATTACTAAAAATCCCTTTCCGCACTATATGCGACGGTTACCACTTTCCATCAGGTGGGCCGTCAGCTTATTTGCTATTCTAAGTTGCATATTAAAAAATTGCCGCTAATTTTAATGGGAGATATATAAGATTTTAGCAAAACTGCATTTAGACATTTATTGGTACAGATCATACTAATGCGGTCATATTGGTAAAATACTGTATAAAATGTTTTTATAAAGTAATTTAATAAAAATATTTCAAATTAGTCTTACCAAGAAGATCAAAGCATATAGCATCAGCAAATGTTATCACGATAGATTGACTGACCCAGCTGATTATCATAAATAAAAAGAATAACCAAAACTCCCTTGTATATTGTGTCATATTATTTTTACTATCTGATGCAGCTTCAAAAACTTCATTTAACTGTAAAAATAAAAGATATTTCAATCTATAACGTATACGTTCTTTTTATGATATATATATAACATTTAAGACATATATTAGTTCACAGAACTTATAACTAGGTATGTTTACACTGTCAAATATATAGATACAAAGCAGATGAAAAATTGATAATAATAATTATCAGGTAAGTCTTAAACAATACAAAATATTGCAAAATTTTGGAGGCATTATAAAATTGTATCAATAGTAATTATCAAGCTTAAAAAACGTGATATATTTGATAGTGTAATATACCCTTAAAGCAATGACAGAACACGAATGATGCAGGTCATAAGTGTAGCTAATAACATAAACATTTATATTTCTCGTTTCTAATAGCTGAGAAAATTCTAGTATAAACACCAAATAAGACAAAACAAAACATTTTGTAATGAGCATCTGTTATATTTTACCGTAACACGGAAAAATAAAGTACGATTTAATCCTTACGATATAATAGGAGAGCAAAATATACGAAATTGCATAAAGACAATTTTATATTTTCGCAACACATGAATTCCGTTCATATCCATAATGTCATCGCGGTAAATACATATGGAACATCTCTATACGAGTACAAATGCATATACCCTGTTTTACGATTATATCGTGACAATAGAATCATACAATACCATATCGTATTACGGTAAGTTATAAATGTACTAAATGCTTTTATCTCATACAGATACGCATGTTTACTTACATCATCCAGATTTAAAAAAATAAATTTTGGATTGAACAAGATGGTATCACGAATTGATACTTGATTTCTTATGAGACTTTAACACGTGGATGTTTTGAGAGGTCTGCCCTGGTATACTAAAAATTTAAAATGATATATATGTTAATCTTCAAAGCAAGGGTTCACTTAATTACGTAATAATAGTAAACAGCTAGCTTTGTTGCAACGTAATATACCTATTAATCAGTCATTTTGAAAAATACTTACTTGAACTAAATTTCTTTTTTTATTTTTCAAGCAATTTATAGTAAAAAATGTTGTTGTTAAATCAATCAATCAATCAACCAACCAATCGGTCAGTGTGTAAGTGAGTTAGACAGTCAGTGAGTCAGTAAGTCAAACAGCCAGTGAGTTAGACAGAAAGTCAACCATTCAATAAATGAGTCAGCCAATTAGTGAGTCAGTGAGCGAGTTAGTCATTGAATCGGCCAGTCAGCGAGTTGGTCAGTTTGCGTTTTGAGCGAGTCAGACAGTAAGCAAGTCAGTCAGCCAGTTAGTCGGACAGTCAATGAGTCAGCCATTCAGCGAGTCGGTCCGTCAGTAAGTGCTGGTCAGTAAGTTAGCGAGTGAGCTAGTCAGTTAATCAATTATTCAATCAGTGTGTTGGCGAGTGAATCAGTCAATTAGCCAGCCAGCTAGTCAGTCAGCGAGTCGGTCTGACAATTAGTGAGTCGGTGAGCGAGTTAGTCAACGAGTCAGTTAGTTAGCGAGTCGGTCCGTCAGTTAATCAGACAGTTAGTGAGTCGGTCAGTCAGTCATATTTTTATGTATTACCATTGTGTACAATAAAGTATAAATAAATAGTAATTTCATCTTTTATTATGATGAATGCAGTTTTTCATCACTGAGAGTTTATTATTAATAATGAATTGTTAACGGCCCTTAATACTTAGATATATATTACATTTAAGAATTCATACATACCTGACTATTATTACAACTAATTTGGCACGAGGTATGGTACAGTTCGGTTTCCAGTTGGTAAACGGCACTCGATGAACATTTTGGATAATGTATAGAACCTGCAAAGTAAAAAATATAGTAGATCATGAAATATGTCGAAATATCATTGCATAAATACAAATAAAATAATAAAAAGTAAAATAATAAAATTTGCTGGAAGAAATCTCTATTGGAGATAAGCTCGCCCTTGTGCACTATTATGTTTGTTTTTACATTTCAATAACCTTTTGTGTACAATAAAGAATAAAGAATAAAAAGTATACGAAAATAACGAAATTTAATTATAAAGACTCTTTTATTCATAAGAACTAAAACTTTTACAAACCTGTTTTAATTACTAGTATTTTTCTCTCTGAATTAAAAATAGATTTCAAAATAAAAAGTTGTTAGTGTTAGTGAAATAAAGGCGGTTAAAATAGATATAAAACGTTTAAAATTTTATTTCAGTTCCCAAACCAAGTAGTACCTATATTTTGTGAACATATTTTCCATGGTAGATTCTAAAATTTGGCAAGAGAAAATAGTACATATTAAAGTTACTAACCATCTGGTAAAGTAATATGGTCTAGCTGCAAGTAAAGACATTCGTCCATGGAGATCGCAGTAGACGGTAGTACAGTGCCAGTGAATGATAAATTCGTTGGGAATTCTTTGCCGATCCTCGTATTTGGTTGACAAAAAGTGGTGATCTCTGATTGCCAACTCTTGCATAACTCCAAAAGCTGCCATGGTTTTTTAAAATTACACGAAACCTGTAGACATTGAAAGTAGTGTGATTTAAGTAAAACTCCACATGACTATTCTGTATCGCTCGCATTAAAAAAAAAATGTATAGCAGTAAATCTAAAAAAATAGGTATTTCTTTTTTTATACATAAAACATCACAAGAATATTGGCTATATGCATTATCACAGCTGATAAACATAAAAAAATATATAATTACAAAAAAAGCGAATACATTTTAAAGAAACTGCATTGTACATTGTTACTTTAAGTTAGTGTGTTTTAATAAATGAAAATGTAATAAATGAAGGATGATGAGGATGATGTCAGATCAGGTAGTAGATCATGTTTTATATTACTGTGCTTACTAAAAATTATTATAAGGCTAGTTAAATATTATTTACCATGCATTCACTCTCCATATAATTATCCAATACAGTCAGTTCGGATGTATTATTTGTACAGAAACGATAATTGAGTGTGTTATTCAAACATATCATGTAAGGGTTTTTAAAACCGATTATTGAAGACAGTATTTCATTCGTGCAGTTGAGTGCACATGGTTGACTAATGTTCACGAAGCCGCTACCAACGCGACATTGAGGAATGTACTCATGACCTGTAAAACAGCAGTCAGTACATTCTATTAATATTTATACAATAAGTAGATTTTAAGAAGGTAATAAGTATCAGCTATCAGATAAATTATTAATATTTTATTCTTAAATTTATACAGTAATCACTCTCTCTGTTCATTGCCTAAAGTTTAATTTTTCAACTTACAAATAAGTTAATTATTATGTTCAGATATGCTAATGAGAACAGGTTTACTTACCATCTAAAATGATATCCTTTGTTGTAATATAAGCACATTTATCATGTAACATAATGTTACCGAAGTTTGATAAATACTGCAAACTGTCTGTGCTGCTGTCACAGTACTGTGGTATGTCCCAATGCTCACAAACAGTCTGCCACATCTTGGGCGACGATATATCACAGTTCATCTGAAGAAAAAAATATTGTAATATAATGTATATTTTGTGATTTCATACAATATTAGAGATAATACGAAAATAGAAAAAAATTGTAGTTCTCTTGAATATCAAGAGAACTGCAATTTTGCAGAGTCATTAATATACAAAGTGACTAAGAAAACTTATTTAAACAAACTCAAATAACATTTCTACTTTAATAATAATTATATTTACAGAAAATAGGACTAAGTTCCTCTTCTAGCATATTACTAATTACTGTACAAGTGATCAGTTTAAACATAATGTGTAAGTTAAAAAATTATGGGACAGCACTCACCTCACATTTAGCTTCTTTCTTATCTTTTCCAAGTGTACTTACTTTACATTTATCTATAGATCCACCTGCCTGACAACTTCTTAGAACTGTCATGCCATTAGCACAATCCAACTGAACCATAGTTCCAACTCTGTTCTCTGGTATAAAGTATATAGCTGAGAAACTCACTATTGTCATCACTTCAAATAGTATAAAAATAGATTTTTGTAACTTAAATCTGAAAGTTAAACATATATGCATTTGTCATACAAATAGGTACCATTGTTAATTTCTTATAATTAGGTATTACTAATAATTTCCTACCAATGTTGCCAACACTTTGTAGGTATATATTTAAGAATGTTCAAACAGTTTTTAAATAAAATTTAAAAAAAATGACTCAAATACAATAGAATTTTTACAAAAGAATTACTTTTTAATATATTTGAATAATTGAATTAGTCTCAAATATATTAATATTACATCTATATAATTTTTAAACCAGCTCCTTTAATAATTAATGTTAAAAGTGTAATAATGTCTTAGCTAAAATAGGTTTATAAGAGGTTTGATATATATATATATATATATATATATATAAGGGAGCTAGTATCGGTATAAAATACAAGTGAACTTGTAACCAGTTCTTACATGTAAGTATATAAGTCCTAAAATGTTTTATCTAATGTATGAAATAATAATACATTCACGTAAAACCTTTCTTGATCTTTTAATCTGAATACAAACCAGCAGTGTATTGTTAAAATAAATAATTAAACACTACAGAAATAGTGTGGTTCTCTTTTTTTAACATTAATTTTACATGTATGTAACATAATTGGAATATATCAGGGACAATAAAGAATAGTATCACCAGAGGGAGACTTTGTACAAAAGTCGATTGCTTGGGTACATCTGTCCCATTCGTGTTTCTACCGTGAAGCAGTTGTGATTGCATGGCTGTTTCGGTTTGAAGGGCGTAAAGATTTGATATGGCGTTAATTTACAGGGTACAGAGAAATAACATCTGAGTCCTCAGGAATGGCAACGTATGGAGGGTATCACGGGCGAAACAGTATACTCTGTTATGTCCACGGTACTGCTTATGTCTATAGGCGACAGTTACCACTTTCCATCAGGTGGGCCGTCAGCTTGTTTGCCATTCTAACTTGTATAAAAAAAATCAGTGAAAGAATTGTACTTTTAAATTGGATTAATAGCTTTCTTAACATACCTGTCGGCGATAACACCCAAAATTGGTTTTGCTATGAGTCCAAATATAGGCAGTATTGTGTATATGAGACCTACAGTTGCTGATGAAAATCCTAATTGACGGGCATAAGTTGACAGATAAGGCACTAAGGGTGCTGTTCCTATAACATATACATAATTAGGTTATACATTACAGAAAGGGCTGTATATAAAATTGCATTCAGTGACAATATTTTATAAAACAGAACTAAAGGAAGGAAGATCTGAATGCAAGAAAAATGAATCCTTTACACAAACCTACTATCACATAATATGTAAAATAATATTTTAATATTTTCCTCCTTACTTTTTGTTCAATTAGCACCAAATTCAATGGACAGGCATGCAATTATAAAGTAAAAAACACTAAAACTAATAAAAATTTACACTGAAAATTTGCTTTTGTTACTTTAGTTGAAATGAATATATCATTATTATCTTTGGATTGTTGCAGGTATCATTATATTACATTCACTTCTTTTCTGTCATATCCAGGTATAATTATAAATAAAATTCTTATAAATGTGATAATTTTGTACATATCAAACAATTTAGTATTAATTGCATGCAAATTATTTATTTCTAAAGATTATATTATGAGTGTGCTGCATTTAAATCATGTTTAAATGAAGACATGCTGCATGTAATAAATTATCATATTGTTAATGTAATAAAAACCAATTAACTAAGTATTATAGATTTCTAAAACAAGGAAGTCTAATTTTAATGGTTTGAAATTTAAAGTTTTATAAACTGCAATGTTTTTAATGTGTAATTTTTTTTTTAAACTTGTTTATATTGTATTTTTAAGTAATATTTTTAATAGATTATGAACTGTTAATAGTTTGTATACTGAAAAATTATAAAAAAGGGACTTCATGAGTAATAAAATGATGTCAAGTCAAATAAGTATACAGTTATAAAATGTTATGTTTTAATGAATTAAAATGTAAACTTTAATTAATTAAATGTTTTTTTTTTATTTTAATATTGATTTTTCCATTTAAGTATCTAATAACTATGACCTTGCATATTTTCATTATTAATTCTATAACTTTACTAGAAATAAATTAAGGAAATTGGTTTTAAGATAGAATACTAAATTAGGGACTGGAAGGCATTAAATATTTAAAAAAAAAAAAAAAATAGGAAAAACCCACAACAACGTAATAAGATTCTTTAAACATAAATAGCCCATGTTATTTATACATAGCCATTCCTAAGGACTATGTTATTACATTCACATCAGTACAGTATATTGCATGATTAAGCAAAATATTAAACAAAAATACCTTATAGGAATACATTTTAGGAAGATTAAAATTGTATGTAAATTTCAATACATACAAAATTGAAATAATTTTTTAATAATATTTATTACTTTTTATCAAATCAAACAAGTTAAGCAATCCTGATGTCAATGTGAGTAAAGCGGATATAAATATAGTACAATATAATCCATGCTAGTTATTAAATCTGTTTATACCCTATTTAAATAATGATAACTTACAAAGTCATCAATGATAATCAATATATAAACTCACCTGCATTAAATAAAAAGAAATGAAACTTAATTGGCAATAACTTATGGTTTAGTTTCATTTTTATTAAAGACAGCATTTGACTGCAACAAAGAAAAACTTTTAAATTATCAACATGGACATTATCTTACATAATGTAATAAAGTTGCAATGTCTGTACATGGGAGATAATTAAGACAAAAATGATATGAGGGTTCTGATGAGAACAATAGAAACTTTAATAAATAATTTTTAGAAATTTTGTCTCTCTGTACTGTTCTCACATTATACAAAACTATTATACAAATGCATACAGTTTTCACAATTATATTTTTAAAAGTGTAATTTAAAAATTAGTGTATGTTTTATCTTGATAAACTATCTATGTGGTTGATTCAATCAGTCTTCTTACTTTTGAAACCTATACATACAAAGTAGAAGGCAATAGGCTAGTATACATACCAAACAGAAGCGAACTTGTAAGCAGTTCATACATGAAGTATATAAGTCCAAATATTTTTTATCTAATGTATGAAATAAATTACTTAATAAAAAAAGTACTTTCTAAAAAGCAACAGTATAATTATATAAGAATTTTAAAATTTTGTACACGTACATACAACATAAGAATTTTATTTCAATTTTTCCTGTTCATAATGGACAAGTATAAGGAAAAAAGTGTAGTTATCTATATAGTGAAAGAAATTTTCTAAGGCTATTTCTAAAATTAATCTCATAATAATTAGACTATAGTACAGTTCAGTTCCTGAAATATTTATTAAAATGTTACTTACAAATTTTTTTTTTTGTTTATTTGCACTATACCGATAAAGTAAACAAGACGGATCACGATTTCGATCGGAACTGATTCTGATTAAGTTATGCTTTGCGTGATTTCTTCTACTGGTGGGGTGCATGCTGTGATGACTGGGGAACAGGTTCGTACAGATACTCATTACTCTGATTGTATGTTTAATAGACCTATATGTTCTTTTCAGTATTGGGGTTTTAATGTTTTTATTTATATTTATTAGTAAAATTATTTTGTGATGCATTTTGTCAATGTCAATTGTCAAAGCAGTCATTGACATTGATTGATCGATAACAAATTGTTAATGTCACTGTCAAAAACCTTGCCACGGATATAGAAGAAGTGTAGTACCTGCTTTTTCTATGACCATGGTACATAGAAAGGTACTATCTATTATATTAAAAATAAGTAATTAATTAGAGCATCGACTACTTTCAAAAAGTTTAGTTAAATATATTATACTAAATGTATAATTTAGTTTTTAAGTTTAGCTATTTTATATAGGAAAAATGATATGAAGGGAAGGTTGAAGGCTTTGTTCTTAGGTTGAAGGTTAGAAGCGTCCTCTTAAAATAAATACTTTTGATTTTTGATAACGTATGCAGTAAAATACGCATTGTTTTTTAATAAATAATAATTACGGCACCTTTCTATAATTTGATACGACAAGACTCGAATCCACACCTGCTTAACCTTTGGGTCAATTTTAATGTGTTCCCAGTTGCATCACAGTTGAAATATTATCAGTAAATGTCTTAACCATTTTTCAATGTTATTTATATGTTGATGTCTTAAATATTGACATATTTAAAATTATTACCTAGAAGGAGGTCTGGGCCTTAACATAGGTGAATTTTATGTATTTTTACACATGCTGGGATGGGCATCAGACGACTCTGGGGTGGGCACAATTCACCCGATAGCCCGATATATAAATAATTATGACGATAATTTAAATACATATCAAAAGATACGTATATGCAGGGATTTTAATGAATGAAAAAGAAATAATAAATAATTATATGCTGGAAGTATATCAGTGAATGATGATAGACAAGAAGTCAAGTCCAGTGACCCATTGTGACTTAATCACATCAGGAACTAACTACATTGGTTTCCAATGAGGACCATACAGAGATTGACCTGATAGAATGTGTTGCTAATAATATGGCCAATAGATCTCATTTATATATATGTATTTGTTATCGTTTGTTCTGATTGATTTATCAACGCCCAACCCAAACCACAGGGGTTAAAAGCTTGAAATTTTGGCAGTTGATGTATTTTATGTTGTAAACATTCATTAAAGAAGGATTTTAGAAAAATCCTCTTCTAAAGGGATAAAATAAGATAGGAATGGTTATATGGAAACCTGTCATTTTTAAAGTTAAAAGCATGAAAATTTCGTCGTTTTTGAAAATTAATCTCAAATGAGAAAAATGGGGTGGAATATTAACATTATAGTAACATTTTTAGATATAGTTAATATTGATGAACTAGTTGCAAATAATGAAATGCAAAATACAAAATGTTTCAATATCATCCCCTAAGAAAGTGCATAAATACCATACCATATTAGTCATTAGCTGTACTGAACATAGACCTCCCCCATTGGAAGGTTTTACCAGTAGTCGCTACACTTAGCAGGTGGAAAGGCAACCGTAGTTGGGCTTTAGTGATGTTTTAAGAAGTTTTAAGAGTGACCCCTATTCCTCAGCTATTTAATTCTCTTAGTCACCTCTTATGACTTCCAATGGAAAAGAAGGCCTATTCTATATATATATATATATATATATATATATATATATATATATATATATATATATATATATATATATATATATATATATATATATATATATGTATGTATATATATAATTTTAAAAACTTCTTTTGATTTCGCGCCATTTTATATATTTTTCGTGTTCATTACCAAATTAGAATATGGAATGCGTGTTAAAGAAAATAGGATTGCAGTGATGATCACCTATATGGTATGGAGCCATCGGTCATATTCCAGTCACTTCAAAAGCTTGGTATCAGTCGTATACAGATACACTTCCTCTGTCGAAAACCAGAAATAATCCGGGCAGCTGCGTGCTTTTAGAGTTACAAATGCTGTTAATGCTGTTAAAGCTAGAATTCATCGAAGTCCCATTAAAAAGAAAAAAATCAAGCAAGGAATGGCGAAATTTCCCTTGGAAACAGTGCGTAAATCTATAGATTTGTAGCCAGACAGATTACAGGCCTTTATAAAAGCCAAAGGTGGTCATTTCAAATAGAATATATTTTTATTGTTTGCTGAGACTTTAATAAATATGTAGTTATAAATTTTAGTAATATTACATTTTGTAGTTATAAATTTAAGTAAATTACTTCATGTAAAAAAATGCATTTTCATTTGTAACAGAACTTATGGCTAGACTAGTTACATAATACTGGCCGTGTAGCCCCGGCATATAATAGACCACCACTTCATTTCCCGTGGATGTGTTGTAAGAGGCGACTAAAAAACTTAATAGTCGAAGGATGGTCAACAGCATACCTCTTTAAATGTTATCAAAGACTAACTGCGGTTGCCAACCCGTCTGCCAAGTGTGGCAACTATTGAAAAAATCCCTCAATAGGAGGAGGCCCCTGTTCGGCAAGTGGACGGTTAATGGATAATATTGTATAGTATATTATTATTATGTATTTGTCACAATCGTATGAAATATTTCTTAAATCAGTTCCACGTAATAACACTTAGTGCAGGTATTTAAAACCTTAAAATAAAAAAATAGGAAAATAAAAATTACCGACAAGATTTTTAAGCTAATAAATTGCTTAGTAATTATATTTTTTCTGCAAATGTATTTTTCTTGAATTTCTGAGACACTATAAAATGGTTGGGCCGGAAATAAAATATCTATTTGTTATTGTTATAGGTATATAGTATAAAGAGAATATTACTAGTGATTTATCATTTGTGATAAAAATAATTATGGTTATAATCATCACTTTTCTCTACTGGACATAGGTTTTAACCTTCAACCTTAGATTATAGTTACAATATACATTGTATGACACATATGACACCAGTAATATAATTTAGTTCATAATTACATGACGCTACAAGTTGTTTTATAGTGTTTTATGGTACTACTATTAAATTTTCATACATTAGTCATATTGTAAATAAAAAAAAGGCTTTTAGTCCTAATTAATATATTAGTGGCGTTAACCTCTTGTATAATAAGCTTACATTGAGCATGAAACATTCTTATTCTCAGTTTATTTGGATATAAGATTGTATTCTATAAAACAAACTAACTTCAATTTTGGCAAAACTAATTAATTTTATTTAAAAACTAAACGTCTGAACTCATTTTAATACAATTTCTATGGGACAAATTTGTACACATTTTTATATGTTTTCCTTTAACAAAAGGTTGTCTGTAAGAGATTGCCCTAGCGATAAGACCGCCTTTTGTACCTTTATGTGTATATATCAACCTGTATTTATGTTACTGTATTCCACTTGAATTGTTCAATTGTCATTGTGTATTTTTGTTTATAGCGCAATAAAGAGTTAAATAAATAAAATAAATAAATATATTCTTAGAGATAAAAAAAAATCCAAATCGGTTTAGGACGGAGTTATCAGGTGACAAACAAATAAATACAACCGATTTAAGAACCTCTTTTTTTGAAGGCGGTTAAAAAGTAGAATTGTAATATTGCACTACGCTGGCGGAGTATTAGTGAGAATAATAGGTAAGAATGAAATTCGGCAATGGCTAGCATATTTTCCTATTTCATTTAATCTCTCATTGAATTTATAGTCCATTAAACTAGTGGCAAAATAAGAGAAAAATAGGAAAAAAAAAAATAGTCTGAAATTTGGCGTGGCTGTTTATTGAGTTAAAATCACTTCATAAAAATATTTCAGCTTTGAACGAAGGATCAAAGGATTAGATATAGAGTGAAAAATTTAAAAAATATTAACTAGCTTGTGGAGAATTATTTAAAAATTATGCAACAAATAAAAAAAAATGGATGTTGTTTGCCTCACGTTAACAACTCTATCTATGAACATAATATTTTAATAACATATAAAGTGATAAGCAACTTATCGATATATTGAAAATAGGAAGAACTAAATATATTCGCATCAAAATATTATTTAAATAAAAGAAAAAAACACCATTAAAAAATTAATAAATAAATATTGTGTCGCACAAAAAACCGACATCTTTGTGACGAAACTAATTACTTTGGTCTATAAATTAAACTACCAGAGGGAGACTTTGTACAAAAGTCGATTGCTTGGGTATCTCTGTCCCATTCGTGTTTCAACCGTGAAGCAGTTGTGTTTGCATGGCTGTGTTTCGGTTTGAAGGGTGGGATATGGCGTGAATTTACAGGGTACAGATGAATAACATTTGAGTCCTCAGGAATGGCAACGTATGGGGGGTATCATGGGTGAAACAGTACTGTTATGTCCATGGTACTGCTCATGTCTATAGGCGACGGTTACCACTTTCCATCAGGTGGGCCGTCAGCTTGTTTGCCATTCTAAGTTGTAAAAAAAGGTGTATAAAAAAAAACTACTGAACTGATTTCGATAAAATTTTTATGAAACCAATATGTAAGTGAACCAATGCTTGAAAAACTGGATAAATTCTCTATCGAATATTTAAGACCAATTGTTTTGCCTACAATATTTTTAAAATGATTTGAAAAATATATAATTTTACAAATATATGAGTAGCTTAGAAAATAAAATCTATTAACCCAACAACAACTAGAATTTAGACGCAATGAGGACGTTTGTGATTTTCTATATATTTTATTGATAAAAATGGATAAAAGTGCATCGATACGCACCATATACCATTTACAATAGTGTGACTCAAACTTTTGATTACATAGACTGCTCTACGTTGTAAACCATAAGATTGTATTACAAACATTATATGCATTCTGAATTAAGGGTAATATTTTAAATTTACTAAAATCTTACCTTACTAACACAGACCGCAATGTATGGAAATAACTAAAATTTATAATAAAACAAATTAGTTTTATTACAAATTAGTTAGAAGAAAATTATGATTATGACCAGAAAATTGCTTATATATTTTATTGTAAAATCTTAGAAAGAAAAGAATGAGTACAATGGCGGACTTATCCCGTAAAAAAGGATTTCTTCCAATTGGTCTTTGAATGTCTGATAGAAACTGAGAACAGGTGGCAACAAAAAAAAATTGCTAATTTACAATAAAAAGGGTCAAAAGAAAATGTAGGGATATTTTTGTATTAATTAAAAATATTGCTGAATAAATTTATCATGTCGCGATGTCGCCATGTAAAAGGTATCATAATAAAAAAAAAGTCATATTAAAGGTGTAAATCGTGTTATAGAATATATTTCATGTAGACGTCTGGTAGGTAAAACTCTGTATATTATGGATAATCTACCTAAGAAACATTTGATTGCTATTTATCCATTTATGATTTGTGTAGTCGATTATATGAGAACAGTATTTATATTAAATTGTAAGAAAAGGGGTGTTAAAACTGTTAAGCACATTATATGTCATATATTTGTTTTTTTGTATGTTTTGTAACAGGTGCAATACATTGGAAGTTTGCAAGTGCCGAGGATATGTTACCTATAGCATGGAACGATGAATAAAACCTAAGGTCCTGCAGGATTGATCAGTACATTTACTTCTTTAAATATTATTACAGGTGTGAAGGGACTACCGTGCAAATTGTTAGCGGTAGAGGCAATTGTTTCTTTTCAAAAAATTTTGAAAAATACAATTGCCTGTTGTTGATGTGCTATAATAAAATAATAAACAATTTGAGTTTCAAAATGATACGAAAGAACCATTATGATATACCGTTATATTAATATTTTATTACGTCATTATTAGATGTTTGATGATGTTTATACCACGAAGCTGTCAAATAAGCATACAGTTTGTCTGATGGTTAAGGCTCATTGTAGCCTATAGACATCTACAACACTAGGGGTGTAACGTGCGCGTTGTCGTCCCTGAAGAATCCTTAACAAACCCTTTTTAAAGAAACCCATACTGTATGTAGGCTCTATGAAAAACCTCGGCAGGTACACTTATGCTAAAGCCAGAGCGTACGCGATTGTAGCGCAACAATGTAGAAAGTAAGTTTAATCGAATTAAAAAACAGGTCATTAAATATTCTTTATTGATTACTGCAGAAACAAGTTATTTTCGGATATTGCTAAAAATGGCTCGAATCGTAAGCTATCGACAGGAAATCTTTACATTCTAGTGTATAAATGGTTTGCATACGCTTACGATACGCTTACTATGGAATTTCCTTTCACAAGCATTCCTTTTATAGAATGAGCTCCTTGCTGAGGTTTCTCCTGTAAAGAATACGGCGTTACCAGTTTAGTCTTTTATTTCCGAAATTATAGGTGAAAATTGTGCTGTTCGTGAAATTTTAGAGAAGTGAAATTCTTGGAAAAAAGTGAAATCAGCTTAGAGATATTTGGGTAATTTTTTCGGAAAGTTTAGGTAATAGTTGTAACACTTATAAAGGCCAATAAAACTAAAATACGACAATTAAAATACATAATAGAAGATAAGGAAAGAAGAAAATACAATAGAAACAGGATAAAGTAGTTTTTTTTAGTGTCGAGAAAAATATTTAACGTTTGAGTAAAAATCAAAATTGGCATCTGGCAATCCTGAGTAAATATAGCATGGAGTATTACCACTGGCATGAGTTTTCAGGTCACTTTAATTATGCACAAAGACATGGCTTATCGTATGACGGCTTTACGTGTCCTTGGAGGCGCGAAATGGCAATAATTTTAAATGATTCAGATGGATTATTTTAAATTATTGAAAACTGGTTATGCCCTGGGGCTTCGCCCGAATGTATATGTATGTAAGGTATCTTGTATATTAAGTTACGATATAATCTACCTGTGTAAATTTCATTCAAATCTGAAGTGTAGTTTTCTCATCTATCCATCCATCCTATAAACTTTCGCATTTATAATATTAATGAAATATTAATTTGAAGAATTTAGACGTCCGTATGCTGTGATAACCGTTTACCATTATATAAAAAGTATATTTGTTTACCACCTTTGTACTATGCGAATTATGACGATTTTTAAAGTAAATATAAAATTTTATCAGGTGGCCTACCTGTTTTAGTTTGTTTATTATTTGAAATCGTATCATTTAAGAACCCAGGTAAAATTAATAGATAGATTTTTTATTTGCACTAACTACTATTGATGTAGATTGTCTTATGGTAAGGATTAATAGTTAGATAGATATATAGTTGCTCTTTATTGTGTCCTCCATAAGATTACCATAGTAAATTTTAGATAAAAACTATAGTTCTTTTGTTTACATTTTCATTAAGTTTTATTGAAGTGGAAAAGTTGCATTTATTTCAGTTTTGCCTTTTATACTTTTATTTATTCTATTAAAAGGTAAGTAGCTAGGTATTTCTGTATTGGGTATAATGTTGACACACACATATTGTATTAAAATTTTATAACTAAATTCATAACTAAATTAAAATAGTTGAGCATAACCAGTGTAAATATTGTAATGCGCAATGAATAATATAAACTTAATCCTTATTAGGAATAGCAATGGGATACTGTGGGTGTTACCATGGGGGACGGTTGTCACTTACAACCGTCGCCCATGAGCACCGGCACCATCAGAGGTACTGCAGGTAAGCTGCTGGCCTTTCAAAAAGAGATATGCTCTTTTCTTGAAGGTTATAATGTCATCGGTTTGGAAATACTGCTGCTGGAAGTTAATTTCAAAGCGGGGTTGTGCGTGAAAGAAAGTACCTTGAAAAATGCTTTTGGATATCAGCAAACTGTCTTATGGCCGGGTCAATTATTGATTTGTGTACATTTTTATTAAATTCTATTGAAACGGACTATAGTAATTTATTTAATAAAGTAGGTGTATGTATGTATGTGTAAAAAATTCTGAAATTGTCTGGAGGAGAATTATGAAGCTGAATTTTGTCGTTAATTTGTACTTAAATCCAATATAATGAAAAGAAAAAAAACTTAGTGACTAGGAATAGTATGCTTTTACATAAAAAACTATTTATTATAGTAAATATTCCTGTACAAGTACATCGATCAATATATCAGTCATTTATTTGCATAAACATAGGTACAGTTATAAATTTGATGTTGTATAATATGTAGACTCCTATGTTTTACCATCATTGGACATGATTACTTTGTTTAGTTTTTCCCACCATAATAATATTAAAATGTATATTTAGCAGTAGTTGAGTAAGTATTATTACATGCGTATTTCATAATTGTTCTTTTTTTATTATTCCAGAAAATGCAAGCAAGTGCATAATGTTGTTAAAATGCCTTTTAAGATTAAGCAAGATTGTAAGCAAGTAGCTACATTGAACAACGTAAATCTATTTCGAATGTGTACTAGTTTGATAGAAGAAATAAAGTTGGGGTGGTTGGAAATCGAGACTCGCCAAAATTCGTAGCAAATGATCGAGCCACACCTTCTCATGCTATTGGTGTTGGGCGGTCCCGCTCCACCAATGAGGCGGCGCCTTACCCCACTCCCACCTCTGTATTACGTAGATTACGTTTTCCTCTATTACGAAAAACGTTTAACTTTTCAACAATTATGACACGAACGCATTACAACTACAAATTACTGCAAACGTTACCTTGAGCCGCGTAGCACTATGTCTTGTTACTGTTTAAGATAATTACAATTTACCTGTGATGGTGTTGACAGTAATATTTTGGGAAGCATGATTGCCTTATTGAGAACCGAATGGTGGTAAAGAGGAGACGCCTACGCGGTGTTAGCGTGGAACTTCATCCGTGCCGTCGGTCTGCCGGCTCGATTCCAAAGATCGGAATCAGTCGTTCGACGAACGTCGCTCGCGCCGCGTCCTCTTAGCGCAACTGTTGTACGCGTATTCGTGGCCGCCCGCCCAAACAGCGCCGTGTCATTTCTAATATTTACATTTGACATTAATTTCTTGAAACATAAGTGAAAATAATCGAACTATAATAATAATATAAAAACAGTTCATCAAAACAGTTTTATCGTGAACTTTTTGTGTTGTTCTCTAACGGATGATCTTTATTTGACGTTCGACAATCTCGAAAGAAATCTTCTGAAATAAAAATCATCGAAATTAAAAAAGTGGGTGAGTAATAGAAGTTAGTAGTAAGTTCATAAATCGGCGTTAAAGGGGTCGTAAAATTTTATGAGCTAGTAAAGCGACATTATTGTAGCATAAAACGGCCATTTTTGAGTAATCAAACTAATTTGTCTGTTAAATAGGAATAATACATTCGATTTTCAAATATTTTTAATATTTTTTAAATAAACACCACGTCAACGAAAAATGTAGAACTTATTTATTACCACAGGTAGGTAGATGGTTAAAAATATACGTAGGTGGGTTACAAATTAAATATAATTTAAAATTTTAAAGTACTATAATAGATAAATATAAATAAAGTAAGAAGCCACATCGAGCTTGGGGATTTCCTCTGTGCATGTAAGTCGGTAAATGTATAAATTAGTATGTATTATCAATCAACAAAAAACTAGATACAACCTGAATGTTACATTAAATATGGGTATGTGTTAATGTTATGTTTTATTTTTCCGTCTTATATTTACGGACTTTTAGTGGTGTCATTTTGTCACATAGTATATACTTATGTGTATTATAAATAAGAAAAAGAGTTTACTATATTTTTCATGAAATTCAAAATACACGTGCGGCTATGAAACGGACATACGCTACTATTTATTCCGGTTAATTGATATAATAATTCCGGTCAAACAAACGAACATACTGGTAAAAGCCAGTTTCTAAAGATGTCTAAAATATCTAAAATAATAACATATAATAAAAAGTACAGGTTTAGGGAAATAACTAGCTTTTACCCACGATTTCGTTTGCGTGACAGGGTTATGTTAACTGTTGTGTTCTTACCTGTCGGTTAAGCCGTTAAGCCAGTAAAAATAACAAACAAACAAACTCACTTACACTCATTATAATATTAATATGTTTCTGGATTTTTTATATTAATCATATGATTGTTTAAGGGTAAGGACTAAAAATTATTTTAGATAATACTAGTGTTTTTTCATGAACGTCCGCATGACTGGGATATAATAATTGACCAGGATAAGAAAGTAGCCTTAGAAAAGCAGTTCGCCTTATTAAATATTAAGTAATTACTATGAAATTCAAATCATAGGGCATTTGATAGAGTGGATCATAAAATATTGCTTGATAAACTTGTTATAATGGTATTCGTGGTGATTTGTGGCGCTGGTTTAAGTCCTATATATCAAATCGTACACAAAAGGTAACTATTAATGGTTATGAGTCAGAATTTGTTCCGGTTACTTCTGGAGTTTCGCAAGGATCCATTTTAGGCCCATTACTATTTCTTATTTTTATCAATGACATTGCACAATGTTTTAAATTTTGCAATATGCAGATGATTTAATAATGTTTCACATAATAAGTAGTTTGGATGACCATTATAGGTTTCAAGCTGATTTGGACCGCTTTATTTATTATCGCGTAGATAATAAATTGTCACTGAGTATTAATAAATGTAAAACTATAACTTTCACTAAAAAAAGGCAAGTAAGTCATTACACATATACCTTAATGGATGAAAACCTCGAAACTGTTGACTTAATTAAGGACTTAGGAATTAATAAATTGCATCTTGATTTGCATATAGATAATATAATAAGTAAAGCTTTCCAAATGTATGGATTTGTAATGCGTACATGTCGTGTGTTCAAACAAATTTCGTCACTCATTCTTTTATACAAAAGTCTAATTGGTTCTCAACTGGAATATGCTGTTTCCATTTGGAACCCCTTTTATAATAAGTATATTGATGCAATCGAAAAAGTTAAAAAATTATTCTTGCGTTCAATTCATTATAAGTATACCAATAGCCATTAATCTTATGAACAATTACTTGACATACATAAATTAATTAAACTAAATCATAGACGTATCCATTTAGAAACTATGCTTTTATATGATTTGTGTCATAATAGATATGACTGTAGTCCAATTATCAATAAGTTGTGTTACAGAATACCCACTAGAGTGCATTGCCGTTATCCAAATAGTCATTTTGCCACTAAGCGCTGTCGTACAAATTCTGGAAAACGGTTACCTTTGTATAGACTTGTGAATTCATATAACGCTTTATTTAATGATGTTGATATTATTAATGAACGCCCAAGTACTTTTAAAACGCTAATCTCTAAAAGATTCATGTAATTTTTAACTGTTCTTGTTTGCTTCAGCTATTTGTATTATATTTGAATTGAAACTGTGGTAAACGGTGTTGGTGGCAAATTTACTCAATGTTTTCTTTGATTAATATTATGTATTATTCTTTATTTTGTCACTATTAGTTTTCCCAAATAAATGAAAAAAAAAATTGGTATTTATTCTATATGAGATTCAGAAGGATACAGACTACATTTACCTCGGTCGGTGAACGTGTCCTGGCTATACAGATAAAGTCGTGGTTCTTAGCTAGTTATATATGTGTGTAGATGTATATTTTACAGGTACATCCTGCATCCGTTGGTAATTTTTAACCGACTTTAAAAAAGGAGGTTCTCAATTCGGTTTTATTTTTTGGTAACATAACTTTTGTTTGATAACAAAACTCCATCAGTTGTAAACCGATTTGGAAAACACTTTTATTATTTGCAGGGACGTACTTACAGATTGGTCTTATAGAAATTTTATCTAAAGCGGTTCAGTCACAGTTAATGTCTTTTTTTTTATGGAACATAGTATTAATTATTGCTAGTGTTGTTTATAAATTCTTAGTTACCGATGGCAGATATAAAAAAAAATATTATGTAAAAAGTAAGAGCGATGTCTTACAAAACTTGTCTACATGGGTATTTCTGTCCCATTCAGCTTTTTGCTCAAACGTGGCTGGTATTTGGCATGGATATGTTTCAGTTTGAAATGGCATTTTTTATTATTTCAACCGTTAACTGTCTATTACTGAACATTAGGCTTCCTCATAAGGGGAGTTTTGACAGTAGTTGCCACGCTTGGCAAGGTCGCAACCGCAGTTAGACTTTTAGAGATGTTTTAAGAGAGATGGTGCTGCCCATCCCTCATTCTCCCTTAGTAACCTCTTACGACACCCACGGGAAAGGAAGGGGTAGCCCTTTTTATTCCAGAGCACACACGGTATAAGATTGTAAAGGGGATTGATGGATTAATTGATTCTTTATAATTTATAATAAAATTATAAAAAAAAACATAAAACCTTAGTCCTCTGGTTGTAGTTTCTCATTGTGATTATTTCTTGTAATTGTTTATATCTAGAATAAGTTTACTATTGTAATCTTTTGGAGGAAGCAATAAAGAGTATCTATCTATCTGTCTATCTATCTATATCTGGAGTAGCAACGTACGAGAGGTACCATGGGCAAATTTTTTATTTTCTGTAAAGAACCCGTGCGAAGCCAAAGCGGTTTGCTAGTTGCTAATAATGGGGACATAATAATGGGAATATTGACGATATTATTTATTTTTATGCTGTTACTTGGGGTTTCCTTTTCGTATTTCCCAAATATTAGTTATGGATACTGTTTAATCATTAGTGCAAGTTGAAATTACAAATATATATGTATATATATATATATATATATATATATATATATATATATATATATATATATATATATATATATATATATATATATATATATATATCTGTGTACTAAATTGTATTCAAAAGCAACCAACTATTATAAACAATACATACAAACCTATTACAGTACCTAATACTTATGAAAATATTTGCAAACTTTCAAATATATTATAGTCATTTAAAGTTATCATCAAATATATATATATATATATATATATATATATATATATATATATATATATATATATATATATATATAGGGTCTTAATAATTCGAATGCTCATTAAATGATGATGATGACGACTCTGTAATCTCACTACCATATTCCATTGTTCCAACCAAAACACAACCATGCAAGCTTCATCGCCGAAATAAGAAAGCGATAGATACCTTATCTGTAACTTGTATAAATTCTTTCTCTAATAATGGGGGCGTTTATTAATTACGCGGGGCATTAGGAGGGAGGGGGGAGAGTCGGGTCGAATTTCACCCAATCTCACGTTGCGGAGAGAGGGGAGGGTCTTGGCTAATGTCGCGAAAAATCGTCATACGTAATTAAAGGACGCACCCCAAAACATTCACACTGGCAATGTCGTAGGTTAAAGTTTGTGTTTGCCACGTATGCACATAATGTATGTATTAGCTACAACAACACAACATATATTCAGGTATATCCTTATGGTATTTCCAAACAAGCACAATTCTGTATAGACAAGTTACGGAAACAATGTAATATGTAATGTAACTTCAATAACAAAATCCTTTAACTAAATCCTTACCCAGAGGGAGACGATTGTTAGTAATGGGCTGTAGCGGCCTTTTGCTAAGGATGTACCTTGTTAAGTTGAATTTTTCGAAACTATAGTTGATCAGTCCAAGGCCAACTGACCTGACTGGAGGCAAGGGTTCTTTTTATTGATGATAATGAAATGGTAACCCCGTTTATACTAACGGTATACGCTGTCGGGCTCCAGTGGGGGATGACAGGTGAGCATGAAAAGGCAAGTCAGTTAGATTATCGTGATGAATAAATACACTTGGAATTAGGTATGATGGTTTTCAGGGGGGGGGGGGCTGGTGGTGGACGACTTGATAGGGTAAATTGTTAGCAATGGGACTGGTAGTTCGCATTAATCTTCAAATTAATTAAATTAATCAACTAACAATCTCTTCCCCCCGGAGGCAAGGGTTTATTGGTAATGAGAATAAGCAGCAGCAGAAAAGGGGATCCCTTTCTAATAATTTGCCAGTCAGCTTGACATTTCTTTTGACGCGATCGTAGTTAGACCAATTCATCACTATGGGCCAAGTGACATGTTTTCATCCCCACCAATTATCCCACATTGGTGTTCCGTCTGTGTTCACAAAAGAACCGATTTTATAAGTGGCAAAATCAGTTATTTTATTTAAAAAACTAAATTATTAGATAGATTTGATAAAATTTTATAGAATTGTAAATCATTTTATGAAGTCAATCTGTAAGTAACAGACTGGTTCCATAGAATCTTTTACTCGAAGATAACGGTAGTAGTAACTTACAATCAGGTGAACCGCATGCTTGTTTGCCCCTTGTGTTTAAAAGGAAAGATAAAGAAGAATTTTCATAACATATAAAATACATTGAAACATAAAAATACCACCGAATTGAAAACCTCCTTCTTTTTGAAGTTGGAAGAAAATGGTATGGTATGTAAACTTGTTAAGTCTTACAAATAAACATACAAAAATGTATGTTTGTTGCGGTGAGATAAAAAAACTATTGTATTAAATTGGTTGCAGTTTTCACTGATACATTACTAAAGATATAACTTGAAAATTAGTCTATGTTTTATCTTGAGCCTTCTGGAAATGGTTTATTTATTCTTACGTGTCCAAATAACAGAAAGACTGACCAGGAGAGAATGCTATATAGTATTAAGTTCGTCTTTTGTACCGAACATTTTTCAGATGATAAGTAATAAATAAATAAAGAAATATACATTCGAAAATCCGAAAGCATGAAGTTGTGATTAAAATTTATGGTGTTGAGATATAAAATTGTCAATCTATTTCATCATCATCATTTTCATACCAGCCTTTAATTGTCCACTGCTAACATAAGCCGTAGAGGCTTTGCCAGTAGTTGCCATACTTGGGAGGCGGATTGACAACCGCAAATAAGGTTTGTAGATGTTTTAAGAGGAACGTTTCTTCTTAGGATACCCACAACACAAACAAAACAAATGTTAACCTTTTTGACCATTAAAACTGTGACAATTCATGTAGAGTTAAAAATTCAATTTTTCTTTGACTATTTGCAATAAATACTTAATTACTCTTTCAATCTAACTCAATAACAATAGTTTTTAGTATTTTTTTTTAATTCTATTTGAGACAAGCTTTAATCTGCGATTACATTTGTATAACATTGACATCTTGTACCCACCCCGTAAGGGACTTGGCGTGAAGATAGATAGACATTTTGTAAATTATCTTTACGAGTAGGTACCTTTAGTTACAACGCGCGGCGCGGTGGCGATACGTGATGATCTGGTTATTTTTTTTAAATACGATAGAAAAAATGATATTATCTATCGGTCTTAATTATTGCAGATTTTAATGACTCGTAAACTTTTGGAGATAAGGGGGGGAGTGGCAGTAAGTTTTTTTATGTATTTTGACCATAAATTGTGAAATTTGACACAAAAAGAAAAAAAATGTGTTACTAAATTACAAATAAGAAAATAGTTTTAATTACATTTTAACTTTTCTTTATATTTCATTAAATTTACCTGGTGAAGTAGATGCACGATGATTCAATTACATGTTATGTCGATACAATAAATATTTTTTTTTTATCGTAAGTAACTTTATGGACCTATTAACAACGTATTACGTACTTATATTGTTATAATTATGGCATAATGAGGCACTTTAATGCTTGATATTATATTTTTATTTCTATGCATGTATAATGCGAATTAAGATTATACCACGTGTTAATCCAAGATATAGTGAATCTGTGTACTAAATTTCATTCATAAAAATCTAGATTTTTAAGTGTGATTGGGTAACAAATATCTAACCTTATTTACAAACTTTCACATTAACAATATTTATAGGACTAACAATAAAAGGTGTATTCAATACAATAATTTTTTTGAGCCACAAAATTTTAATTATAAATGTATAAGTATGTTTGTTTCTTCTTAATATATTAATGGCTTCAACCATTTTGAAATTTGGTACATCCATCTGCATTGGCCGAAGAAGAATGTAGATTACTTTTTATTGAAGTTAGTTAACGTATCCTGATCATATAGAGAGAGTCGCGGGTAAACGCATAAGCTTTTAATTTAAAGACACTAGATACCCAATTTTACGACGAACGTGATAGATATTGATGATATCAGCCGTACTATCTACTGTTGAACATAGGAACGAGGTAGCCTTAGGGGGTTTTATCAACAGTTGCTACGTTTGCAGGCAGGGTTGGCAACCGCAGTTAGGTTTTGGTGATGTTTTACGAAGGATCCCTCACACATTAAGTTCCATTCGTCTCTTATAACACCCACGGGGTAGGAAGGGGTGGCCTATGCCGGGATCACACGGCAAGTCATCATAGAAGATATTAAGATGTTTTTTGCATCTTAAAATGCTCTTATTTATTTGCAGTGGCCGGTAGCCCTAATGGGGTCAGTCTCAATGGCGATTGTGGAGAAGGTGTCACGAGGCTGACTTTAGGCCTGCAACCGGAGACATTCGACATGAACGATATCCCAATTAATACGTACACAGTGGACACACGGAGAATGCAGCTCTATTCACATCCACACGTCCATCCGACGGTGACGGTGAGTCAATCATTTTCTTTGTTTAACAACCACTTTGACTTAAATGGCCATACTTCATACCTAAAGTAGTGTTTGATACAAGCATTTTATTAGGTCGTTGTAATATGATCGTACATTGATCGCCAATTAATACTGTATTAATATTTCCTTACAAGAATTAATAATAATTTAAATAAATATCAGAGAAAGTTTCGTGTAAACCAATAGCACCAATGCTTATACTATATACACCCGATCACTTAAAAAAAAAGTCTTTCGTCAATTATCTAATTAACAACGTTGTCTTTGATCAAATTTGTTTTTTGTATACATACAGAAGGCGTGTTAGTAACTTAGAGGTGGCCTTATACGGTTACTATATGATTGTGGATTTGTAATATTGCTTCTAATTAACGTTCTATTGTGATTTGCTACAAAAATTTAAAAAAATCCATTGACGCAATTTAAATTAGTAAGTTTATATTTCCAAAATATTAATATATTGATTCTAATTCAACGTTTGGGGGAAAGTTTAAAGTTTTGTCGATATTTTTTTCAGTCGTTAACTGTCCATTGTTGGATATAGGTCTCCCTCATAACAGGAGTTTTGTTAGTAGTTACTGCGCTTGGCTTGCGCATGGCAAACGGGTTGACAACCGCAGTTAGCCTTTGATGATGTTTTGAAAGGGATGCTACCTATCTATCAACCATTAAGTTCTCGTAGTTGCCTCTTACGAGACCCACGGGGAAGGAAGGGTTGACCCATTCTATACTGGGACTACACGACAATTACAAACGATGTGTACAATGGAGATATTTAAGAAAATATAATATATCCTTATATATCCTTGTAGGAGTCTTAAATTAAGACTCTTAACGAGACCAATAGACTCTATAACAATATTTTTAGAAGTTTGGTTTGACTGTTTGCGTGTTCCGGTACCACGAAAAAATTTCAAATTAAATGTTGTCTTCACAAATGTATTTCTGAAGGTTTAACCTAAAATCCCGTAGGTATATATTTTATTTTGATACGTCATCTAGAAATGCTATATTTTTCTATGTACTTCTAGAATCCATGCCTACGTAGTAACGGGTTATAGCTAGTTAATAATAAATCGATACTAAATGTGACAATTGTTATGGTCAGACAGTTTTATGACGCTGGTTCATTACGTAGGTTCATATTCTAATCTGTTTTCGTTGATAGCCTTGCATCGCATAACGTTGCGTAGGTCTGTATCTAAACACGTTTCGATGCACATACACATGATCAATGCACATGATACACATGACCGATGCCCTAATGCAAATCTGTTGAAACCTCATTAGATAATATTACAAGTAAAAGTGAATTTTTATTTGTTTATTATGTCTTGGCCCTTTATTGCTCAATTGGTCAAAATTTTTTATATTTATGAAGCAATTTCCCAGCAATTGAGTAAATAAGTAAATATATATAATTACTTATTTACATTTTTAAATTATAAAGTTAAATTGTTTTTACATTACATCTTATTATTATTGTTTACAATGTCGAGATAGAAAACATTGTAAGTAGTAGATTATTTTAAAGCAATTCGCTCAATGTTAAAAGCTTTGTAATAAAATTTTTATTTTACGTCTTACTACACTTCAGAATTTGAGAAAAATCTAGATGGAGTAGAATAATTTGTTTAAAGTTCTTTGCAAGAAAGGTTTAATAGTGAGAAAAATACCTCATCTTTGTTCCAATAGTTATTATGAAGCAAACATATACGATTATGTTTTATAAATTTTAAAGCTACATAAATACGGGGTAAATAAATACGGTTGAAAACAGTAAAAACGTGTGCAACAAAAAACCAACTTTCAAGTGCGATGAAAGAAGGGAAAATAAAAATAATTTAAAGGTGTGCACCACCAGTCAGGCGTTAGGTTTCGTTCTCCGTGCCATTTTAATTCGCGTTTTGTTCACATGAACTTTTTTTTTAATTTACGAGCGACATAAATTGTCATAAATTTGATAGCTTTTTTATACCAGGAAGGTGGTAAATAAGCATACAGCTTGTCTGATGGTAACCGGTCACTGTAATCTATGAACACCTGCAACAAAACTAGGAGTGTTACGTGCGCGTTGCCGAACTTAATATACCTACCCTTTTTGAAAAACCTCATATTGCAGTCTCTAGGAATAACTGTAGAATAACTTTTTTTATAATATAACTAATTTGGGTAAACTAATCTTTTAGTTTAATGTGTTTACTTCGCATTCATTTATAACGTCCGTATATATACATACTCGTATAATATTATCCTTCTGTAATATAATTTGCAATTTTTCGTGCACTTCTAAATTAGGAATAATTTTTGATACGTTTGATTTATATGATTATTAAATTATCTAATGATAAAAGCTATTTAAGCTATATTAGGTAGATAATGGAACTTTTCAGCAAGAGGTAAGACAGTGAATAACGGATAACTGCATTTTCTCAATAGGAAATGATAGTCGAAATTGGACTGAATTGTTTCGTTGGTGGGAACATAATATTTTAGGTTAGGGTTAATTATTAGTATCACTGAATATATATGCCATCCTTAGAATCTCTTCAGCATTGTAAGCCTCGCGAACTGAGACTTCAATCTATATGCATGTATATATCTTACCATTAGTAAAAACTCGCTATGCTTTTAAATCCAAATATTTGCGTCTCTTATCATACAGATTGCATTTTTGAAGATTACTATTGGCATTCATTCTTATCAAATATAGATAATTAAAAAGGAGTTGGTAAACATAACGATTACTAAAAGTTTAACTCATTATGCTCTATTACGAATAAACATACAAGTTTATTTGTAAATAAATTATATTTTCTTAACTAATTAATTTATTAATAATTACTTCCATAATAAATGTGGATCGTGACATGACGTTGGGTTGTGAAGTTGGCTATCGCGCCATTCTAGTGTTATCGAGATGTTCGTCACACTCAGTTACATCACCGACCTTGTTTGTTTGACTTTTATTCTTGCAAGTACATCTAGTGATTAAATCGAATATTAAAATATAATTAACTATATCAGTGTTCTGCGTCTGTAGATACCTATATCTATACGCACTGAGAGATAGTTTGTTGGACTCATATAGTTGAAAAATATTTTTGCGAAAAATAAATAATTGAAATAGTAATTAAAAGTCGATCAATGTGACAGATTTTCTTTATTGTACAAGTCTAAATATCGCATTATTGTCTGAATGCAGATTTCGATTAGATTATTGATCGATTTAAATAAAAAAAATATTTTGAAGCTTTTAAGTAAAAACAAGTCAGGTGCGATTCGAAAACACACGTCGAGGGTTTTATATTTGGAAAATTCACTCAGGGTATGATTAGAATAATAAAAAAAAGAAACAAAAAAAACCTTTTAAAAATTAAACTACGTAAAAGCATATCCATTAAGTTGTTACGTTTTTGTAAGTTTACATTTTCATTCAATATTGTAATTATTTTTAACAAGCTTATAATAATACGACAGTTATGTAATGTTTTACTTGTCGATTTAGAAAGTAATCAATGGATATTATTTAAAACAAATGACTAACTATTTATCATATTTCATCAATTTCAAATAATGTAGTTTTTTCTTATATTTTGTAGATATAAAAAATATAGAGACCTTTTAAAAAAAATCAAGTGTGATATCTTCGTGGTCATATTATTGTAATATACATATATATATATATATATATATATATATATATATATATATATATATATATATATATATATATATATATATATATTTGTTAATCTGTGCGTATAGTGGTATAATTTAAGAAAATTAAAATTATGGAGCCTAGAGTCGGATTTTATCAGTGTCCCTGACATAAGTTCATCGCTAACTGAACCACTGATTGTCAGTAAGATATTAAGTTATTTACCAGTTAGTATTGTTAAAAATCACATGATGAAATATTCACAAATCTATTTATTCATTAAAGTGATTGGTTATCGATTTATAGGTATAATAAGTTATATTATATATACATACATATTTTTCATGCCTGTCTCCCATTAGGGTAGGCAGAAACAATGGAACACCACATAATATATCATAATTTTGTTGAAATTACTACTTAATCAATACTGTAAAATATAAACTGATGTGTAATTAGAGAGTATATCCGCTGGCGCTTCGGTTCTCTCTGTCTTTGAAGAGACCTGGCTGAAGTAATAGGTAGACATCCTTTTTTATCGGTCCTATGGCTTGATTTTGAAAGAGCCATACTTAAATAATTAAAATTCATTTTAATTAAGTTTATTAAAAACAGTGGGGTTTCAGATTAGTTTTTTTTTTCTCGCGAACGCTTAGGTCATGGAATTTTTAAACTGAAGTTTTCCCTCGAGATTTTAATATGGGGTTCCTCAAAAAGGGCATAATGAGGTTTCTCGAGGGTCACATGACACCCCTGATATTGCAGAGGTCCATAAGCCTGTACCATCAGACGGGCTGTTTACTTGTTGAGCACTTTTGTGGCAAAAAGTAGATATTTTTATAAAGTATTATAATAAAAAAGGTTTACTTTTTGGCACTAATCTTAATGTAAATCCAGTGTCACGATGTTCTCTAATCACTCTAATCTCCAAAATCAATCGAACGATTTTAATGAAGATTTTTAAATGTTGTTTGTTCAATTTAGGTGATAGGCCATTTTTAATGTTAATAAATAAAATACAAAAAATGGTTATTATGATTCTTTAAAGTGGGCTTTTTGTTTGTGATAACAGAATAATATTTATATCAATAGAATAGGCAAGTATATACTCGTATTCTAAAATCATACCTAATTTTTTTAGATAAGTAATTTTTAAAAATAATCATGAACACATTTACATAATAAAAACTTTTCCACCGCTACCGTACATTTGAGACTCTGCTACGCATGCGTGCGGTTAATGAACTTACTAGGTGTTTACCGCCAAAATCATATTAGGTACTTATATGAAACAGCATCTTGAAAAATGGTTCATTGA